CGAGAATATTTAAGGGCATTATCTGCTCGAATTCTCGCAAGCTTCCTGTTTCTATAATAAGATCATGTGCAAATGTTCCATATAGATACGGAATTGCGAACTGTGTTTGCACATGATAGCAATCGATAGCCCTGCACCTTATTGAAAGAAAGTGCATTCGATTATTTTAATTGACGTCCACGAAAATGAACTTGAGTGGTCTTATCGGGATCTAAAATAGTCCAACCCATACAAGTGCCAGAAATATAGGTGGCGCTCTAGCTGATATTGTTTTACGACTTCGATTGAATTAGTCCCAGTATCAGTTGGTCTTCGAGTACAATGTTCTGCTACCCATGCAGAAATAGAATAAAGCACGTGATCTCAGTCAGTTAGTCAGTTAGCCGGGTTATTAGTCACGGCTGATGCAACGGACGAAATAATGGCTTAAATCTGGAAGAACGATTCCATAATCATCGTCATCTTGCAGTACAGTTCCAATAGAAACGGAAAGTTCCCTCGATGAGTAAGAAGTCGGGATGGGATACGTGCATTTCACATTCACACTCCTAATCAGCTGGCCTAAATCGCACATTCATACGAAAGTGTAGTATAATAATACTTTAACCGGGTTGAGTTCTTTTTTCTTTTTACAAAGTTTTATACTCAAACCTGATTAGCGGGTGGGTTCGTAAAACACATGACCACAGAGACGTTAGTTTAATCAGTCGACCTTGAGATTGTGATTGGGAAGTGAGATAAAACACAATAAAACGACGTTGTCCGGTAAATAGGACTTTAAGATAGTGTCGAGATCTCAAAATAGAAGTGCAGTTTAAATGGCACTGTAAACTTATAGATTACCTTGTACTTGAAAAGGAATGTCCCATATAAGAAACACTATAAGTGCCTAAGACCGGTAACGTAAAGTGGTCATGATAAATAATTGATTTTAAATCATTCTCTATAACAGTATATCCACTGTACCGGTGGGATGTTTGTTTCCCTCATTAAAGTATTGCAATTCTGATAATTTAATAGTGATTTATATCCGTGCAATCTTCATTGAAGAACTTTGTTCATATTGCCAACTGAGTGATAAGCATACATGAAAAATGCAAATATACTATATTAACATTCATTTATCGGTTATCGGTACTCTATCGTAATTACCGCTAACGCCCACGTGACGTCATCTGTTGAGATAATAAAACCGTTGCACGATTGCGTTACGATTACCGTTACCTTCTCTTCGGATCTCTTTTCAATAAAACCATTTCGCCAGCATCATAAATTTTGCGCACAAGCAATAAATACAATACATATGTACATGTACATGTGTGTGTGTCATATGCAAGCCGATAAGCTGCATAATAAACCGCATTACGAATGGGTTGCGAATCGTGGAAATGTGGGTGGTGGGTTCTTCTAATGCGCAGTTTGCTTGGCTTTAACTTTGATTGGAATTGTGAGATTTTAAAAACTGTTCGCTTACTCTCCATAATAATATTTCATTTTTAATTAACATAAAACAAAAGCTTAAACTGCAAGCAATATTTTAGAGTAACAATTCGTACTTCCATGAATAATATCCAAAGCAATTCTTCATATAAAACCCCTGAGCGCTCGTTGAAAACGAATTTACCTGTGGTTTGTTGAATATTTCTTGAAAAGTGCCTACGTGTGTGTTGACACGGCTGCCTTGAACTCACCACACCGCATCTTACCCCTTCCACAATGTTATCCCCAACCCCCACTCTTTACGAAATTCACCACGAGCCGAGTCAAACCCGAAGTTTAGAAAACCGAACTTATTTTTGGGGTTCTCTTTATCTTTCGCTCATCCTGTTGCTGCGGTGAATTCGCTCAGTGGATATGAATTCACCTCCAACGAATTTGAGCAGGACTCTCCAACGAATGTGCGAGAGCAACTCGAAGAATGGCGAGGACTTTGCATCCCCAGTACTTGTAAACTCAAGGGGGATATTGTTTTTATAGTTTGAGATATAAACCTTTTATCGACGATTCATATAATGCCTGATATCGTGAAGAATTCCTAACAAAAGGTGGTACGATTATCCATCAAATATCAACCTATTATTTTAATTAAAACAAAGGTATTATTTTGTATTTCCTTTAAAATGTTTGTTAGGATACTTTTTGGTCGAAACGCCTAAGTTTTCTAGGACGCTTAGCCAGAGCTACGCCTTGACCTAGTGAAGGGTCAACGACTGCAGCGAAAAGCTGGACGGGATGTGGGTCACATTTGTAACCGTTAGCTGGGTAATCTGACCCCCGCTGCTCCACTTCATAAATCCCATGCGGCGAACAAAACAATAATCCTTTCCACTAACTTGAGTTGGAAATTAAGCATGAAAATGTTTTACGAAAAAGCGGCAAGGATTTAATCCGAAATAAATAATGATTTAGTAAAAAATGTGGATATACAGTAGAATCCTGTTATAACGACTCCGCTTATAGTGTCCGTCCGGGTTGTGCGTCGAAAACTCGATGGTTTGGTTGGTCCCCATACAAAGTTATATGAAAGGGCCTCCGCTTAGAGCGTTTCCGCTTTTAGCGACAAACCGCTTATAAGAATGAAATTTTTCAAGAAAATTGAAAAATTTAACCGGATATTGCGTCGTGCCGGAAAAAATACAGTGCCATAGTTCCAAATTTAAGCATCAAAACACGCTGTTAGAAATGTATGTACACATGCCAGAAAAAGTATGCGTACAAACTCGATGCCTAACTTTGATCGCTAAAAAAACATATATATATAATTGATATCGACTTAATTTTTTTTTTTATTGTTAACACATTTATTGATTATAAATATATTTAGTTTTTATTAACATAACACCTTAACTTTATTTATTAAAATTAAAAAACGAAAAAGTGACGAATTTTTAGCCAGAAAAAATATGCGTACAAACTTCAAAGTTGCTTAAAAATGGTACTTAATTCTAATTTTTAATAAGAAGTGGGGTACCCCTTTCGTTTGATAGCTTCCTCCAAACGTTTTGGCATTGATTGTACCAATTTTTCAGTCACCGATGGGGAAATATTAAGCCATTCTTCCATAATGACGTCCTTCAGCATAGCCTTCGATGTTATGGTTCGAAGGCGGATCCTGCGCTCCAAATGATCCCATAGATGCTCTATGGGATTCAAATCTGGCGACTGAGGTGGCGAGTGCAACTGGTTTTTGGTGTTATAGAGCAACCATAGCTTTACATTGTGGGCTGTATGCTTCGGGTCATTATCTTGCTGGAACCAAAAGTCCTCAGCTAACCCTAATTTTCTGGCGCTTTCGTGCAAATTATCTTTTAAAATTTGCAGATAAGCCTTGTGGTCCATGGTCGACTCGATAAACACCAGATTTCCTACTCCACTTGCCGCCATACACCCCCATACCATCACACCGCCGCCACCATGCTTTACAGTCGGAGCAAGATTTTGCACGTCCAGCGCTGTACCGCTCTTACGCCACACCAGTTTTCGCCCTTTTATTCCAAAAATGCAGAATTTACTCTCGTCGCTGAATAGGACCTTGTTCCAGAACACTGCAGGCTCCTGGACAAATTTTTTGGCAAAATCTGTTCGCTTTCTCTTATTGGCCGGCGATATTAAGGGCTTCTTCCGCGCGGTACGGGCATGTAAGTCCTCTTTCTTCAAAATTTTTCGGATTGTATCCTCATGAAGATCTTTGTTGAACTTCTCCTTGATGTCCTGAGTAATTTTGAAGGCTGTTAATCGAGGATTCAGCTTCACACTCTTCAAAACGTCCCGCTTCTCTCGATCCGTCAGCTTAGGTGGCCTTCCAGAACGTGGCTTTGACCTAATTGACCCGTTTAAATCGAAGTTTTCGAGCACTCTTTGTATAGAGGAATGAGCTCTGCCAACAATTTTCCCGATTTCCCGCAGAGTTTTCCCCTCATCTCGGAGTTTTACAATTAGTTTCCTTAAATCGGGATCAATTTCTTTTGTCTTCTTGCCCATTGCGATTTTTTCCTCGAAGTGACGAAATTTGCTCAAAGAACAAGTGCCAAGCAGTTCTTAGAGCTTTATTTACCGTTTCTAGTAAACTAACGGTACCTAAAGCTGCATACAGAGCAGATACACATCGTTTTTCAAATTTGTACGCATATTTTTTCTGGCTAAAAATTCGTCACTTTTTCGTTTTTTAATTTTAATAAATAAAGTTAAGGTGTTATGTTAATAAAAACTAAATATATTTATAATCAATAAATGTGTTAACAATATAAAAAAAAAATTAAGTCGATATCAATTATATATATATGTTTTTTTAGCGATCAAAGTTAGGCATCGAGTTTGTACGCATACTTTTTCTGGCATTGTATTTGTCAGTGAACGTCACCCTTGCTTGTGTGCGTAGCAGCGACACGAAGGATGTTGCACTGGCACAACTCTCTGTTAGTTTTAGCTGTCGCCTTAACAACGCTGCTGCGAGAGAGAGAGAGTCGAAGTGCAATGCCGACGTCACACTGTGTGTGCAGACCTCATAGTCTATTCCATGAGATGTCCCGTTATATTTCTAGTTTTTTCTTCTTTTTTTCCGAGTAAAACTGAATGTTTTAATTTGCTAAATGCAATATGTGCAATAATAAGCTCATTCAGTTTTCAGTATTTAGAAAAACCTATGTTTTTGAATTTAATTTATTAAATTTTTCGTTTTAATTAAAAAATTAATTTGATTTATTTTAAAAACCTATAACAAACACAGCAACCATAAAATAATCAAAAAAAAAAAATTGTTTTCCTCCTTTTGCTTAGTGCGTCTTCCGGTTATAACGACGAAAAATGGTCGGTCCCTTGGAAGTCGTTATAACCGGATTCTACTGTATATATGTACGTATAAAAGTGGGTTCCTGCATTCAAATGCTTCACTTCAAGCACTATCACTTATTCCCCAAATATTGTTTTACCGTTAATGAGAGTATAATTGCATACATACATACATACATACATATATTATTATTCTTCCTCTTACCTTTCAGATTGTGGCCCGTCGACATGACCTGAAGCTGATCGTGACCTCGGCCACGATGGACTCCACGAAGTTCGCGACGTTCTTCGGCAACGTGCCCACCTTCACCATTCCAGGACGCACCTTCCCGGTGGACGTGATGTTCAGCAAGAACACCTGCGAGGACTACGTGGAGTCGGCGGTGAAGCAGGCGCTCCAGGTGCACCTGACCCCCAACGAGGGCGACATGCTGATCTTCATGCCGGGCCAGGAGGACATCGAGGTGACCTGCGAGGTGCTCGAGGAGCGCCTCTCGGAGATCGAGAACGCGCCCCAGCTGAGCATCCTGCCCATCTACTCGCAGCTGCCGTCGGATCTGCAGGCGAAGATCTTCCAGAAGTCCGGCGACGGAGTGCGCAAGTGCGTCGTGGCCACCAATATTGCGGAAACGTCGCTCACCGTGGACGGCATCATCTACGTCATCGATTCGGGCTACTGCAAGCTGAAGGTCTACAATCCGCGCATCGGCATGGACGCCCTCCAGATCTACCCCATCTCGCAGGCGAACGCCAACCAGCGCAGTGGTCGGGCAGGACGCACGGGTCCTGGCCAGGCCTACCGCCTCTACACCCAGCGGCAGTACAAGGACGAGCTGCTGGCGCTGACCGTTCCGGAGATCCAGCGCACCAACTTGGCCAACACGGTGCTGCTACTGAAGTCCCTTGGTGTCGTTGATCTGCTGCAGTTCCACTTCATGGATCCACCGCCGCAGGACAACATCCTCAACTCGCTGTACCAGCTGTGGATCCTCGGGGCTCTGGACCACACCGGTGCCCTCACCACCTTGGGTCGCCAGATGGCCGAGTTTCCCCTGGATCCGCCGCAGTGCCAGATGCTGATTGTCGCCTGTGGGATCGGCTGCAGTGCCGAGGTCTTGATTATAGGTAAAGGAGGTTCTTATGCATATAAAGCATAGAACTAATAGAATAGTTAGAAAATTAAACTAAAAGTGCTTACTCGAGATTTAATGGAAATTCCCATCATAATTTTGTGCTTAGATATTTCTAAAAAGGAAAAAAAGAGGTCTATTGCAAGAGATAATGTTTTTAGCGAATAGATAAAAGCGAATAGAATAGAATAGAATTAATAGAATAGTTCAAAAACTAAACTAAAAGTGTTTACTCGAGATTTAATGGGAATTCCTATCATAATTTTGTGTTTAGATATTTCTAAAAAGGAAAATAAAGAGGTATATTGCAAGAGATAATGTTTTTAGCGTATAGATAAATAGAATAGAATTAATAGAATAGTTAGAAAACTAAACTAAAAGTGCTTACTCGAGATTTAATGGGAATTCTTATCATTATTTTATGTCTAGATATTTATAAAAAGGAAAATAAAGGGTCTATTGCAAGAGATAATATTTTTAGCGTATAGATAAAAGCGAATGGAATAGAATTAATAGAATAGTTAGAAACCTAAGCTAATAGTATTTACTCGAGATTTAATGGAAAATCCTATCATTATTTTGTGTTAAGATATTTCTAATAATATTTTTAGCGTATAGATAAACTCGAATCCAACTGCGACATTTGTTTGGGCAATGTTTTTATCGCTGACACTAAAACGCAGAAGAGAGCAATTAATTCGGCGAAGAATTCGATTGGGTTCATACAAAAGTTAATTAAACAACAAGTAGCATATAAAGTTATTGTAATCAAACAGCCAGAGAGTAGATAGCGATATTATGAGGCATTCCCATCCATTCAAGTTATATTGATTCGATTTTAAGATGTTCAAGTCTTTGTGCAACATAGAATATAAGTAATTTAACATCTGTAAGTTATATCTAAGGTTATCTGTATTAATTCAAAATCTCTTTCTTTTATTTGCCACAGTTTCCATGTTGTCGGTGCCCTCGATCTTCTACCGACCAAAGGGACGCGAGGAGGAGGCGGATGGGGTTCGCGAGAAGTTCCAAGTGCCCGAGTCCGACCATCTGACCTACCTCAATGTGTACCAGCAGTGGCGCCAGAACAAGTAGGTCCAATCAGCATGACTCCAATCCAATCATGACTGAAACCAGCTAATCAATCCCATATCCACTTGCAGCTACAGTTCCTCGTGGTGCAACGAGCACTTCATCCACATCAAGGCGATGCGCAAGGTGCGCGAGGTGCGCCAGCAGCTGAAGGACATCATGACGCAGCAGAACCTGAGCGTGAAGAGCTGCGGCACCGACTGGGACATCGTGCGCAAGTGCATCTGCTCGGCCTACTTCTACCAGGCAGCGCGACTCAAGGGGATCGGGGAGTATGTGAATCTGCGAACGGGAATGCCCTGCCACTTGCATCCCACCTCCGCTTTGTATGGCCTGGGCACCACTCCGGATTACGTGGTGTACCACGAGCTGATCATGACCGCCAAGGAGTACATGCAGTGCGCCACCGCCGTGGATGGCTACTGGCTGGCCGAGCTGGGTCCCATGTTCTTCTCCGTGAAGGAGTCCGGTCGCAGTGGAAGGGAGAAGAAGAAGCAGGCGGCCGAGCATCTGAAGGAGATGGAGGAGCAGATGCTGAAGGCCCAGCACGAGATGGAGGAGCGCAAGCAGCAGGCGGCCGAAAGGGAGGAGCAGTTGGCCGCCAAGCAGGAGATCGCCACCCCGGGAAATGCCACGCCCCGTCGCACACCGGCCAGGATCGGCCTCTGATCAGCTTACGAATAAGACACCTTTTGTAAAGCCCGTTTCGTTCAATTCATTTATGGATAAGTTTAACATGTTTTTTTTTGCTATACACTCCCCTAATAAAGAACCATTGTAAACTGAAGAAGGAGAAGGGCCACGAAGCCCACTGCTTGATTACTGGCTGCTCCACTCTCCACGAAGATGCACTTGTTGTCCTCCAATCGGTGGGTCTCGCTGCAGGAGCACTCGCCCCACTTGCAGACCATGGCAGCGGGCTCAGTGACGTTGTCCGCCTCCAGTGATTCGTTGCGACACTCGCTGTCGTGGCGACAGAGTGCTCCGAACGGCACGATGGGCTCACAAATGATCCGCTCCCGCTGGCTGTCCAGGTCCTCGTCCAGTTCATCCCTCTTGCCCACCTCGTTGGCTACCCTTTTGGGGTAGTGCGACGGTCGGCAGCTGCAAATGTGATCCAGGCACTGGCCATCGGCCTCCAGGTTTAGTTTGCACGGAGGGCTGTGCTCGCAGGACTCGCCGTAGGCGGCTCCCGGGATGCACTTGGTCATGTTGCGGTTGTGCACAAAGTTCGGTGCGCAGCCGCACTTCTTGGTTTTGGTGAGGCAAATGGAGGCGCCGCAGCCGTCGCAGTCTTTATCCTCGCGGCAGCTGGATTCTGGGAAAGTAGGATATGAATACTATTCTGATTATATGGTGTTTCCTCTCAGTGTACTCACGCAGCACGGCCAGGCATCGTCCCTCGTGGAGCTCGAAGTGGTTGCGACAGAGGCACTGGTTGGCGGAGCAGGAGCTGAAGCGATCCGCCAGCTGGCACTGCCGCTGGAACTCGCACTCTCCGCCCATTCTGACCACCTCCGGCAGACACCTCCTGCGATCCGCACTGGGCACGAATCCCGCGGAGCAGATGCACTGGTCCCATTTTGCAAAGCAGATCGCATTCGGCATGGGACACGGACAGGGGCCGCCGATGATGTTCGTCAGCTTCTCCTCCACGGGAGAACAGGCCACCTTTTCCCCGGAACCACGTGCCGTGCAGATGCAGGCCATGTCCACACAGCGACCGCGCTCAAACTGCGCACACTGGACGTCCGAGCTGCAGGACAACTCCAGCAGATCCTCCGATCGAGTGGCCGCTGGAAATCCAGCCAGCAGCATTAGAATCCAGATGTGCAGCATTTGAATTTTAGTTTTCTGCGGTTGCTCCACGTTGATCGACTGACTTGGGAAACCGTTACTTACCTGGGGATCAGTAAAAAGCTCGGCTTTTAAAAACACCTATCGATTATAGATAAATTAGTGCTGTCCGTTTTTTAAACGGTTCTAGCCTTTTTGTATTTTTGAATTATGTTGAGTAGTATACCAAGAAAAAAAGGGTCTTGGAAAATAATAAGGAATGTTAGCTTAGCGTTCAAGCTTTTCAAAACATTAAGTCGTTTGACTGTAAGTCTTAATATGTCCAAGTCATAATCAAAAAACTTTAACACAAATTTCTGGTAAAAACTATTAAAAATGGTAATTGTTAATTTAATCAAATACATATTTCGAATTATGGTCAAAAAAGGAGAAGTATAGTCCAAATATGCAGGGATGTAAGCCCTGTACCACCCCTCTGCGTCCGTCCAGTCTGTTTATAAGAACCGCTGCTGCGCATTCACCTGCTTCGAATTTCTGCTTGCCTCGTTTTTGGTGTCCCAAAAACAGCCGATTTTGCTGCCCAAATCGATTTTCGACACCAGGCAAACATAACTCATAGCTGGTTGCAGCTGGTAATTTGAATTTAATGAATTAAATTATATAACGGTTCTTTTCTTAAGAGAGCTGTCCTTGAAAGGCTTCCCCTCACTGTTCCACCAATCAGAAAGCCGTCTCGCTGAAAAGTACCGTTACTTCAAAGTAATCATCAGATTAGAGATGGAAAACCACGTTGATTCTTTGTGCGTGTCACGAAACTGGCACGCCGCGCACGAGTAATTAATAAACGTCCATATGGTTGTTGTTGTTGTTACAAGAATTATTTGTCACGCGCCCGTCACTAAGTAAATATATTTTAAACTGATCAGCTGATCGATTTGCACCTTCTTAGCGATTCTGTTTGCCTAGTGCTTGCAATCTAGTTCGTCACAATTTTCTTGCGAAAAGTGTGGTTCTTTTCGTGCATAAGCAGGGACGGACGCAGAAAAAAATTTCGGGGGGTCCGATCGAACAACTTTTTATTTTATTTATTAAACAAAATTAAATCTAGTATAAAACTATACAACACTCTGGAACACCCCCTGTGTCCGTCCCTGCAAATATGGAATCTTACACACCGTAAACTCGTAATCGAATTTCCAATCATTTGGCATTTACACTTCAAATTTTAAACGAATTGTTTATTGTTTAAATTTAATTGATAAAGCTCAGCAAAGACTTTAACCAATTTGAAAAGCTCAATTGTGATTTATCAATAACAGCGGGCGGGCAGTCTGGCAACATTGTGGAAAACGGTCGTTAGCCAACACTGTCGGCAACTCTAATAAAAAACGCGAGCCGCCTGCAAATTACAAAACACCATGTCTTTCAGTAATTTGTTAATGAAAAGCGGCCTAAGCCCGGGCGTACGTGGTGCCCAGGCCGGTGTCCTGATGACCACCAGCCGGCAAGGGCACACCATCCGTGGAAAGCCACCTGGCGTGGCTCGTTCTTTGGAGCAGAGAATCCAAGGTAGGTTGTTGATGTAACCATTATTCTAGAGATCTTTCGGTAACTATTAACCTGTTGTTTTTATATCCAACCAACAGAGGAAAACGTCAAGGATCCAGAGGTGATAGCCCGCGTAAATATTGGCTTCCCACAGCTAAAGGAATCCCGATCGGCGCAGTTGAAGGCAAGATTGGAGCACCTAAAAGCTCAAAGGAGCAGCAAGGAATTGGAGAAACTGGCGCGCAGCAATAAGCGTAAGTAAATCCCGGAAATATAATATGCTTTTTATGGTATTAATGGAAATATATGTAAATACCTGCCCAGTTATCATCGATTTGGACAAAGTGCAGCAAACGTATGTGAAGACGAGTGGTCAGCATGATCTTCGATTGCTGGCGGATCACTATGGCGTCTTCGAGCATTTGTTCGGCAGTGCCTACTTTGTGCCCCGAGTGCCGCTCAACATAAGCTACCAGCTGGATGGCGATAGCCTGGCCCCCGTCTACAATGGCAACGTGATCAAGCCAGCGGAGGCAGCAAAGGCTCCCCAAATCAGCTTCGATGGAAAGATAGATCCCATTACTGGACAGCCCGCTGGGCAGGATACCTTCTGGACCCTAGTAGCCACCAATCCCGATGCGCACTATACGAACGGCAAGGCGGAGTGCCTGCATTGGTTCATGTAAGATGGGGTTTCAGTTTAATTCTACTTGAATTTAATCATAACTGATCTCTTTTGTAGTGCCAACATACCCAATGGTCAGGTGAACGATGGCCAGGTGCTCGCCGAGTATCTGCCGCCTTTCCCGCCACGCGGTGTGGGCTACCAGCGCATGGTCTTCGTGCTCTACAAGCAGCAAGAGCGCCTGGATCTGAGTTCCTATCAGCTGGCCAAGGACGACTACAGCAACCTGGAGAAGCGCACCTTCAGCACTCTGGACTTCTATCGCCAGCATCAGGAGCAACTGACGCCGGCTGGCTTGGCCTTCTACCAGACCAACTGGGATGAGTCGCTGACGCAGTTCTACCACAATGTTTTGAGTGAGTTTGGGGGTATATAATCTCCATCAGATCTTTTATTTATAAAGTGTTATTTATGTCATGCAGAGAGCAAGGAGCCGGTGTACGAGTACGATTTCCCCAAGCCGTACCTCTCCGATCAGAAGTTCTTCCCGCTGAAACAGCCCTTCAATCTGTACATGGACAAGCACCGCGACCAGAAGCAGCTCAACAAGGAGTATCTGGAGCGCAAGCTGGCCAAGACGCATCCCTTCGAGGGTCCGGAGAAGCCGCTTCGCTTCCCGAATGCCCATGCCATTCGCGATGTGCCCTCTTGGCTGAAAACAGAGATCAGGAAACAGCGCTTGGGCACTGGACGGGTGCAGGATTATTAATGGGGAATCCCCGTACAACGATGTTAAGTTTTTCTGTGTAATAGTGGTTAACAAGTTTGTTTTTATTCACTGGAAGTACATGAGTCGCTAAAAGTACACAATTGCCTCATCTGCAAACTACAACTACGTGGGTATAGCCTAAATAAATATTGGAAGGGGGAGGGGGAATATATAGCGGGGGCATGCCATCGAATTGGACTTGGAATTAGAGTTGTGTGATGCGTTAACAATTGTCCGGAAGATTCTCCTTTAATGTGCTAAATTAATTAGTTTCCTATTTACTTTTTACTTGATCTCTCATTTCGTTTTGCTTGCCTTGCGCAAAATTGGTTAAATTGTTTTGTATTTTTGGCACAGTTTTATACGTTTTGTTTTGCTTTGCTCTGCTCCTGCTTTTGCTTTCTATAAATGATATATATCTCTGGATTCAGCTGCCCACGGTCCGTTCGAATCCCATTAAGTACTTGGACATCCAGGAACGGATCACGATTGCGAGTGGAAGCATTAAGTTTGCGCCTTGCCGTAGCTTCCAACTGGGGGTCTGTACATCGCCGGCAGAAAGGAGACCTGAGTTCGGTTGAAGGCGTACTTTCGCTTTCCAATATTCTTGAGAACGTTGTCCATGCGCGTGCCCTCACTAAAATGAAATGCATGGAGACAGTCTATTTAGCATTGGGGGGCTAATTGATTAGGGATCTTATTACGAGGTTAGCAAGGTATGCCACTCCATACTTCGATCATTATTTTCCTCTCACCTTCGCATTGTGCTGAGTGCGTAGGGCACGTGCTTGGCCGGCAGCTGGAACTCGCGCACGAGGACACGGCACTGCTCCAGGGTGACCGCCATTCCGGTGCGATCCTTGGCACTCTTGCAGGAGGTGAACCGCAGACCGTCCATCAGCCGGCAGGCGTCCTCGGCCAAGTGCAGGATCTTCACGTTCTTCGAGACGTTGGCCCGCAGCTGCTGCTCCATGAAACCGAGCAGCGATTGGAGGGACTCGCCGGAGTCCACTGTGCCGAGGCCCAGTTTGCGATAGCGACCGAAGTACTGACTCAGCCGCAGATAGTTGTCCCAGTTGGAGCGGTGCTGCTCCCGCGTTTGGCCCAAGGTCTCCGCGAAGCTGGCCTTCTCGTTGATGCCGATGTTGAAGAAGACGGGCGTGATCTTGAACGAGATGGAGGTGCCGTTGCCCGGCAGGGAGTGCTCCGGAACGGGCAGCTGGACCTCGAGTGCCTGGCGAGATCCTGTGACTCGGGGAGTGGGCGCCAGAGCCGCCTCGCCCTGCGCACGCACCAACTGGAAACTGACCGCGGAGAGGTCCTCGATGGCGATGCACATGTCGCTCCACATGTCCGCCTCGTTCCCGTACAGCGTCAGCAGGCCCTCGAAGTAGGCCAGTGGCCCCAGATCCCGGAGCATCACCAGGTAGCCCATGTCCAGTTCGCTGCCCCACAGCCGCAGCATCAGGGAGCTGACCAGAGCGGTTAACTGGAAGAGAAGGGGGAAATGATTTCGGTACAGAAAAATATTAGAGATCCTGTAATGAGTATTTCATCAGGAATTCGTGGATCCTGAACTACAATCAATAAATATTTCTTTGGGGTTAAGTTAATGTGAACAAGTGCGAATTCAATTAGTAAATAAAGCTAAAATTCCTTCATCATTTATACCTATCAAAGTTATTTGAGAGTTATCACAAATATATTGTTGAGCACCTCAATTATTTCAGTTTAATTAAAATGGAAAGATTGTAACTACTTTTAAGGTTTAAACCTAAACCCAAGCTTGTTTACCCTCTCCTATTCACTTTCTCCATTTCTCCATCATTAGCCAACTATGATCCTTACCGCTTGGGAGAAGCAGACGTCCCGGCGGTAGGTGATGCTCGCCTGCAGCCTGTTGCAGCGCATGTCCTGCTGCAGTCGCTGCACGGAGTGCATCAGCCTGGCGGTCTTCAGCAGGCGGTCCATGGCGTGGCGCAGCTTCCGCATGCTGGGCCGCAGCTCCGCCGCCCAGTCCGTGGTCATCGAGAGGTCCAGGCCGTCGGTGAACTTGTTGCCCTTCTTCACGGCCGCCGGCAGAGTCACTCCAGATCCGTTGCCACCCTCCCCGGAGGGCTTGAGATCCAGCTCCAGCTGGGGTGGCTGCTTGCCGGCCCTGGGAGCAGCAATCACATCCGGCGCCTGTTGCGGCGCCACTGCAAATCCCTCCCGTTTTATGGGAGCCTTTGGATGGCGCAGCCGAATCGCTGGACTGTCGCAGCGACCGCAGAAGAACTTCAGCTTGCTGACCAAACACATCACGCTCGCCTCGATGTTCAGCTGGGTGAGATCCAGGGGCTCCGGCTCCTCGGTGGGCCGATAGTAGTTGGCCGACGGCGAGGAGCTCATCAGCTTGGTATCCAGGAAGCCGGCCGGCGGCTGCTGCTGATTCCGCCGCTGCTGCGCCTGCCTGCCCACCATCTCGTCCAAGTCGATCAGCTGCAGCACGGATGGCGCATCAGCTGGCGGTTGTGGAGCCTGCGTGGTGGTCTCCTCCGGTCGCGAGTGCCAAGCCAGCGGCAACGACTGATATGTGGCCGCCTCCTCCTCCTCCTCGTTCCCACGCGGGCTCCTGCCCTGCTCCAAGCTCCTCAAATGATCGTTGTAGCACTTCACCACGTGCTGCAGCGAATCGATGGCTCGAATGTCCAGCGAACTGGACGGGGAGCTGTTGCTCGGATGCCAACTGTTCGAGCGCATCAGCGGCGGCTGACCGCGTGGCCAGAGATCTGGGGGCGCCACCACCGGCGTGGCAAAGTCCTCCAGTTCCGGCGACTTCAACTCCAAGGCCGTCAGCTGCTGGGTGATTTTGCGGAACGGCGACATCGGCTCCATCATCACGTTCTCCGGCTCCTCGATGATGCGATGGCGCTCGATGAAGGCCACCGCCTCCTCGACGATGCTCGGCTCCCAGATGTTGAGCAGCGTGCGGGTGCGCGCCACCATCTGGTTGCACAGCGGCATCATGTCCTTGGAGCTCCTCCGGCCGGCCAACTGCAGCAGCTGGGACATCAGCTCGACGATCTCCTTGCGCAGCTGCTTGGTGGCCTGCACCGCGTCGTTGGCAGCCTGCACCTTGCACGCGTTGCTCTGTTCCAGCTTCCACGATTTGCTCTCCTGCAGCAGTCTAAAGTATAAAGTAAATAGACCACTTAATACAAGAAGATTCGATGGGATTGAAAGCAAAGGTTAAAGGTAAAAGTTAAGAAGGGAAATCTCTTAGTTTCAAGGAAAGAAAGAAAGTAATCATCGATTGATGATGGTGAAAAATCAGGTTTTCTAAAGATATATAACACACATAGTTTAATAAGCCAAGATTGTCGGATTTTCCTCACTTATTAAGGTTGATATATGTTTGAGTTGAAATGGGAACAAACTCCTCTTTAATGTTAAATTGTTATCCCCACTCACTTGATGAGACCGCCGCACTTGCGTCCCTTGGCATCGTGGCGAGTGAAGGCGCCCACGGTGACCACGTCCAGGAGTCCCCTTCGCTGCAGCGTATCGTTTTGGGCCCACATCCGCTGCACGTGCAGATTGACCGGCAGGAACTCCAGCGACTCGTCCGCCTTCGCCGAGGAGCGCTTGAAGGAGACGCCTTCGCGGGCCAGCTGCTGGATGTTCTGCTTGGCCTGCGAGTAGTCCTTGAGCAGGCGCAGGTGCTCCTCGAGCAGGTTCATCTGCCGCCAGCGCCACTCGCCGCTCAGCTCGCCCATGCCGGAGATCTCCTGCAGCAGCTCCTTCTCGCGCTGGATCCAGATGGAGAGCAGCTGCTGGGGCAGCTGGCAGCACAGGCGCGCCTCCAGCAGCGTCTCCTGCACACTGATGTCCGCTCCCAGGGAGGAGTGCAGGCGGTAGGTGCGCAGGCGGGGATTGGAACACACCCTTTGCAGGCCGCACTGCTGCGGCACAAACAACCGGACGCCCAACTTCGGAGGCAGCGATTGGGTGCGTCGATGAGCTGTGGATATCGTATGGGATTAGCATTAAACAATGCAATTTAAGCTGTGAATAAGTTGCTTAATGAATCAACATGGGAACTATCTATGTAAAGATTACTCATATTTCCTAAACTTTAGTTTTAATATCTTGTTTGTACAACTGAATAAAATACGAATATAAAAATAATGTTTTTTCTCTGACTAATATATAGCTTCTATGGGGTTTTACTTGGCTTATTGAGTACATAAACTGATGGGATAGAAACAACCACAATTGCTATGTACATATAATGTTGATAATATCGATTGAATAACAAGTTTTCCCCACATCTTTAAAACATATATATGTATAGATTAAATTTGTATGATATCGAGTGAATAACAAGTTTTTCACGCATTTAAAGCACACTAGCATTAACTTAATATTAAAATAAAGCTCTATTCTTAACCCTCGAAACATTGGAACCCTGCTCCCCAAGGAATCTGCTTGGGCTACATTTAGAACCCCTCCGTTTCTCACCCCTTCTGCCGCTGGTGGCTGCTCCCGTTGCGGCGCTCGATCCCGAAGCTGATCCATCAAAAAGCTGAGTGCTGGAACGCGGTGGTCCGTTGCCCGACTGGCCGGTCTCCACGGCGGCGTCGGGTGACCAGGAGGCCAGCGTGATGAAGCCACACTCGCCGCGCGGCGAAGTGAGCGGCAGTCGCAGCCGACTGGTGTCCTGGAGAACGCCCAGGTTAACCTCGGCATGGCCCAGCGGAAGGGCGGTGAGCGTCATCCTCTCGCGGACATCGAGGACACTGAAGCGAAGTCGCGTGGCGGCCGAGCAGCCAGCACTCCGCTGGAAGCGCATGGTGCAGAGGAACTGCGGACTGCGAGTGCGCTCCTGCAGCTCCGTGCGCGCGTGCTCCCGCCAAACGCAATCCTCTCCAGTGGCCGGCAATAGAGAACAGACCACCTGCGGATTGGGCGAGCGACCCAAGGTGTCCAGCGGAAGGGAATCACACGAGAGGGCCGTCTCGCAAATCGGCAGCTCCGAGAGGTCGAGTTCTGCGAAAAGAAAAGCGAAATCGGGTGAGTTCACCAATGGGGGGACACATCTTAAGCGGGGGAGGATCAAAAAAAACAAACAACAGTTAATTCCGTTTAAATTCATTAGCAAATCAACAGTTTATTCCAAGAATAAATTCATCTTTTTAGCTCCATCACATGGATTAGATTCCCAGCTCCGATATTCCTTCGGATTAAATATACATAAACATACAACATATAAATTCAAAATAGAGGAATCAATTGCTACCCATCTCCGATTACGAGTACAACATACAAAGTTTAATAATAATAATAATATGCAGAATGTGTGCGAATGATGTGTTTCTTGTTTTGGGACTCGCCCAAAAATGGAATCGAATGACAATAAACCGAATGTGGGTGCTGCGTGAGAGTGAGCGAGAGCGTGAGTAAGTAAGTAGGATTGGAGTGCAGGTGCGGTTGCGTGAGTGGAACAGAGCATTGGTAAATGTTTGGGGTTTGGTTAACAGAACTGAAACAATAACGACCTCCACGCTCCTCCGGCTGATTGTTTGGTTTTGGTTTTGTGGTTTTGGGTTAGAACTGTATAAGATCACCTTCAAACGAGGCCATCGCCTCCTCCTCCGCGCGGCCATCCTGCAGCTGCAGCTGCTCCTGCACCTGCTGTTCCAAGGGCAAGGATACGGGCATCCCCAGATCAATGTGATTGCCCATTCCCGTGGCGTTCAGCTGGCGGCTCTGCTGGGCTAGTATCTTATCCTGTAGCTGGCGGATCAGCAGGTTCAGCTTCTCGCTGGAGGCCTGTTCGATGCAGTTCACCCAGGCCAGTCGCTCTGCCGAGCTGCGGGTGATAAAGCGCTCCGATGTGCTGTCCTTGAAATCTGCAACAGTTTATAAATCAAACAAATGGCTTTAACTCCTAGGGAAAGCAACTTACCTATATCAAATACGTAGCCCTCGGGATCACGCTCCTCATTCTGGATCCGCGGACGACAGTTCTCCAGCACCAGGAGGCCGGCCACCGCTGACTTGGGGTCCTTATCCTTGAGGTAGAACAGTAAATTGCCACGCAGTTTACACCAACGTTCAACTCTGACTGTGGGCGGGAGAATGAAGTGCATAAGCAGAGTGCCTGGACAGGACAGGACCTTCTAGTGGGTCGGGTGGGTGTGGATTTTTGCGGGTGCTCGTGCAGGTGGGGGTGCAAGAGTGCAGGTGGCAAGTGCCAGAGCAAGTGCATGAGTGGTCTAATCAGGGATACCTTCGCTGGAGCGCCACAGGAAGCCCTCCTGCCGGTCAATGATGATGAGCGGACCCTCCTTGTCGAATCGCGTCGCTGGATTGCTGGCCAGGGAGTTCAGTTCCGACTTGTTAAAGCGCATGGCGGTGGCGGCGTCGCGTTGTCGTTTGCGTCGTCGTCGTCGTCTGGAAATGGAAATGCAAAATGGAATTGGATGAAACTCATTCGATTAGCAATCCGTAGATGGAGAGGCACTCCCGCAGTTGGCCACATAAATAATTCACTGCAATTACACGATGTGTACGTGGCCCGGTGGGCGTGGTCGTGGCCCTGGCCGGGCGGAGGGGGTCGGGGCAATGCTGCCAAGCGTACACATACACACCTCCTGCTCCTGCGCCTCCCTTTTGGTCCTGCTGCGACCTCGTTACGCCTTGTTGTTATTGCCCGTGGCTAATGATGCCCAGCTGGCAACGGCCACTCGCTCTCACTGCCTGCTCCCGCTGGCCAACGAGCTGTGTCATCCGATGCTCCGAGAGTCTCCCCCTGCCCCACCGCTTGGCTTTATTTAGCTAATGATAAACAAACTAATTAAATTTAGCTACAGATAAGAGCACTGCTCTGCTGCTTCATATTGGAAAATCTGCTGTGGGCGACAGTGTTGAGCAGTGGCATGCCTAGAGATGACACAAGTTGTCGTGACTTGTCGTGGAGTTAAATAAAAACTTATGCGATGAATAGTCTTTTTAAAAAATGTTTATTATAACCAATTGTAAATTACAGTTAAATTTATTTTTGTAAAAGTTGAATCTCAGGTATCGACGTTCTAATTGGAAATTTATCAGCTGGACTACAGTGTTGAATAGTTCTTGAAGCGGTCTCACTCGTTGCTTAGAGATGGAAGACTAGCAGCACTCATGAGTATCGACACGAAAATTTAAATTGCTGAACTGCCAAAAAGAATATAGAAACGTAGATGCATAAAAGAAAAACCGTTAAATATTTTTACACAATAGTGATTTAAAAAACGACAAGATTTATATCAAATGTATTATATTTATAACAGTACGTAGATAACATTTAACTATAAACAGAGAGACAGAATGACACACATAAAAGGATCTAAATGTACAATGATCATGGTACCAGGGATAATAGCTATTAAAACTGCATTGTCCGATTTCCAATTTTCCAGTTCAGGGCTAGTGATGTCGGCTGCTCTTGATGTCCACGTTAAATTGACGCGACCAATCTGACAACAAATCAAACTGGAGGACATAAGGTGTTAACTATATAAGCAAATTCGAAAATAAGTTAATGCTAACTTACATCACGATCCATGATATTATCGCAGAAACTCAGGTCGAGCAATTGAAGCTTGGGACAGTGAACCAAAATGCTGAATAATTTAATAATTAATTGTTATTGTTATATTATATTATTCAATATTGAAGAAAACCTACTCATAAACACGTTCGTGCGTTATGTTCAGAATGCCCATGAGGTCAAGTTGCTCCAGATTCTTGCCCAGTGCGGCAATATGCATGAGATCGCGTTCGGTAGTTCCCCGGACCGCCGACAAGAATAGCTTTTTCAGCTTGGGGCAGTTGGACAGCAGCTGGAACAGGCCATCTCCGAGAGATGCTTCCCTTAAGCTATAGCAAAAAAGCAATAAAATAATGGGAAATAAATAATATATGTCAAGGGACTAGACACTAACCACCAGCCCAAATCGAGCTCCTCCAACTGATGAAGGCGCGCCAGCGACTGGAGTCCTCGGGCTGACAAAAAATGCGCCTTCCAAAGATCCAGAGAGATCAGCTGCGTATTGTAGGTGGCCAAATGGGCGGCCACATTATCCATGTTTACCGAGACACCACAAAAAGCTAATCTCAAATATAAAATAAATGTTTTAGGGTTTCTAAATCAATTTATTGTCCTTTGCTTACCCAAATTCAGGTGTTTCAGCTTGCGATTGCCCTCGAGCATGCTCAGCAGAAGTTCCGTTTCAAAGGCCGTTTGGAAGAGATCGAGACGCTCCAGATTCTTGAGGTTGGCAAGACAGGAGAAATTTAGCAGCGGCGGATCAGTAGCGCAGTTGCGCAGGCTCAACTCTGTGATAGTAAATATATCATTAAAATATGTATTCTTCAGGAAAAGGTGTTGAGTACAGCCAACCTATTAGATTATCACAGACTATGCCCACGTTTTCAATGCAGCTAGCATTGAGAAATTTACAGGAGTTTAGTCGCAGGTGGGTAAGATTATCGCCGCGTTGGGTGAGGAATCTAAAAGGGGATTATGAATGGATTAGCGTAATCCTTTAGATCCTTTAACCAGAACTCACTTCTTAAACTCGGTGGGCGAAACGTTGCCAAGACCGCCGCACCAGGATAAGTCTAGCTTCCGCAACATGGTTGCCCGACGGGCCAGGGTGCACAGCAACTCCGAGCTGGCCACATGCCAGTAGGGCTTCAAGCTGAGCTCCGCGTAGAGCAGCGGATGCGTGGAGATGTCGTAGAAGATGCGCGACACCTGGCCCACGCGAAACAGGGACTTCAGGTCCAGGTAGCTGAGTATGCGCAGGAGGATCTCGAAAGGCAGATCAGTAAGGCAGATTTGCGGCGGCGCCGGGGGCTCCACCCGATTCTCCATCAGGAACTGGCTCAGATCGTTGTTGATGAACTCGTGCAGCTTGGTGGCTCCATCTTCGCCGACATTCGGTTGGAAATTCAGCGTGCGCAGCTTGTTGCTTATGGTTCCACCACTGCCTTCGTGGGGTGGCGAATGTCCAAGAACTTCCGCCGCAAGTGATTGCCTCTGCGATCGCTGTTGCATCCGCTTCTCCTTGCCAATGAGCTTTTGCGCTTGGAAGACGGTGCGACCGCACAGCATTATGGCATCGATTTCTGTGTAATAGTTCAGCCTGCTGTGGTTGAAGTCTATGCGCAGCGTTCTGTAGGAAATTAATAGGTTAATATTAGTCTTAATGGTCAGTTTGTTGGGTTCTTACTTCGTCATCAAGTTGGTTTTCTTAAGTGGCGGCGCAAAGCGACGCGAGTCTGCCGGCGGTCTTGCTAGATCCTCTTCAGTGGCCTCCCACAGACAGGTCCAGTGTTTGGTGAGGCTGTAGGCCCAGATTCGAACTACGGCGCCTGGATTAAAGGTCTCAAAGATGGCCACTTCCGTCGGCACGACAAACTCCTCAAAGTACACAACTGAAATGAATTGAATTAATGAGTAAAAATTGTTTATATAATTAAATTTATGCAATCTGTTCAAATAAAACTCATCATCTTTAAAAGCGTCCCTATACTAAGAATCTTACCAACATAGTCGTGAGTGGCCAGCTTCGGTAGATTCTGCGGCTGAATCTCCCGCGTGGCTGACGGAGCCCGCTGCCACCAGTCGCCGTAGGTGCGCTGCGGGCGAGAGTTGAAGGGGAAGTCTGAACGGGTGTTTCTACCAGCACCAGACCGACTCACCATGGGAAAGGTCTCGGGATAGTCGCCGTAGGCAGGATACTTTGTTGGCCGCCCAATCACGTTGGCCGCCGTGTACGAGATGCTGTAGTCGATGCCATACTGCGAGCTGAAGTCCAGCACACCGAGGACATACTGCTCGAGGTAGTAGCCCTGGTCGGACTGCTCCTCCGCCTGCATCTTGCTGCCGCTGCCAAACCAACCGCCGTACTCCCGCTGTCGCTGACGCAACATGGCCGTGAAGTCGACGAGGGCGTCCGCCTCCGCCTCCGTGTCGCTGGAATCGCCCGGTTCGCCGGCGTAGGCCAGCAGGGACATTGCCAGCGCCAGTTGCCTCGGACGCGGACCAAAAGTCAACCTCAGCGTGTCGATCGCCTGCAGGCAGCACGCGAGTCCCAGTTCCCGACCCGCGTACCAGGGCAGGCGATGGGCATAACCAAGCCAGAGTCGCTGTCGCTTTCGTTGTTCTTCCTGATCCGGCTCCCTAGTCCCCTGACTGAATTGTCCTGCTGCTGGTTTCCCGTTGGTTGGGTTGTTCTGGTCGCCAACGGTAATTGTGCTCCCCGAGCGTGTCCTTTCTATAACGTTTTCGTGGCTGAGGACCACTTTTGTACGGTCTCGGTGCAGGGCCAGACCTTAGGGGCTCTATACCTTGAAATTCTCAACAAAGGTAACCTTGTATATGAAGGAACTTTTAAAGTTTCAAGGCTTAATGTGTGATCCTTGGGTGTATCGCGTCCTTAGGTTTTCCGTGGATGGGGACCACTGGGGTTCGGTCACGTTGCTGGGCCAGACCCGAATGAATTTTGCTCCCGGTTTGTAGTCGCACTTGGAAAATGCTAATCCAATTAATGGTAAATTGTAGGGTCCTCTTTGTTTTCCAGCTTTATCCGCGCTTTGCTTTTACTTGGTCCGGTGAACTTTGACTTCTACCCGCCTCTTCTGTCAATGGAGGGGGTCTCTAATTGTGCTAATTTTCTGGGCGGTAGCAATTTATACAGCTTGTTCTTTGGCAAAACGAAATTGGCTCACAAAATTTTGGCTCGTCAAAATGAAAACAACAATGTTAGTTAGTGGTGGCACAAGCAACGATGCCTGATACTTTCCTTGAATCCGTGACTTGTAGTTTATCGATGTTTTCTTCGCTAATCGATAACATACACTTAAAAAACTGTTGCTAAATATAGTAAGATAAGGAAGATTATAAAAATATGAATACAAATTTAATTTATTCTAAATTGAATTCTAATAATTTAAGATCTATGATATTACATAACATTTTTCCCCAACAACTTCATGTCTTGATGATCGTCATGCAAGATCGTCGTCAGCAGCTTTGTATGATTGCTCTATCGTGCAGAGGCCACCCTATCTTAACGTACCTAGTCCCCCTAATCCAACGGCGTGCAACAGCTGAATTCTGCAATTCCATGCTGCGATTGCATTTGCCATTGTTTTTCAAAAGGTCCTTCAGCATGAAGACTCGCCCGAGGCTGGACTACCGCAACAAGCTGATTTTGGCGCCCATGGTGCGTGTAGGCACACTACCCATGCGCCTTTTGGCCCTGGAAATGGGTGCGGACATCGTTTACACGGAGGAGCTGGTGGACCTAAAGCTGATCAAGAGCATTCGAAGGCCCAATCGTAAGGGAACTGCACATCAAATCACCAAATTACCAATCTAACCATATTCCCTATCCCTCCAGCTGCTCTTGGCACCGTGGACTTTGTGGATCCCTCGGATGGAACGATTGTTTTCCGAACTTGTGAGCAGGAAACCTCGCGTTTGGTCCTCCAAATGGGCACCAGTGATGCAGGACGAGCTCTGGCCGTAGGCAAACTGTTGCAGCGCGACATCTCTGGTCTGGACATCAATATGGGTTGCCCCAAGGAGTTTTCCATCAAAGGCGGCATGGGCGCCGCCCTGCTCTCGGATCCCGACAAGGCAGCGCTCATTCTGCGCACTTTGTGCTCCGGCCTCGACATTCCCGTCACCTGCAAAATACGCATCCTGCCCGACGTGGAAAGTACGATCGATTTGGTGCAAAAGCTAGCCGCCACAGGTATTGCAGCGATTGGTATTCATGCGAGAACGCGCGACGAACGACCTCAGCACCCTGCTCATCCCGAAGTTCTGCGTGCGGTGGCCAAAGCAGTGGACATACCAATTATAGCCAATGGTGGCTCGAAGAGCATGCACTGCTACGAGGATCTGCACAAATTCCAGGCGGATTGCGGTGCCCACAGTGTGATGGTGGCCCGTGCCGCGCAGCAGAATGTGAGCATCTTCAGGAAGGAGGGTCCGCTGCCCATGGACGAGCTGATTGAGAAGTACCTGCGATTGTGCGTTGACTACGACAATGCGCCGCACAACGCCAAGTACTGTGTGCAGAGTATTCTCAGGGAACTGCAGGAAACGCCGCGCGGTAAGCGCTTTCTCCAGTGCCAAACACTTCAGCAGATTTGCGAGATTTGGAACCTAGGCGACTACTGCCGCAGGAAGCAGAGGGAACTCAAGACGATGGGTAACTCGGGTAGGGCGGAGGTGGAGCCACCCGAGGCGCAGGCCAAGCGACAGAAGCTAGAGGAGGCGGCCACGGCCATTTCGGATGAGTTTGTGGGCGTCATTTGCCGGAACATGCCCTTTCTGCGTTCCACTTTTCCCAGTGGTAAGTGACCAGTGATTAGTAAGCAACAGTTTCTACATCTTCTCCCTTCCCCACAGATAACCATTTGCCGAAGACGCAGCTCTATGTTTATGCTGGGAAAGCTGGCAAATCGCCTCCAGTCTACGAAACGCAGCAGTGCGACAAGTTGTTCCGCTCTATTTGCAGCTACGATGGCCAGCGATTTAGCAGCTCTTTTTGGGAGAAGAACAAGAAGCAGGCGGAACAGGGAGCCGCTCTGGTGGCCCTACTCCACCTGGGCCACTTGGAGGCGGAGGCTTTGCGCGATAATGGCAGCCTGCTCAATTGACCACCTTAGCTTGTTATCTGTTTGCCCATTTGTGTTAAATTGGTACCTTCTCGACTATGTGCGAACTACTTTGTCAGGTCTTCAATTGTATGATTTTTGCAATGCGAATTGCAGCTTCCTTTTATGTTTAAAGTAGTTGAATACTAGTGTTACTTGAACATAATTGGGTTCAAATTATGTATATTTTCTCAATAAAGAAAAGTTCAAAAATGTTACGTTTATGAATACTATTTTCCTAAGAAACAAAAGGACTTCTCTAAAATGTTGTTTCAATTTTGCAATAAAGTTGTTGGTTAAATTCAGAAACAAAAAATATGTATTTGCTTATGAATTTACACATGGAATATTCAAGGAATGTTATTTTTTGTTAACCCACAGCTTACAGTAAATCCTATCCCAATAAAAACATAATACATCACATTCCTCTAATTATTTAAGGCCTAAAAAGATTTCAAAATCCAACTCCCAACGATCATTGTAATTCAAACAGTTTGTTCGGCCAACACAGAGTTGAGTGTAATTCTCATTTTGAATTATATTTATTGGGAGGGGCTGTTTAATTTCCTAGTGTCGGGTTCAATGGTGAGATGGAGAGATGAGGCGTGAGGAGCTACGCTTAGTGGGGCCGGCGCTGGCCCTGCGATCCGCCATGGTGACCATGGCCATGCGGATGAGCATTGGGCGGCGGCGGCATCATGGCATGATCATCGCGAAAGCCGCAGTTTGCGATGTAGTTTAGTAGGTATTCCTTAGTAACCGGGTGCTTTATGCTCTCCACAACGGCTGCAATAGCATTAAATAGTAGAGTTTATCCAAGCTGGTAACCGATTATTTTTACTTACAGCGTGCTGTATTGTAGCTATTGGGATGCTTCTTGTCTGTTCGCTCGCGCATAAAATCCCAGTTACCAGACTGATTCATAGTGCACTCAACGATCCTGTTGTCCAAGTCACGGATCTCCTTTGTCAGCTTTTGCATTCGCCCGAATGGAGCATCATGGCCGCCCACATAGAGGAAGCCCACTTTCTTGGTGAGCAGGCTGCATCAAGCAAAAGATGGTGGGTTAAACCCATGGGAGAGGCTTCATTACAACTATCTTACCCTTCGCCGCGTTCCGTGATAATTTTTAGCCGAAAGTCCACGGAGTTCAGCTCATGTGGCTTCCACTTGAAGACGTCTGGGCAAACGCCAGCGGTGTACGGCTGCTGGGATGGCTGAAAGATCAGGCCATCGGGCTCGTGGGCCAGCGCTCTTGAGAACTTCTCACCCAAAAGGCGGGCAGACATCCAAATGTCCCAGAAGTCTTTGCCGCGCACACTAAAAGCCTGCAGTCTCTGGTTAATAATGCCATGCTTCATGCCGAGGATGCGGGGTCCTGCATTTGATTGTTTTATTTAGTTTCATTAAGTTAATAAATATATGAAATACTTGATTGCAATTATTTGAGTGAATATATAATAACTATACATTCTCTAAGCAATAAAATGCAATAGAGTCTTGACAAACCTTAACGATCATCCTACCCAACAACAAACCAACTCACCTATAACATCCTTCTTAATGTAGTCCAGTCGATTGGGATAAAATGGCTCGTCCTTTACATCGCGATGCGAAAGACGCACAATATCGTAGACGAGGTAGCGCGGCGTCACAGTATCGCCAATCTTGTCCAACACCATTTCCTGCAGGGCCAAAACGAAAAAGTGATTAGATAAATCCAGCGATCTGCGATTGACAAAGTTACCCCATCGACCAGCGTGCCCTCGAGGTGTTCATTTAGGTTCTTGCCATCCACAAATGCCACGTTCTCCACCTGGAAGCACGAGTGGTTGCGGTCGAAGAAGTACACCTCATCCCGGCCGTCGATGAGCATCATGTAGCGTGTGCCATCCGCCTTCCATGACACTCGATAGGGTATCTCGCTGAGTCGCTTAATGTTCTCCTTTTCCATTGAAACGGGTTGGGCGCCGGGAAAGCCGTTCTTGTTCCAGTGGCACCAATCCTGCACCTTGCGCTGCAGATCCCCTAGTCGCGGCTGATCGCTGACTTGCCGCACGCCCGGCACGCCGGCCATAAAGGTGGCGTTCTTTATGACCATCTCGCGGCGTCGCTTCTTTCGCGGCTGTCCATCTGATGTGGATGCATCGCCATCGCCCTCAGCTTCCTCGCCTTCCAGCTCCTCGGCGTCCTCCTCTTGTTCACCAGATTGCTGTGAGGTGGAGGAGCTGTTGTCGTCGAAGTGCCGCTTGCGACTGTCCGGGACCGAACCATCGCCATTGCTGTCATCGTAGTCCAGACACCAGTTGGGTTGCTCTGGCGCTGGAGGCGCATCTTCCTCGTCTTCATATCTCTTGTACAACTCGTTAATGTAGTCCTGCTTGTAGATGCCCGGTGGTCGAGCATTGGCAAAGACCGCAAGGGCTGCCTCCACGGAGCAATCCAGCCGTTCGACCATGTAAGAGACAATCAGGAAGCCGGTGCGATTGAAGCCGTGAGTGCAATGCACGGCGATGACGTCAAAGGGACGCTCGTTTATAAAGTTGTCCACGATCTCGATGAAGCTGTGCGTCTGCTCCGGCGAGGGTGTCTCGCCATGCCCGCGACACTGCAGCTTAATGTACTGCGCGCCACGCTCCTCCACCGTCGAACGATCGTAAAAGCGTTTCGTGTTGGTCAGATCCACCCAGAGGCCCAGTTTAAGCTGTCATTAGGGATTAAGCGGTTACAAGTGGGCAGCAGAGAACGAAAACTATCTACCTTGAGCGTCTTGCAGTAGTCAAAGAGCATCTCGGGGCGAAACGTGCACTCTATGGGCATCTTGTCCTGAAAACTCTGACTTAGCGGGGTTTTAAAGGCCAGAAAACGCTCAGCGATGATGGAGTCACTCTTGCGGGGGCAATACAGCCAGCGGTTGGGCAACGGCCCGGAGCCACGCTCGCGATCTCGATGGGATTGGGCCATGCTGCGGTCGCTTCTGCTGCCAGTTGATGACGACGACCGACGACCAACGACGACGACGACGATCGCGAAGAGGACGAAGGACGGGCGCGATTCGCGTTCCCGGTGCACGTCGAAGGACGGCGGGGGTAGGGGACAGTTGCTGGAGCAGATGTGGATCCCGATGCAGCGAGTGCTCGCCGGCCTTTCGAGGATTCGTTTTCGTCGCCCTGGAGAATTGTTGTGGTTGCGTTGAGTGTGACCGCGCACAAGTACAACAAGCATACGGTGGCCCCCAGAAATATACCAAAAAGTACAAAAATACCATATAACCGATAGCACCGGTGTTACCGTATCAGTCGCAGGCAGCGATGAGTAGTTGCTATCGATAGCTTTGCTCAAACTTTGTTGGGGGTATTTTTTATTTTTTCAAATTTGAATTTCAGATTGTTAAAAGATTGCACAAAGCTTTTGTGATATTTAACTGAAGTATGTATGATTTATTTTTGTTTTATGTTCGCATTAGGCATTGCCAGAGCTCGCAAGGTAAAAATCGGAAAAAGGTAAATATTATTTTTTGTAATATTTACATTTCTGTTGTAAATACTCGAAATTTACTTCTCGAAATTTATTTCCAAATTACGGAAACAATAACAAAAAGGCTTATTCTAGGGCAGATTTCCTCATTTTACTAAAGTAAAATGGTAAAACAGCAAAAATTTGTTTCGTTTCAAAAACGTCTATCTTTTACCGCTAAACTATATCGTTAATCGGTTTTCAAAATTCACACGAGCTGCAGAATAGTAGCGAAACTTTTGCATAAAAATAAACAGTTTAATTGCTGCATATTTCCCCGTCGGTGTGTATACGCATCGCGATTCGATATGAACTTGGGGCACACACAGCCCCACAAAAAACCCAGAGAATTATTTACTGCAGTGTAAATAAACAAGGCGTCCCCGCCTTATTGTTTTTGGGTTCGGATACTTAACAACAAAATGCTCGCTCGGCCGCAGAAATGCCCGATGTGAAAATCGAATGGCCATTTCGCTCCTCATTCGATCCATGATCGCTGATCGGGCGCGATCTCCATTCCAATTGTAAAGTTTTTTTTCTCCAAATTCCGATCATTTAATTTGCAGTTTCAAATAGTTCGATCGATCGTATCGCGGCCCATTTAACCGAACTAGACCGTAAGCCATTTGGGTTCGTCGTAAATTTTTCGATGGCCGCGACCGTACCGATTTCGCAGGCCCCAAAACGCCAGCCGGAACCCAAATTCCCGGCAGCAATGCGGCGAGGATCGGGAACGGTGAACTCCAACCCGGCAGTGCCCAAATCGCCGGATGCACTCACCTCGCTGGTGGCCAGAAAGAGTATTACGTCCATGTCGGAGGAGGAGATCATCCAGGAGAACCTCAATGAGATCCTTGACCTCAAATCGCGCGTAAGTTCGGGATCAGATATATATAGGCTATTTGGAGTATCTAATATCCATAGGTAATTTTTTTTTTGAGTACATTGGCAATTCATGCGATTCTTAGAAAACAATATAAAAACAGATAAAGAAATAGTACCTTAGAATTTCTGCATCCCCACATGGTTTTACGCGAACTCCTCATTTTTCCAATCCATTAAAGAACTTGAAAAGTTTCGGTTCAATATTTGTTAATGTACATACATATATTACTGATATAGAACTTTGAAATAAACCATTAATTTTTAGGTGTTTCTTGCTAATTTGAAATTAAATTGGATAAAAGGAGCTTTCGATTTTGGATTCCAAACTATCAGTGCTTTTTTTCTGTGTTCGTGATTCATCGGAAACACCTTGATTTACGGGCACGTCATTACCGATCATTTGGGCTCCCAGTTTTTTCCGAGATTTGCAGCCGTCTCTCAAAGTTTGTACGACGCCATCGTTTTGTGGCGCCGTCATTACCAGCAGTTCGAAAATGTGTCGAACATAAAACCTGAAATGTGCCGTTAGTTTTGCCTTAGATCTTTTGCACCTACAGTGGATATCGAACTTGCCTTAGTCATAATGTTCGAAATCACTGAGAATATATTGAGCCACTAAAAACTCCCATTTAAAAGTTTAGTTTTTAAACAAATACCTCTAAAATGGTTAATTTAATTGCACTTTGAGTGCTTACAACATCTCAAAAATCGCACATTCCAAACCCCAACAGACTCATAACATTAAAATCACCTTAGAAGTTTGTTTCCGGTCAAATCCATATGGAAATCAGATAAACGAAACATATCTCCCAAATACACACAACCTTTCTAGGCGTTTGTGTAAATCACGCCATTTTATGAAGTGTAAGATAATCAAACTTATATTGGGTTTCTTGTGGAATTTTTGTGTGCTATTAAAATAATTTCAATGGACAAGGTGGGGATTTTGAACAATGTACTACTGTACTACTTGCACTACTTTTTTACTTTGTTATATTTATCAGAACACATTTTTTTCTAACACTTTGATGTTCTTTGTTGTATGTTTATTATAATTAATTTAATATGATGTTGCAGAGGGTTTCGGCTATAATAGTGTCCACTGTAGAGCCTGTAGTTGCGAGTCCATTGTTTTTCTCTTGTGTATAAGCGTCTATATGCATGGAACGTGGGAATTGTAAACAATTGTTTTATGGCATCACTCGCAAAAACAGAAAGAGAAGAGCGAACCGATAGCCCTGAAAATTCTGTGATTGCATCCAGGAATAATTTAATTGCTGTCCCCAATTTATCATTCTGGTTTTATTTGTCCTTTTGCAGGAGGAGCGAAAAGCCAACGGACGCCTGGTGGCTGTCATCGTTTGTTTTCTGGGTAAGTTACTAGGTTTGGGTGAGTTGCAAGGAAATATTATATACATATATTTATAATTAATATCAAAGCAGGTTTTCGGTTAATAATTTATAAGAGATATTTAAAACCTTTTGTATAAAATTATTTGAAACAATCTAAAATCTTTTGATTGGAGATCTTTTTAAAAAAAAAAACCCTGATAGCAAAAGTGATTGGTTTTTAGGGCATTTACTTATTAAATTATTTATTTATTATGAGTTAATAATAATTGTTATCCACCAATCTCTATCCTCAGTTCTCTTCCTTGCCGTTTACCACGCCTGCGTTCGAAAGTCGGAGAACTCGCTGGCCGGCGTCCTCGTTCCCGCTGGCATCATGCTCTCCTACGGCGCCTGGGTGGCCGTCCTGGCCAAAAGGGACAAGCACCGGCGGGCCATGTTTGTACGACACACCCACTTGCCGGGTTTCAGTGGCCAAGCTCACTCAGAAATGCTCTTCCCCTTTTGCAGGAGCGGCACATCGAGGAGGTCACCTTGAAGAACAAGATCGAACTGGAGGAGAAGCACGCCCGTCATGCGAAGCATTCTCAGTCGCACTCGAATCTTGGACACTCTGGCACGGACTCGACGGGCAGTGCCTCCAGCACCCTGCACTATGTAAACGAACTGCTTCCGAATGGGGAGCACCGCAAGAAGCAGCGACGCCATCGCCACAAGGAGCGTCCTGGCGATCGCGAGGATCACCATAATCGACAATCCCTGGAAGTGGGAGTGCATCGTGGAGCACCGAAGCGGCCCAGTTTTCGGCAGAAGCTCTTCGGCCAGACCATTGCCCATGTGAAGTTGGTCGAGGCTCAGAGTGATAGCACAGATTCCGCTGGCGGAACAGGCACGGGTTCAAATCCAGTTCGTAGTTCGGGTGCGAGTTCAAATCCAATTCGTAGTACGGGTGCGGGTTCAAGTCCAGTTCGCAGTACGGGTGCGAATTCAAATCAAAGTCGAAGTACTGCTGCGAAACCCGCATCCACCGGAGGTGACTCCTCCAATGCCGGCGAGAGACGCCAGAGACTCCAGCGCCTAGACACGCTGCCTCTGCCGCAGGTGGTGCGAGTCGGCTCGGTGCCATGATGATATTTAGGCTAGAATTTTTTTTTTTGTTCTTTGGGGTCGAAGGGAAGGGGCTGGCCTCGCTACTGTATCGCGTAAATAAATGTATTATAAAAAATATAAACAGGAAGTTCGCCTTTATAAATAGACGGCAATCAAAGGAAGGAAACGATCCGATCTCCGCATCGAAATCAATGCAGAATACGTGAGAATTGTATTGTGCAAACAGTTGCGCCCATCTGGCAATCTTTTCACATTAATAATTGGCTAGTGGAAATCAAAGCATCGTTATTATTTCTTGCATTAAAAAAGGAAATTATTTATTTGAATACTTTTTTATATTTTTATAAAGCTGAAGTATTCTACAAATTAAGTAATATTTGATTAGCAACTTAGTGGCCAGCTAACATCGGTTTTACTCCATCCTCCCCTAAAAACATCTCTTTTTTAATCACTTTATTGTACATCTTTTTCCTCGCTGTATTTTGTTTAAATCACCTTCAAAATATAATGTAAATACAATGCATTTCCATTGTTTGCCCGTTACTTTTACGACCAGCACTATGGGCTCCTATGTAGACGTTCCTGTTCTCGTGTGCGTGCCCAGAGACACGGAGTGGGCGATAATTCCGGGCACATTGTTTTTGGCCATTGGTAATTGTTATTGCAGTTTAATAGCTTACATGTGGTGGGCCACACTCTGCCGCCGGTTGCCCCCTGCTTTTTGGAAATACCCCAAAGCCAGAAGCACTTGATTGTTTACTCGTTGCGTTGTTTGATGCCAAAATCAGCGCCGTCAACTTTGAACGGGCAAAATCATAAAAGGGGCGGAATTTATGGATTAAATTTAGCAAATTACGATTTTTAGGTACAAATGTAGAAGCAACTAAGAATCATTTTGGTTGATTTACAAGTATTTATCGAGCTATTCAAGTCCAACAAGTACAAAGTGTATTAAATTAGAAATATAATACATATACATATACACAAATATATATTAATTTTTATGTTTATAGAATTTAATCACAAACGATCGACTTTTTCGAAAATGAAAAATTTAAACGCCGATGACAATTATTTCAGCCGCGTAATTGGAGGAACACCCCTATTCGATAGCCCGACAACAGGGCGGCGGAGACACCAACCGGGGTTGTTTAACCATGGGTCAACGATAATATTTTCGGGGAATTAAAAAAACCGCAACTGGCATTCAAATATCGATTCCAACATGTATGAATTTTCTCATCGAGTTTATCCACATCTGCCGCTGCTTTGCTACTATTAGAAAAACGTTGTACTTAAGATTTTAGGTAGGAAAACAGGGAAACCAGGTCATCAACCATAATCGCGGTCGCAACAGTCTGCGATGAAACATCGATGGTCTGCAGTCATCGATCTCAAATATTTTAAAGCATCGATGCGCTCACCTTTAGCTCAAATTTCAAATTAAACGACGCCAAACACTTAGTTATTTCTTAGTTGTTTTCGTTCGCGTCAAGTAGTCCGTTTTTCGTCTAAATTGAAGTGTCAAAATTTGTTGTGTAGTCCGGGTCGAGCGAATAGTCAGTTTACTTCAAGTTTACGTAGAAATAAGTACACATCGGACCAGCAGCTCCGGTCTGCTTGTGTTTGTAAAATTATATATTTTTTTCGAGTCGTGTTTTTTTTTTTCGATACAGTTCCGTTAGTTCTGTTGTGCGTTGTGTTTTTGGTTAAGAGTTCCGTTGCTTTACACTTTGTTATCTTTTTTAACCCGTCAAAACTGTAAACATGGACCTTCGGAGCTGGGGCAAGGTCCTTGTTTGCTGGGTAAGTTTGTGGCTTCGGTTTCGGTAGTGTGTCCGTCAACCTCATAACGATTCTCCACCGGTAGGTTAAAGAGTGTCACTTTATCAGCGACTCGTTCAGCTCGCTGGAACATTCCGACATCAACGCGTTCTTCAGGGCCTTCGTGAAGGAGGTCAACGCGGAGGCGGTGGTGAAGGAGGCGCTGCAGGATCAGCCCAAGAAACGCCGCAACCCCCTGCAGGCCTTCCTCAGAGGTGAGTGGTGTGGTTCCGAGATCCAAAAACCGACGTATATTCCCCCAAAACGGCTGCAAATTTGCGCATTTTTCTGAAAACATAGTTGCCTGAGAATCCTGTCCGACATACCTTCACACTTGCACCCCGAAATTGTCATACAAACACGTTCCTAAAAACGGGGTGGCAATCCTAAATATTTTTGCAAAGAAAAGTTTCCTTATTATTTACCCTAAAATGTTAGGCCTTTTATATTATCTTCCATGTCTTCTGCATATTCTTTGTAGTATCCCAAGGCCCTAGATCTGCTTAATTGATATAATTTATCAATGAAATTAGCTCTTAGTAGGACTATTAAAAATTTTTTGATTTTCCCCTAGCGATCTATCCGGAGTTCAATGCCCACGTGAACGAAAGTGGTCGCCTGGTCCACTCGGAGTACCTGTACGCGTACACACTGCTCCTGCATTATTCGTGCGTGAAGGTGCCCACTCTTTTCTTTCACAACCTCTGCAAGGCGCTGCCGGAGCAAATACAGGCCTGCATCGTCGCCCTCTTTGAGCAGACAGTGGACCAGCCACTGACGCGCCAATATCTCCGCCAGTCGATAGCCAACGTGGCCAGCGTTAGCCGGCAGGGCGTCCCAGTCAGTCCAAGCCAGCCCAGTCCCGAAAAGGCGGACAACGATGTTAATTCGTCCCCATGCTCGTCCAGACCCACCTCGCCACTGCCGGCGGACAGCACGCCACGGCTTCGGCAAACGCCAATCCTCCAGACATCCGACAGCGACACCCCGCAGACTCCGAAGACAGAGCTGCTTGAGGCGCGAACGCGGGAGCTGCGCGGAGTTCAAGCCCAGCTGGCGGTAATGAGCTACGAAAAGAACGTTCTCGAGGAGCAGACTGTGGAGTGGGAGGGTTTAGTCAAAACTCTAGACAAAGGTACTAATAAATCAGGGTATTTCAATTAGTATCAATATTAATTCCTTTCTCGCTTCGCAGAGAATAAGATAGCCAAGAGTGAGTTGGCGAAACTAAAGGAGTCTAAAGCCCAAACCGAAGAGGAGGAGGCTGATCTGGCACCTCGTTGCGATGAGTTTGAACATGTAGGTAGACCGCCAGATGGTCACAGGTAGTCCGGATCCGGGCCGTAAACTAATAAAACTTTACCTTATTTCAGTTGAAGCGAAGCCTGTTAAAGGAGATCAGTCTCAAGGAGGCAATTATCGCCGAGACCAACGATAAGCTGATGGATTTGCACATGGAAAAGTCCGAGCTGATCGAGGAGGTAAGCTACCTGTTTGCTTTTATAGACTTTATACAACGGAAATTATATGCTCGATTTTCGGCGAATATTAGCGGAAAACTAGGAACAAATTTTGCGAAACTGTACGCTTTTCTTTTATAATTGGAAAAAAGTTATCCTTTATAAGTAGTAAATTTAGTCTTTTCAAGTGAATGGATTTATTATGATATTTTTTAAAACTTTTTTTTTTTGATAGATTTGTTAAAATTGTATGCATTTCTTTGTTTTTTTTTTTTTAGCTCAAAATGTCCGGGGAGCAGTTAATGATGAGCATGGATCGTAACCGCGAACTGGAGGCGCGCCTTGACGCCATTAACTTGTCGTTAACGATCAAGGATAACCAGATCCGTTCCCTTGAATCGGACAAGGAGGAGCTGGAACGATGCCTTCAGGAAGCTCGCGAGGAGCTGCACAGTAGGCGGGAGGTGCTCAACGCATCCTCCGACTTGTTGGACTGCTCCCTATCGCCACAGACCTCGCCACCCGAGAACCTGGCCAGCGCAGTTATTGACAAACAACTGCGCGAAAAGGAGCACGAGAACCTCGAGCTCCGGGACGAGCTGCAAAAGCAGAACGATTCTATTCGTCGGCTTACCCAAGCCGTTACTGGAATTGTCAAACGCTACGACCCGGAGCTCGAGCTGTTGGACAATCCCGACAAACAGCTCGATCAGCTCCTGGATAAGTGTCAGACATTAGCCCAAGAAGCCCAGACGAAGATTGTCAATCTTGAAACGGAATCCGCAAAAGCCTTTCGTAAGCATCAGAAGAAAGAGCACAAGTTCGAAATGGAACTTTGCGACAGGGACATTGCTCTGGTGAACTTGCGGGCGGAGAACGAGGCGTTAACCGAAAGCCGCGATCAGCTTAAAGAGAGGGTCGCAGACCTTTCCTGCATAGAGTACCAGCTAACCCAGAAAGAACAGCAGCTCAACCAGTTGGGGGCTCAAATCATGGAGCTGCGCAACAAGAACGCATCCCTCGAAAGAAGCCTCGAGCGTTTTGAGGAGGATCGAAGCGCCGATGCAAAGCTGCTGCAGCAGAAACAGAACTGTTGCGACTACCTGCGCAGTAAGTACGACCAGTGCCGCAGCCTGCTGAAAACCAGCAACGAGGACATGGCCATGCTATCCGAGCAGCTAAGAGTGGACGGCTGGCTAAACGTGGTGAAACGCGTAGGCGAATTGGTCGAGGTGCAGGCGCAGCACGAAGATCTCAAGCGGGATCACGCAGATTTGGAAACGCGCCTCCAGGTGAGCCTCAAGGTGCACAACGAATTGCTGGAGAGCCGCAAACTGCAGCACATCGACTTCACCCAGTGGCATGAGGCGGACCTTCGTCACGCTGAATTCGTAGAGAAGTCGAAGGCCAAGGAGCAGGAATATCAAAATGTTCAGCAACGCAACACAGCGGTTATTCAGATGCTTAAAGCGGATCTGGATAAAATGGAGAAGGAGCAGCAAAACGCCCAGCAAGAAAAGGAGCGTTTCCTAAGCCGCATTAATAGTCTTGTTCGAACTGAAAGTACTGAAAAATCCTCTGTATCTGGGGAAACTATCGAGGGGTACGAGGAGGTTGTATTGTTGCTTGAGCAGCAGATAAGCAAAGCCGCCACTCTCAACGCGATAGTGAATGATCAGATTGGGCAGTTGGCAGAACTTGGACGGCAGAAGGACACTGACACCGACGAAAGCAGCCGTTTGGCAATCAAGACCATGTGCAAGGGGAAGTATAGCGAGCAGGTCATCGCTTCGCTGGAGGCCACGCTCAAGAAGTGGCATGCTACACTGAAGTCCAAAGAAGCCGAAATGGCCAGCAAAGCCCAGGAGTTAAGCCAACTGCAAAGTATTATGCAGCGCTCCACAAACGAGCTGTCTTGGTCACAAAACCTCGAAGATGAAGCGGCCAGTGTCAAAAGAACCATTAAGGATCGTCTCAGGACATTTGGTGTGCTTACCAAGGCAACGGAAGGTGGAGGCGAGGGCCTTATCTATTGGGTGAATGAGTTTGTGACGACGTTCAACGAAATGGCCATGAGTCGCGATGTCCTGGAGAGGAGGTGCGAAAATACCAACGGGATCGTCGAACAACTGCAGCGGAAGAAGGCTCAATTGGAGGAGCAAATGGTTCAGCTGCAGGGCCAAGTGGTTCAGCTGCAGGATCAAAGCGAACAAATGGCCTTCAGCCCAACCGGCCCCAAATGGAAGCATCTCAGGGACACCATCAATAACCTGGAAGAGGTCAACAGTAGGCTGAGCTCGGACAACGTGGAGCTGCATAAGAAGCATTGTGCGTTGAGTCAAACTCTATTCGACTCGCACACGGAGGTTGGTCGTCATGCGTCAAAGATTGTCGAACTGGAGGCTGCGGAGAAGCGGAAGACAGGCGAGTTGTACGAGTGCCAAAGGAAGTATGACGAATTGAAAGCGGAGCAGACGGCAACTGAAGAGAAAATCTCAAAGTTAAAGGATTCATATGAAAAACAAATTGAAGAGTTGAAAGCCAAATGTGAACAAGGCAGCAAAGATGCAAAGAAAGAGGTAGCAGAAACCGAGCATTCTGAAGGCAAACTGCAGGAAAGCAAGGAAGAGATCCAGAAATTAAAGGAGGAGAACATTGAGAACAGCCAACAGTTGAAGGATGCAAAGGAGGACTACGAGAAGCGCTGTCAAGAGCTCGAGAAGCAGAAGGAAGAGCTTGAGTCGAAGCTGAAGACTCTCGAAGCGGAATGCCAGCAGCGCTCGGAGAAGGTAGCCAATAACGCGGGCAACGATGACGAGCTGAGGACACTCAAATGGCAGCTGGAGGAGGCGCGCCAGTTGGAGCAGCAACTGCGCCAGACGCTTTCCACGCACAAACAGATAATGGAGGAGTCGTGCGCCGAGCTGGAGGAATCTCGTTACCAGTTGGGAACACTGCGCCAAACGATTGCGGCGCACCAGAAGATTCTGAGCGAATCGAGTGCCCAGGGCGAAGCGGGTGAACTGCAGGAGAAGCTGCTCCAGCAGCTGCAGAGCGTTATGAATGGCGGCGAATCCGGATTCGAAGTAGCCGGCTTGCCATCCGAAGTCATGCGTCACAGGCAATCCGGATCATCGGGTGCTTCCAAGGCTAAGGCACAGGCGGAACTCGTGGCCAAGCTACGGCGCGAAAACAAATCCTTACAACGGGAATTGGAAGCTCAGGTATCCAAGGAAGAGGCTCACCTAGCCGAAGGCAAGGCTAGACTGCATCGTGAGAATGAAGCTCTTAAAAAGGAATTGGAGGAGGCTCGTCGCAGGGAGAAGCAACTGGGCCAGCAGAAGCCAACTGTTGAGGTTAAGTATGCCAGGACCCTGGCCGCACAAACCGATCTTGTGGGCAAACTGCAGCATCAGAAGGAGACGCTCAGAAAGGAATTGGATGCGATTCGCGCCAGGGAAAAGCAATCGCGCCACCCAAGGCCAAGCGGCCGAAGTCCTGAGCCAAGGTATTCCCGGGATAGGACACCACAAACCGAAACGTTGGCCAAATTGCGGCGCGAGAAGGAGACCTTGCAGCACGAGCTGGACACGGCGCGCCAAACCATTGAGAGCAAGGAGCAGGTTATCAGCGAGTCGCATGCCGAGCTGGAGGCCTTCCGTCGCGACAAGAACAAGCTGCTCGAGCAGGCCGAGCTGCAACTTTCGCAAGCCAGAGCGGATCTCGAGACCCAGAATGAGCTCGTGGAATATGTGAAGAAACAGAAGGAGCAAGTGCAGCAGGAGTTGGATGAGGCGCGGCACCACGAGTCGAGTACCGAAATGCAACTCGCCGAGAGACATGCTATGCTCGATTCCCAGGTTGAGTTCCTTGAGACTCTGCAGCAAGACAAGGAGGCAGCGCAGCGGAAACTGGAGGAGATTAGCCTGCAGGAGAAGGAACTTCGCGAACAGTTACTGAACAGGTCCAATAATGAGCAGGCCCGGGACTCGCTGGCCAATTTGTACATGGAGAAGGTCTCTGTGCAGGCCGATCTGGACAAAGCCCAGCTAGTGGAGAAGATGCTGCGCCTGGGAGTGAACAGGTGCTTGCAAGCTGAGAGGGATCATGCCGAGACACGAGCTGTACTCGAAACTCTGGTGGTCTCGACGGAATCTTCTCAGCGCGAGTTCGCTCGCCTTGTGGAGCTGCAAATGAGACAGGAGGCGGAGGCGGCGGAGGGCAATGGAATGCCGGAAGAAAACCTATCGGTGGGCGGAATACTCAGGGAGCTGGAGAAATCCGATTCCCAGGAGTTTGAATCGCACGCTGTTATGGAGAACCAGAAGCAGCCAACAAACGGTTTGAAGAAAGAGCAGTGCGAGGAGAGCCAACAACCATCCAATACTCTGAAGGAACTTGCTGAGGTAAAGGCTTCATTTGAGGAACTGCGCGAATCCTTGGCTCGTTTACAGATTGAAAAGGAGTCCGTTGGGCAGGAACTAGAAAAGGCTCGGCTGCAGGAGAAGCAGCAGCGTGAGCAAATGCGGGAACTCACCGAGGCTAAGATCTCACTTGAGAAGCAAACAATGCTCCTGGCCAGTCTGGAGAGCGAGAAGGAGTCTGTGCAGCGGGAATTGGAGGAGATTCGCCTTCGAGAGAACCAACTGCTCGCGCAGATACAGAACGGATCGAAAGCTGAGCAGGAACTCGAGAAACAAACTGAACTTCTCTCCTATTTGGAGAACGAAAGGAAGTCGGCACTGCGGGAGCTAGAGGAAGCTCGCCTTTTGGAGAAGCAACTGCTTGAGCAAGTACAGAAAGGATCGCAAGCTGAGCTGGAACTTAAGAAGCAAACCGAACTCTTATTCAATCTGGAGCGCGAAAAGAAGTCTGTAGAGCGGGAACTGGAGGAGATTCGCCTCCGAGAGCAGCATCTGCGCGAGAGGGTACAGAAAGGATCGACAGCAGAGCAGCAGCTTGAGAAGCAAACCGAACAGCTATTCAAATTGGAGCGCGAAAAGGAGTCGGCACAGCGGGAGCTAGATGAAGCCCGCCTTCTGGAGAAGCAACTGCGCGAGCAGATCCAGAAAGGATCGCAAGCTGAGGAAAAACTTGCCGAGGCAAAGGCGTTGCTTACAAAACAAACCGAACTTCTGGGTCTCTTGGAGTGCGAAAATACGTCTTTACAGCGGGATCTAGAAGAGTCTTGCAAACTGCAGAAGGAGCTACAAGAGCAACTGAATATCAAATCGATCGCTGAAATGGAACTAGCTGAGGCCAAGACGTCCCTTGAGAAACAAACGGAATCTGTGGCTAAATTGCAGTCTGAGAAGATCAAAATAGAAGGCGATCTGGAGGAGTCCCGCAAACTGCAGAAGGACCTACAAGAGCAACTGAAGAACAAATCTATCGCTGAAGTGGAACTAGCTGACGCCAAGGCGTCGCTTGAGAGACAAAGCGAATCCTTGGCTCGTTTACAACGCGAAAAGGATGCCGTCGAGCAAGAACTAGAAAAGGCTCGACTGCAGGAGAGGAAGCAGCATTGGCAATTGCAGGAATTCATTGACGCTAACAGTTCGCTTGAAAAACAAACCGAATCTATGGCTAAATTGCTGTCTCAGAAGAAAAATATAGAACGGGATCTAGAGGAGTCTCGCAAACAGGAGAAGAAGTTACTTGACCAACTGAAGAACAAATCGATTGCTGAACAGGAACTTTCCGAGGCCAAGGTCTTACTTGACAAGCAGACGGAATTCCTGGCCAAATTGCAGTCCGAGAAGATCAACGTAGAGCGGGATCTGGAGGAGGCTCGTTCTCAGGAGAAACAACTTCGCCAGCAAGTAGAGAACGGATTGATCGCAGAGCAGGAACTTTCCAAGGTTAAGATTGAGCTTGCCTCGCAAACCAGTCGCTCGGCCAAGTTGCTGTACGAGAAGAACGCTGCAGAGCGGGAACTAGAGAAGGTTCGCCTGGTGGAGGCGAATCTCCGCCAGCAAATGCAAAACAATGCGAGTGGCCAGCAGGAGAAGGAAAGGCTCTCCGAAGTGCTGAGCGAGAAGCAGGCTTTGCAGCGGGAGCTACAAATGGCCAGAGATCGGCTCATGAAGGCCGAACGCGATCACCAGGCGAAGATGTCCACTCTCGAAGACCAAGTGGACACCCTGGAGCGCGGGCAAAACCTGGAGATCGGAGCCCTCAACTCTGAGATTGAGCAGCTGAAACGTCGCCTGGCCGAACGGGCGAACCATGTGGTCGAGATGCAGCAGCGCCTGGACAAGGAGGTTGTAGAGCGCAATCACCTCCAGGAAGAGTTGGGCCTAGTCACCGATCAGCTGGCCAGTAAATCCGAGCTGGAATTGCGTCTGGGCGTCGAAATCGCGGGACGCAAACAGGCCGAGGAGCAGCTGGCCGAGATCAATGAGCGCATGGCCGAAGTCAACCAGGAATTGGATGGCACGCGGCTGGTGCACGAAGCACAGCAGTTCGAGCTGGAGGAGAAGACCCGCGAAATTGAGCGGGAACGCGCCGAAACGGTGGAGCGTATTCTGTCCTATGAGCGCCGCCTGGAAACCCTCGAGCATCAGTTGGCCGAAAGCAACCAAATGCTGGCCGAAAGCAACCAGAAGCTGGCCGAGATCCAGGCTGAGATTCAGGCCAACGAGACACAGGGTCCCAGTGATCTTGGCGCCACCTACAGCAAGGCGGATGTCCCCGAATCGGATGGCAGTCTCGGCGAGCTGACGGCCAGGAATAACAAGCTGGCGCTCGACTGCCAAATACTGCAGGCCAAGTACCGCGATGCCAAGGAGGAGATCCAGCGCTGCGAGCAGAAGATCAAGGACCAGCGGCTGGAGATGGAGGGCAAGCTGGACAAGATGAAGACCAAGATGGTGAGTCGATGCGGAGTATTTGAGCCCGAGTTCGAAGCCAAGTCGTTGGGTTTCGCCAAGGTGGCATGGTTGCGCTGGTCGAGGGTGGTTCATTCCGCTCTCGGTTGTCTCCTTCATCACTTCGGATGGTGTTCGTGGCGAAGTGTAGTGAGGGAAATGATCAGATTCGGGCACCATGCCATCTTCCACCTTCCTTTGGATCTGTTGCTTGTGCATGTTTTGCTCTACTAACTTTTTATGTTGCTGTGGTTGGATGTTGATTTCGGTAGCGTTGTATATTTGTTGGTGCTGTAATTTACGAAGAAAAGGTGGGTCTGTCCGTTCAAGAGCTTGTTTCCCAGAAACAAGAACACGCTGAGTAGTATGCAATAGTTTACTTTAGAAATGAGACTTCAAAAATCCACACTTGCTGCGCTGTAGAACTATTGAACTTGATTGTTGTCACATCATGGAATTAAAAACATATATCTTTCCTTCCTCTTTCTCCACCCCACTCACTCCAATGCAAAAATCACCCATCCGCACCGTATTCCCAATACCAGAAACCCCACATCCCCACAATGCACCACATATGTGATGCGCCACGCCAACAGAGGAACCGAAAGACCCAGACGCGACTGACGGTCCGTCCGCATGTTGTTGACTTTTCGGTGGAGAACGAAATGGCAAGACCAATAATTCGAACGGTAGCAGTAGGACCAGATCAAGAATCCGAAGCGGTAGCAGAGTCGCTCGATTACAGTAGCCAGCGCCAGGCGGTCCTCTTGAACCTCCGTGGCGGCCGACGAACCTTCCAGTGCACCAGCACCGGCTTGGTCTTGTTTTTGGCGGGAGCACATGCTGTGTTCCTGGGTTTGATGCACATGATCCTGTTCAAGAACGAAACCGATGTGGTTCTTCAGTCCCGTAGACCCAGCGAATTCTAGGAACATGACCTTTTGTAGTTACGTTTGTTACTTAGCTGTTTAAAATTTGTTATTCGTACTTAGTTAGATTTTTACATAAGATAAATTTGCTATATGTTACGGCATTATCCAAAACTTGTTTGTGTTTGCTGTCCTCCTCACTGCTGTCTCTCACTCAACCCTACAACCGAACCTACTGATCCTACACCTCAATTTACACTGCCCATACTAACGATCACGCACACGCACACGCATTCGCATTCGCATTTGGACACTTGACCCACTGCCAACAGCGATCCCTGTACACGGCGGAGGTGACTCGCATGAAGGAGAAGCAGGAACGAGATGCGGCCAAGAGCTCGGCGGAAATGGAGGCCCTCACAGCCCAGGTAAGCATGGTTGTTTTAAACCTGAGTAGCTTAAAATGATTAATTCTTTTCCCTTTTAGAATGCCAAATACGAAGAGCACACGCGCAAGCTGTCCAACCAGATTGTCCGGCTGAACGAGAAGATCCTGGAGCAGCAGAAGCAGCATGCGATCATCAGCACCAAGCTGCGCCATCTGCAGATGCAGCCCGTCTGCGAAGCGAAGCCGTCGAGCTCGACGATCACCGTTTCGGCCACTTCGTCGACGGCGACCGAGGATTGGCAGCCCTTCAAGCGACCCAATGCACCCTCATCCAATTTGGCAATGGAAGACGAGGAGGGCGAGGTCTTTAATAACACCTACTTGACGGATCTAAAGTTGGGCCGTGTTCCGGACATAACGTAAGCCCGTCTTTCGTTTGCAATATATGTGTCGGATGGTAATTTGTAATTTGTTCATTGCAGGGCCGAAGAACTTATCTATCGCAATTCGTTGCAACCGCCACACTTGAAGAGCACCTATGCGGCGCAGTACGATCTGAGCAGTCAGGACGAGGATATTAAAGTAAGCGTCGCCGGCAGAAGTGGCACCAACAGCAGCATCAACAGCACCACCACCAACACCAACACCATCAACAACAGCAACATTTTAAGAAACAGACAAGGCTCGAGCGGCACATCCTTGAACGAGCCGCAAGCAGCAATCAGGGCAAAGTGGTCTCGCATGCTGCGACGCCAGTAGCTCTATTAACCCTAACTTCTAACCTAGAGACTGAGTGAGCCTTTGTCCCATGTGAAGTCTAAAAGTGTCTCCGAATTGCTGTGATTCTTATTGTCATTGTCTTGCTTTATATGTTGTGTTGTTGCGTGTTAAATAATCAATTTTAAACTGGGGTTTCAATATAATTCGGTTTTTGTAATCATTTTTGCAGGACGGACCGCATAGTTTGGATGACAGCATGAGTGCATTGTTGAGCTCTTCAGGCACGGGAACGCGCAAGAAGTCGATGGGCACCCACTATAAGCGACCAGGACCTCCAACGCCCAGCAAGAACGGCGGACGATTGTCCTTCGGCAGTTCGGAGCCACCGCGCGAAATTCTGCGAGAGTTTGGCGATCATAGCAACACCGGCAAGACTCCGGCGCGTTTCAAGTTTCTTACGCAGCGTTTTAGCGTTGGCAGCAGCGGTTTGCCACGGGACGAGGTAAGTAAAAAGAAATCAATGTTGGTAGATATGTCATTTTCCATGTTTTGGTTGTGTTCAATGTGCTTTTGTTACAAAGAAATGTAAGCTAGTTAGTGGGCTATTGCTTTCGTTCAGTGTAAAGTGTGCCTCAGCTGCCACGTCTCGTCCTTGTCCACTTCATGTTCTTTGTGTGGCTGTGTAGCTCTGTAGCCGGCAATTGACTTGGCAATCTCCCACAGCTGCCGCGTCGTCAGCGGCCGAATCTTCTGACCGGCGTGCACCGCCGCATTTTGCGCGAGGCGGTTGGTTTGTTTTGCACCTCAACGCCGCGCAAGAGTCGCTCCTACTACGATCATCAGCGTATGATTCGTGCCAGCGATCCGAAAACCTCTGCGGCTAATGAAGAGGATCAGGAAGAGTTGGTGGAGGAACAGGAGGAGGAGGAGGAGGTAGTGGTTGAGGAGGAGGTAGAGGAGCACCCAACGGAGGATCAAGCTGAACAGCAGGGCACTCCGCACCTGTCGAACGCAGCACTGCTGGCGATGACCAAAGGCAACACGCGTCGTCTCACTGGTCAAGCGAAACTATGTAAAGGTCGTGTTTCCCTCTGCTTGCATGGCAATATTTTTGCCAAGAGCCGACCGCCGGCATTGAAAAGCACTGGCACGCGAGTTCAGCTGCGCCGAAAGATGCGTCAGGAGCGGATGGGTCGCTTCGACAAGGCGCGTCACCTCGACCAGATGTACACCTCCGGAAATGTTTCGTATGCGGTGCAGAAATCCGGATCTGGCGATAATAACAACTACAGCTTTCACAATCGCAATGAAGATCGAGTGGAGCGTCCGCTTGTAATGGGCAAAACCGTTGTAGTGGAGGGCAGAAGAGGGATAGGAAGTCCAGCTGTGGCGGCCACTTTCAGCGTGGAAAAGCACAATACCACTTGGCAGATGCAGCAGCAGTTTGAGACCGAGAACCAGGCCACCTGGACGCTGGCAAACGGCGAGAGTGCGCTGGAGCAGGAGAGCCAGGAGGACTGGCGTTTCGAGCAGTTGTGCCAGGAGACGGAGTCCACGGCACCGTTCCAGCTGCAGCCGCACATCTACAAGCCAGCCGAAATGCCAGCGGAGCTGCAGCTGCCACAACTGGCTGCCTCGAGGAGCAGCAACATGACCGGTTGCAGCTGCACCACCAACGTGACCAGCGTCTCATCCTGTACCACCTACTCGATGGGCAGTGTGCACATGCAGCCGCTGCCGCAAATCAATATCACCTACGTCCGGCCAACGAGCTCCCAAATGCACAACAAATCCACGGACAACCGCTCACCGATGGCTCGAATTTGGCGAGCTCTTCGCAATCTGAGATTCGGCGAGCGGGTGATCGTGGGACTGCTGTTGCTGGCCATCGTGGACTGGGCACGCCGGTTACAGGTAACAGACTGGTGCTGGTGGTAAAGGATTGGGACTTTGAAAAGGCCCTACTCGTGGTTATTAGGATCAGCCTTCAGATAGCTCGCACCGCCAACCAAAGCAATGGAAATCTCACAAATCCCAATATGCTAGGCTCAAATGATTGCAATATGTACTCATGTCTTGTCCATTTTACAGAATTCCCCGCCCAAGCGACGACTTAGCAACATGTTCAAGCGCAAGTAGGGGCGCTTTCGTAGTATTATATATCATTCCTGTACCTTAGGCAGATCCGTCAACGTCTCTGGAACTACTACTTACTTATAACTTTCGCAAAAAATGTGAACATTCGAACTGGCTTGTTTTGAAATCTTGCTTTATTATAATTTATCAGTTTTTTTTTTGATTTTCGTTTACAATTTAAATTTAAAAATTGATGTTAACTGTATGTTTCATTGAGTGTATCTATGTATCTACCGATGCCTTGCATTGGCTAGCGTAAACTAAGGGCAAGCGTAAGATATGAACAATAAATTTAGGAACATACGTATTTAAAAAAATGCTCAAACCCGATTTGATTTATTGAGTCTTTATTTGAGAAGAAAATGTGTTCTGCTTATTGAGCGCCAGAAATTTAGATTTAAATTACACCTAATTGGGTGTGACAGTGATTGAAAGTTATTTGATTTCCATTCCAATATAATATTTCTTAATCATTTTCCGGAACGATATTTTTTTTGATAATTCTAAGATGCCTCTTTTATTCGGAACAGTGTATTTTAATTGCTTTCATTTGTGGTTAAAAATCTTGAATATGTAAAAAGTTTAACAAACTAATCTAATTGATAAAATATATAATGTATATTTATCTAATAATAAAAAGCTAAACTTAAGATAAAATAAAAGTATATTTTTGAGCCCAAAAAATAATCTTAATTGAAATTAAAGGAAAACGGTGTGTAACTACAATTCCCGTGTGTATTGGGATTTACTCAATAACTTACATAATAAGTTTCGCATTTCACGATTATAAGAAAAGGGAGGCCGGGACTATTAAGCGGTTGTCTTTATCTTGGCTTTCAATATCGAGGGGGGCGTGAAAACGGCGGCAGCAACGGTCAGAAAAAAGAAGTTCAAGAAAACCTGCTCCAAACAAGGTGAGCAGGAGGCTCGCTCCACCGATCGGCTGACTTACCCACTGACTAGCCAGCCTGATATCTGAGAAATCGGGGACTGTTATGATGCAATGGCAAGGCTAGCACGAAAAACATATTTTTGTTTATCGAGAAATAATATGTCAATTAAAAGCCCGGTCAGCAAAACAACAACATTGAGTGTTCACTGTGTAAATAACAAAAAATGTTTACAACAGTCAGCACATTTCAGCAGGGGCGGACCCAGGGGGGTGGTCCTGGGGATCCGGATCCCCCCCCCCCCAAAATCTCAGAATTTTTCAAATTCCCTTACAGCATTCGCTCTTTTAACCATATAAACTAAAAAATTTTTGATCGGACCCCCCCAAAATTTTTTTCTGCGTCCGCCCCTGCATTTCAGCATTATTGGCTAGGTTTAAAATAATTGAACGCATTCACTTGCAACAAAGGCATTACGTCATTAAAAACACTGACGTTAGCGGAGCTTTATGAGAACGTTTTAATAAATACAAATTTTAAAAATAATCACAAAAAATCAACTCTAACGGCGTTAAAATGGTAATCGGATTAAAACTAAATTGGGATTTTATTATGGCATTAATTTTTTTTAAAGAAATTTAAGTAGCTGCTATTAGATCTATAAATAGAATAACGTTATCATTCCTTCAGTTTTTGGTGCGAACCATCTTCGTCATGACACTAAGCCAATTTCCAGTTGAAATAAAGCCTAAAATACGGCCATCACATTCTTCTGTTGCGATTTGTTTTTATGGTCTCCTTTAGTCAAAGACTATTTTTTGCAAAATCATACGTCAATTGAGTTAAGCTCTTGATTCTGGGTTTTTGCGACGCAATTTGGGAACTGCAACCGATTCCTGTCCGGGGATCAGCTCCAAAATTATTGCAATTCCCAGGAATTGCATCGTCATCGTCAACAGGTGTGGTTGTCCAGTAAATCTAGCTGATCTAGTTGATCGGGTTCAGATCGGTCTGACTATAGTCTCTAATGCATATTCGATTATGCAAATCGATGCGATTACATCAATGGACTTGAATGCCTCAGCGAATTCCGCATCTGGTGAAGGTGTTTAATAGGTATTTTCTTATTAATGGTAATTAATGTTATTCAAAGGGTTCAAGTATTCTGCATGTCTGATAAGATTCAATTGTAAACGTACTTTTAATTACGTATCCTTTTTTAGGTGCTTCTCTGATAAATAAACATTAGATTAGTTACATAATTCATAATAAATTTTAAATATATAAAACGCTTGCATTCTTCTTAAATAATATGAATACAACGCTGCTGTTGAAATCATTATATTCATTTGATTTTAAATGGTAGTGTACAGAACCAATTGATTATTTAAAACGCAAATATTATATTTCAGATATAGGTAAACATTCGATATTGTGAATCCTTTTTAAATTCAGTGGTTTCTATTGTAATGCACTGGGTTATTTCTGACATTTCAGTACATTTTTCCATCCATTTTCCGGTTGAAATGGTAGTGTTTAGGCACGTAGTTGACCGGATCGATGACCGCTAAGATCGGAGAACCGGGAAATCTTTGGGTGGGTGGGTGGTTTAATCGGTCGGGTGGGTTCGTTCGGCGATTTGGCAGTGTGCTTCGGTTGGGCGGATTGGATGGATGGGCGGGTGCGAAATGTATCGGCCCTCGATCACTAGATATGCATTAATGGTTTTGGTTGGTTGGTGTTTTGGATTTGGCCCAAGACGTTATAGACAACTTTGGCGCATTTAAATGAATCGATGCGATGCGGCTGTTGTTGTTTATATCAAATCGAACTAAAAATCTGGTTCCGAGTCGGGCCAGGCATTATATGAATATGATTTCGAGGCGGCGGGTATTCAAATCAGTCGGCGCCCCGTGTTTGTTGTTCTTATTTTATTCGATCGGCCCTCTCGGCTTTAGTGATCCGAAGCCAAAGTCAGGCGCGTGCTATCCGCCGGTGTAAATGTGTGTGTGTGTGTGGGCTATATACCCGCATCACACACAGATATATAGAGCCTATATGTCGGCGGGTAAGCGGAGCCCGCCAGAGGCGATAAAAGCCCCAAGAGATCTCCGAAGTAGATCAGTTTAGTTGAGAATTCGCAAACGAGCCAAGAGATCCCCAGCCAGATTTAATCGGTCCGACTTTCATCGACCAACAGCCCCACCGATCGCAACTCTAATGCTTGTCTGGAACGATAAACAGGATACCAATTTCACGTTCATTTGAGCCATTTGCTCCACAGACTAGGAATCGAATCGCAATTAAACCGTTCAATCGAGAGCATTTCGAATTTCGTTTGTTTTTGTTTGTTTTGTTTTTTTTTTGTTGTTGTTGTTGTTGTTTTTGGATTTTTGTTTATTGTTAAAAGGGCCTGTCTGGTGATAATGCCCAGTAGTGTTGCCAACGAGAGCCAGTTCCGATTCCAGAGCAGTCGCAGTCGGGCCAGCTGTCCCAGCCGGAGTCCCAGTGAGCCGGAAGCGCCGGCCACGCCGGCCACGCCGACCACCGATGAGGTCGACCAGACGCTCTCCGAGCTGCAGCTCCAATCGCAGGAGATCCGGCAGCAGCAGGACCTGATTGCATCCACCAGCAGCAAGGGACGCGGACGCTCGGGATGGCAGGTGAAGGCCTCCAAGTTGTCCGCCAACACGCACAATCGCATCCGGAACATTGTCGAGTCCTTGAAGATCAAGCCGAATCCGGAGAAGCCCATGATTCCGCTCTCCATTGGTAAGTTTTTTGTAGTTATCAGTTAACTATTTATATAAATTATTGAATTTAAAATTTAAATAATATTTCACGGTAGAGTATTGAATGATTATAAATACGTCGGTGACACTAGGGAAGCTTTTTTTCAAAATAACTTTTTATAATGAAAGTATTATATTTAATACCAATACTTTCTTCAGTTCTTGTTATTTATATACACTGCAAACTTTTGCATCTTTTTATTAGTAAATATTAAATCTTGTTTTAAAATTGCATTTTATGATAGGATTCATATTGTAAATTGTAAGCATCCTGTGAGATATTCACCTTTGCATTTCTTGTTTTCCTAAAAGAGCGATTCAATTGTTTTTAATGCACTGACCAAATCATCTGATCAATTTCACCCTTCTTATGTATTTATATGTATTCCTTTAATTTATAGTTCAAAGACCAGTTTAACTATCTGCTACCTACTTCTTGGGGTTAAATACTCCCTGAGTTCTGGGAAAAATCCCCTGTAGCTAGTGCAAACTATCCAGTTTTGTTGGTAACCTGCTCCTCATTTTACCATATCCCCATAACAAATCTGACGTTTTTGCTACAAGTTTTCGGGCTCATTTGAATATTTTGGATGTGTGATCTCTTTTGCTTCTGCCGTTTTTTTCATTTTACTCATTTTTGGAAGCTGACTGGCATAAACTGAAGAAACAAGTTTTTCGCAAAAATGAACACCAAAATGAACTCGGTACATTTTTGGAGTAAATCGATGCATATACTCGGATGTGTGCCAGTACACACCCACAAAATCGAGCCAATCAGAAATCGGTGCACGGTGATTATATCGCCAGCGATTCTCGGGTGATGGGCTTCCCTGATATAGCACATATCCGAGATAAAAATCGGGTTTTCGGCCTTAGGAAATTTACAGAATATGCATTCGCCGATCGGCACGAGTTTCTAAATTCGCGCTTAAATATTCCAGATACCAGATATATAAAATGTGTAAGGCTGTTGTTGTTTCGAATGTTGTTCTTGTTTTTAGTAATATCGTATTATTTTTGTAGCGAGGCACGCGCAATTTATTTGTGTTTTGAGTGGTATTTGCATAAAATGTAGTTCCACCTGTTTAGCAGACTCGAGAATCGAACTCGGGATCCCAACCAGAAACTTCTCCACTGCTTATCCAGTGGATTCCCGGTCGGGAATCGAAGCTAGGCGGAAACGAACGAGTTAGCCATTGACCCAATGCAACCTGTGATTCGGCAGCGAAGTCACCTGATTTTTATTTTTGGCAACAATTAATGCAAGGTTTTAAAGTGGATTTAACATTGATAACTTCAAGAATACTGCATGATGAAACAAAATATTTATTCCATATAAATATATATATAACATTCGGTAAAATTATTGTGGAAAGATTTATCCATTAAAAATGCATACCTATTATACTTATTTATATTGATTTGATAGCTTTGCATAAAGCCTTTTTTGAAATTTAAATGTTAGCAAATATTAATCTTGTTATAAGGAATATATTGAGTACTAATTCCTAATTGTTTTTTTTTGCTACCAGGTGATCCCACAACCTTTGGCAACCTGAAGGCCGCCGATGAGACGATGAAGGCGGTGCTGCATTCGCTGGAGAGCGGCAAGTACAATGGATATGCCCACACCCAAGGTCACGAGGTGGCCCGCCAGGCGGTGGCCAAGTACAGTGCCCACCAGCGGACCGACGGGGACATCGATCCGAACGAGGTGGTGCTCTGCAGCGGATGCTCCTCGGCACTGGAGTACTGCATCCTGGCGCTGGCGGATCGTGGCCAGAATGTTTTGGTGCCGCGTCCAGGATTCTGTTTGTACCACACGTTGGCCGAAGGACTGGATATTGAGGTGCGCTACTACGACCTCCTGCCCGATCAGCAGTGGCGCGCCGATCTCGTCCAGCTGGAGAGTCTGATCGACGAGAACACCGCCGCTTTGCTGATCAACAACCCGAGCAATCCATGCGGCAGTGTCTTCGATGAGAAGCATCTGCTGCAGCTGATTGACATCTGTGAGCGCCACTACTTGCCCATCATAGCTGATGAGGTAGGTAACCCAAGGGAAACGGCTTTAAATTATAACCCATGCCACGGAGAATTAAAAAATATAGCCTTTGTTAAGCTAAATCATGAGAGGTTGTTATTTGAGAACAAAGCTTTTAAACAATCATTTTAAGAGCATACCTTCATGATCAAGTGAAATGGTATTTTGAAGAAGAAATATTTTCAAAGCCATGCAAGTTTTAAATAGTTTTCATGTTAATAAAGGTGTAACTTTTCCCCAGATTTATGAACACTTTGTGTTCCCTGGCTCGAAGCACTTGGCTGTGAGCAGTTTGACCAAGGAGGTGCCGGTGCTCTCCTGTGGAGGATTGACCAAGCGATTCCTGGTTCCCGGATGGCGAATGGGATGGATCATCGTCCACGATCGCAAACAGCGTTTGGCCAATGCCATCGGTGGACTGAAGAACATGTGTGGTCGCATCCTGGGATCCAACACCATTATCCAGGGAGCTATACCCGAGATTCTGACCAAAACACCACAGTCTTACTTCGACGGGGTTATTGAAGTGCTTCACGTAAGTAATTTTTAATAAATACATATATTAAATAAGATGAAATGTGTTATTCGTAAAGTAAACAACATTCTCTTATTGCATTAGTTTGATTTAATTAACTTAACATAACTTAAGTAATATTAAATGTAAAAGCATTTCAAGATAAAAAAATTTGCCTTTTATAGACATTTAAAAAAATATTGATTCACAGACCTATTTAACCATACTTTCCCGCTTTCTTTTCCGTGTAGTCTAATGCAACACTGGCCTACAAAATGCTGAAGCCGGTGCAGGGCCTCAACCCGGTGATGCCCAATGGAGCCATGTACATGATGATCGGCGTGAGCATCGAGCGCTTCCCGGCCTTCAAGGACGATACCCACTTTGTCCAGGAGCTGGTCAACGAGCAGAGTGTCTTCTGTCTGCCGGGCAGCTGCTTTGAGTATCCAGGATACGTGAGGATCGTGCTCACCGTTCCGGGACCCATGATCGAGGAGGCCTGCTCCAGGATAGCCGAGTTCTGCGATCGCCACTTCAAAAAGGACAACCGCACCTTCATCGAACACGGATTGCTGGACGAGGATCTTGCCTTCTGAACTGAGCTGGGAGCAAAACATTTATTAGACATTCTAGACTACAGTTTTTATCAAGTGTACATAAGTAAATGTATATAATAATATATATATATATATATATATATATATATCAATCATTAACTATCCAATATAAGGAGTATTGTCTCAAAAAATTGCTGGAAAAGTGAAGCGCACACACAGATCGAGAAAAGGAGCAAGTTAACTGCGGTTAAGTAAATGGTCGTTATAGAGGAGGTCTGAATATAAATATATATATTACGCGGCCTATATATATTTGAGCTATCTAGCGCTGTAGGCTGGCTGGGGTTCTGTGCGATAAAATATGTGTTTCAATGTGAGTTTAAGAATAGAGCATCGCTCCTTGGGAGCATTATGATATGATGACACGTGCTTTTAAATCAATGGTAATTAGTTGTGTGGAGTGCTTAGGATATTCAAATGGTTAGTAGAAGATCTTTACTATTGCATAATTAATTAGTTTGATTATGCACCAATTTATAGAAATAGTATTGCTTGCTCTTGATTGGTGGAGATGTGTTGTTAAACGCTATAAATGGTTCATTGTGATGCAGGTGAGTGTTGTGAATTGGTGTTGAATGGTCCCTACAGTTCAGCATTGTACAATCTAGCTAAGGGCTTTTTTAAACGCCTGAAACTGTGTGTGAATTTGCTTTGCTGATTGTTGTTGCGGCTTCATCTTTTTGTGGCCGAATCCTATTGATTGCGGTGTGTTCTTCACTGGGGACCTGAGCACGAGAACCCAATCCCGCCTACAGACTAATGGGGAAAGGGGCAGCCTTTCTTCTGATTCTACATGTGGTGCGGATGCATTTTCTTCTCCATCTCGGTCTCCACGCGAGCCTCGTCGATTCCAGCGACCGTGGGCAGTCCACCTGGCCAGTGGAGCAGCTCCTGCTCGTGCTCCATTATCATGTTGGCCTCCGCTGGAAAGGATTTCAAAAATAGGTGATTAACATTTCTGGTTTCTGTTGGACTAGGGTTATTGTAATTAAAATGAAATTACATATTTTGAGCGACTTAAAAACTCCACTTTTTACTATGAAACTCGGTATGATGTTAATCATAAAACTTTGCCCAAAAATATGCTTTCTGCATTCCTTGTTATTCTTTTTTGAGAGGGTTGAAGTATCTTAAGATTCACTGTATATTTAAATCATCCGATACGAATCAATAGCATGCACTTTACTTAGTGCTTTCCAATCTCTAGAGATTTGTGTTGCACCCAAGTGATTTTAAAACCAACTGATGTGGAAATGCCCTGAGGTTTCAGTGACCTGTTTTGTTCTGCTGTGAGATGTGGGAAAACCGCCCTTCCTCCGGGAAATACCCACCTTGGATGCGGTGCAGCTTGCTGCCGTAGGCCCAGTCGGTGTAGTAGCCCACGACGAAGGTGAGCGGCACGAGCGGAGCCAGGGCGGAGACCCTCTTCACCCGCTGGTAGTAGCTGGCGCAGCCGTACACCGCGCTCAGGTAGAAGCCACTCAGCCAGTAGAAGAGCTCCCGGTGCTGGGCGATGGCCAAGGCCTGTTCCCGCTGCTTGATCTGGTAGTGCATCTGGATCCAGCGCTCGATCTGCAATCGAATGATGGTCAAATGGGGATTATGTAAAGACAATAAGACTGTGACTGTGCAACTGACTCACCTTGAGCTCCTGGCACTTGCGGTAGATGGGATCATCGTGCTCCGGATAGCCACTGCCGGAGGTTTTCTTGCACGAGGCCGTGGCACCCATTTCGATGCGATTGCTGCTCTGAAATTGTGGGATTTTTAATGGTTCGCCTCGCTGCTATTGTTGGCCACTCCGGCGGAGTTGCCACTCCGGCCAGGAACCATCGACCCGGCTAAATGCTAACTGCGCAGGCGTCGTCCCATTCCTGTCCGGGGGTTGCACTGGCCACCAGTGAATGACAGCACTGCGAGGAGCTGTCAGTTCAGTTGGCTGACTGTGGCACTGCCTGACTAACAGACCGAGTGGCCAAAGAATCCCGTCGAAGACCGCGTCCAAAAAAAAGCTCCATTAACGAGCAACTCGACGCGTGTTTGGCTTGAAAGCGAATGAAAAAAGGAGGATTTGTGCCAACAGAAAGTTTAATTATGAGTGCTGCAGTGATTTTTCCCACACTCTGCTGTGTTGCAAGCGATTAATGTGTGGCAACTGTGACAGAAATCGCGCGAACTCGTCGCTTTCCTCCGTCGAAAAGTAGTCAGGAATACCTCCAAACTAAATCCCAGTCAGCAGGCGAAAAGTGAGTAGACAACATCGGCCAAGACAAAGAAAAATGCCATCACATGAATCCGGGTGTACGGCCATTGGATTGGATTTCGACGGGGGGAACAGTGGAACAGTTTGGTAATGACAATGGTTTTGCAAATTGGGGATGGGATGTGCCATGTATAGTATATAGTACGCTCGAACGGCGAGAAGTGGTTGCTCATTCGGGGGTTGCAAGTGCGAAACGACTCCTTGGCAGACTGTCTTTCAGCCACAGAGAAATAAATAATAATTATCTTGAAGATATATTTCAAAACTTGATTTCCTGCGATACCATTTAAACAGTCCATTATTTAATATTTTCATGTTCAAAATGAATGAGTATTAATATCTATAAACCTACTAAAGAACCTATAATCATTTTGATATGATTGAAATATATCAGCAAACTTTTATATTTTGACATAAAGAATGATACATAGATGAGCTTGCATCTTTGATTTGAGTTTATAACTTACATGTAAAAACTTACCGGATGTATTCGAAACTTATGGAAAGTTTTTCGGGAAACTTTTTCACGGTGCAGCGAGCTGAGTTTGAGTGGTGCACCTTCAACCCACCTTGGCAGCTGTTCGAATGTAAATATTGACACAGGTCTTCGCTCTAATTGCCGCCTGGCAGGGAGAGGAGTTCCCAGGAATGTGGGGATTGCAAATTGTTCGGTTATAATGGCCCACGTTTGGATATCGAACAAACTTGCACTGAAAAAAGAGGAAACATTATTGATTCGTGTTCTTCATGAAATGTTAAGTCTTTTTGAATAACATCTTAAAGTATTTATTTTATTTGTTTATTATTAGTATACTGAAAATATAAGAACAGAAAGTATTAATGTTGAAAGAAAACTGAATTTCATAAAATTTGCAGAAGTCTCACTTATTTAAAATCTCACTTATGTAAAAATATGAAATTACAAAATGAAAACAGAATACAAACATATTTTGTTACGATATAATATAGAAACGGTAGTTTCGGTTTCAAGATTAAGAAGACACTGAAGACCCAAAAATCTATGTATGTATAAGAGATCCGCTTCCAAATTTTAGATCAGATAAGATAAGATTAGATAAGTTAAATGAGAGCAAAGAGAAAGTTCCGAAAGGTTCTCTCCCATTAAACATTTGCCAAAACAACGGTTATTATTTCTTCTTTCTCTTCAGTGTACCAATTTACTTGATAAATGTACGAAACATACATACAGTAGAATCCTGTTATAACGACTCCGCTTATAGTGTCCGTCCGGGTATTGCGACGAAAATTCGATGGCTTAATTGGTCCCCAGACAGACTTATACACTTAAATAATTCTGCTTAGTGCGTCTTCCGGGTATAACGACGAAAAATCGTCGGTCCCTTGAAAGTCGCTATAAGCGGATTCTACTGTATTTGTTTTTGTTGAATAATATTCTATTTGGGAAAGGTACATTTCCCCTGGCTCCTATTCAATAAATTTAACTTTTTTTCTGTTTTCCGTAGCCACCTTCAAGTACCGATTGTTCCATGGGGCAGGATGCGCCGCTTGAATGATTGACCGCCTTCAGATTCGTCGCTTGGGTGCAGCTGCTAGAAACAAACGCGCGGGAGGCGGGGGAGCGGGAGGACCAGGAGCAGGCGGAGGCGGAGGAGGAGGAGGAGGAGGCGGAGGCGGAGGCGGAGGAGGAGGCGGAGGAGGAGGAGGAGGAGGAGGGAGGAGTAGGAGGAGCAGGAGGAGCAGGAGGAGGAGGAGGAGGAGGCGGAGGAGCGGGGGCGGCGGTACAGGGAGCGGGATCGGGCTCTGGATCTGGATCGGTAACTGGTGCATCAGCGAGCGCAACGGTAGCGCCACCTGTCGGCGGGCCAAGCAGTCACCATCATTCGCATCCGCATTCGGCGAGCGGCATCAACACGCCGGCGACGGCGAGCACCAGTTCCTCCAGCGGCAACAGCTTGACGCCGCAGCAGCAGCAACAGCAGCAGCAGCAGCAACAGCAGCATCATATACAGCACCACCAGACCCACCCGCATCCCCACGGGCACCACTACAACCACCACCAGCATCCCCACGCGCTCCACCATCCGCATTCCCATCCGCACGGCCACCACCATCCGCATCCGCTCCATCCGCATCCGCATTCCGGGGCGCACTCGTCCCTGCGTCACTCGCAGCAGCAACTGCAGCAGCAGCAACAGCAGCAGGCAACATCCGCCAGCCAATTCAGCTTTAATCCCTCGCCGGGCAGCAGTCCTGGCAACGGTTTGGGTCTGGGCGCTCGCCAGGATGCGGCCAGTGCGCTCAACAGTCCCACGACCATTGTGAACTCCGGCAGCGGCAGCGGCGGCGGCAGCAGCGTCGCCTTCGGAATGCAGCCGCAGTCCTCGAGCGGCGGCGGCGGAGGAGGAGGTGGAGGTGGAGGAGGTGGCACTGGAGGAACAGGAGGCGTCGGAGGTGGAGGCTCCTCAACGACGGCAGCTCCCTCCTCGGGTCACAACAATGGCGGAGGATTGGGATCTGCGATGGGAGGCGGCGGCGGCGGAGGACTCAATCTGCTGGGCGGACTGGGAGGAATGGGTGGCATGGGTGGCATGGGCGGAGGAGCAGCTGCCGCCGGAATGGGAATCTGCGGCGGGATCAGCAGCACCGTGGGCAGTGCCGCCATCACCGGAGTACCGCCCATTGGCCTGGGCATTGCCACCGGGATCGGGAACAAGATCATGCTGGGAAGGAAGCAGAGCCTGAAGGGAGGGGAACCCTTCCTAGCGGACTACGGACCGGAGGAGTCGCTCAACGAGAGCGCCGACATCGAGTGGGTGAACAAGCTGTGGGTGCGGCGCCTGATGCGACTGTGTGCCCTCGTGTCGCTCACCTCCGTGTCCCTGAACACGCCCAAGACCTTCGAGCGGTATCCCTCGCTGCAGTTCATCACCTTCGCCTCGGACACCGCCGTCACGCTCCTCTTCACCGCCGAGATGATCGCCAAGATGCACATCCGCGGAGTGCTGCATGTGAGTAGCTAGCAACAAAATAGAGATTGAAGTGAATTTATAAGAATTATTTATGCATAAGAATTATTTATTCATAAGAATTATTTACCTATTTATAAGAATTATTTATTCAAAAGAATTATTTATTTATAAGAATTATTTATTTATAAGAATTATTTATTTATAAGAATTATTTATTCATAAGAATTATTTATTTAGAATAATTATTTATTCATAGGAATTATTTATTTAGAATAATTATTTATTCATAGGAATTATTTATTTAGAAGAATTATTTATTTATAAGAACTATTTATTTATAAGAATTATTTATTTGTAAGAATTATTTATTTGTAAGAATTATTTATTTATATGAATTATTTATTCATAAGAATTATTTATTTATAAGAATTATTTATTTATAAGAATTATTTATTTATAAGAATTATTTATTTATATGAATTATTTATTCATAAGAATTATTTATTTATAAGAATTATTTATTTATAAGAATTATTTATTTATAAGAATTATTTTTTTATAAGAATTATTTATTTATAAGAATTATTTATTCATAAGATTATTATTTAGTTATAAGAATTATTTATTATTATATTTTTATTTACCCAAATCAGGGTTCTCCTCTTTGAATATTATTTTATTTTACAAAAATTAATTGCATATAACCATTTATCTATCACCTCGTTAATTTAATTATATTATTATTTTCTTTTCAGGGTGAGGTGCCTTATTTGAAAGATCACTGGTGCCAGTTTGATGCCTCCATGGTCAGTTTCTTATGGATCTCGATCATTCTGCAAATCTTCGAGGTGCTCGAGGTAGTTCCAAAGTCAGTATATATCTCCAAAATCAAAACCACGGCACATTAATTAACAAAAGATTTGATTTTATCTTAGGTTTTCCTACTTGTCTATTATGAGAGCTCCTCGACCGCTGATAATGATTCGCTTCCTACGCGTCTTCCTCAAATTTAGTATGCCAAAAAGTCGAATTAACCAAATCTTCAAGTGAGTATCTGGTTGTTATCAAAGGAATTAATAATAACATCAATTAATTTTTTAATTTCCTTCCACAGACGTTCGAGTCAGCAAATTTACAACGTAACATTGTTCTTCCTCTTCTTCATGTCTCTATATGGTTTACTTGGGGTTCAGTTCTTTGGAGAACTGAAGAATCACTGTGTTATGAATAACACGGAATACGATCTACTTAAAAGACCGTAAGTTTGAGATTGGTTCTTGGTTTTTATATTTGCAAATATTTTTATTTTTATTGTAGAAAACGAATTTCTTAATTTATTCATACCGTCAGTTGTGGTAAATCATTTGAAATGAACTTTTTCCCTGTTTCAGAATTCTGACGATCAATTCGCTGGCCATTCCGGATACGTTCTGCTCGATGGATCCCGATTCGGGTTACCAGTGCTCGCCCGGAATGCGCTGCATGAAGATGGACTTCCTGAGCAGCTACGTGATCGGATTCAACGGGTTCGAGGACATTGCGACGAGCATCTTCACGGTTTACCAGGCAGCCTCGCAGGAGGGCTGGGTGTTCATCATGTACCGGGCCATCGATTCGCTGCCCGCGTGGAGAGCTGCCTTCTACTTCAGCACGATGATCTTCTTCCTGGCGTGGCTGGTGAAGAACGTCTTCATTGCGGTGATCACGGAGACCTTCAACGAGATTCGCGTGCAGTTCCAGCAGATGTGGGGAGCACGGGGCCACATCCAGAAGACGGCCGCCTCGCAGATCCTGAGTGGCAACGATTCTGGCTGGCGACTGGTGACCATCGATGACAATAAGCACGGCGGACTGGCGCCGGAAACGTGCCATGCCATCCTGCGATCGCCGTACTTCCGGATGCTCGTGATGAGCGTCATCCTGGCGAACGGGATCGTCACGGCCACCATGACATTCAAGCACGACGGACGACCGAGGGACGTGTTCTACGAGCGGTACTACTACATCGAGTTGGTGTTCACCTGCCTGCTGGATCTGGAAACGCTCTTCAAGATCTATTGCCTGGGATGGCGGGGCTACTACAAGCACTCGATACACAAATTCGAGCTGCTCTTGGCCGCGGGCACCACGCTGCATATCGTGCCCATGTTCTATCCCTCGGGATTGACCTACTTCCAGGTGCTGAGAGTGGTGCGACTGATCAAGGCGTCGCCAATGCTGGAGGGATTCGTCTACAAGATCTTTGGTCCCGGCAAGAAGCTCGGCTCGCTGATCATCTTCACCATGTGCCTGCTGATCATCAGTTCGAGCATCTCGATGCAGCTGTTCTGCTTCCTCTGCGACTTCACCAAGTTCGAATCCTTTCCGGAGGCCTTCATGAGCATGTTCCAGATCCTCACCCAGGAGGCCTGGGTGGAGGTAATGGACGAGACGATGATTAGGACCAGTAAAACGCTGACTCCTCTGGTGGCGGTGTACTTCATTCTGTACCATCTGTTCGTCACACTGATCGTGCTCAGTCTTTTCGTGGCGGTGATCTTGGACAACTTGGAGTTGGACGAGGACATCAAGAAGCTGAAGCAGCTTAAGTTCCGGGAGCAGAGTGCCGAGATCAAGGAGACCCTGCCCTTCCGACTGCGCATCTTCGAGAAGTTTCCCGATTCGCCGCAAATGACCATCCTGCATCGCATTCCCAACGATTTCATGCTGCCGAAGGTGCGCGAGAGTTTCATGAAGCACTTCGTCATCGAGCTGGAGACGGAGGACTCGCTGGTGGAGAACTGCAAGCGGCCCATGTCCGAGTGCTGGGAGTCCAACGTGGTCTTCCGCAAGCAGAAGCCCGTCAGGATCATGAACAAAACGGCCAAAGTTCGGGCCGCCGGCAGCAGTCTCCGTAAACTGGCCATAACGCACATTATCAAGTGAGTTTAAAGTCTATAAATATTATCATTATATTACTATTATAATTATTATTTTTTTAACTTTGGATACAAATAATATCTGTAATTTATGACTTTTTTTACATCAAATGCAATGGAAGATCTTCTCTTCATTTCAAATACAATTCACGTAAAGAATAATTTCCGGTGATTGTCGCATTATATAAATCTAAAAAAATATAACACACGTTTTTTTTTATAAATTTTTAATTGAACTTAAAGCTATTGTTTCTTGAACTTTAAAGTAAGAATGTTTTAAAAACCTGAAACTCTACCTTTTAGCTTAAATTAAATTGGCGTATGTTGTTTAAATTTCCTTTATTTCCGCAGTGACAGCAACAACCAGCGGCTGATGCTGGGCGACTCGGCCATGTTGCCGGTGGTGGGGACCAAGGGGGGCGGTGGGCTGAAGTCGCAGGGGACCATCACCCACTCGAAGCCGTGGCGCGTGGACCAGAAGAAGTGAGTAGCTGGGCCCAGCCCCATCGAGGCGGCTCGATCCGTTTGATGTGTGTCCACTACCAATCCGCAGGTTTGGTTCCCGCTCCATCCGCCGCAGCGTTCGCTCCGGATCCATCAAGCTGAAGCAGACGTACGAGCATCTGATGGAGAACGGGGACATTGCCGCCGCTCCTCGAGCGAATTCCGGAAGAGCCAGGCCGCATGATCTGGACATCAAGTTGCTGCAGGCGAAGCGCCAGCAGGCGGAGATGCGGCGCAATCAGCGGGAAGAGGATCTCCGGGAGAATCACCCATTCTTCGACACTCCGCTGTTTTTGGTGCCGCGGGAGAGCCGGTTCCGGAAGATCTGCCAGAAGATTGTCCACGCGCGATACGATGCGCGTCTCAAGGATCCGCTGACTGGAAAGGAGCGAAAGGTCCAGTACAAGAGTTTGCAGTAAGTGGAGATCCTTCAGAAAATGTTGTGTGTTCCTAATGAGATAAGTTATTCGATAGAATTACAAATATATAATCCATGAAATATTTTAAATTGGGTAGATCAAAGGTCATATATCTTATAATTTAGCCATTTGTAAAATTCTCAACAGAAGATTAATGGATGTGTTCTTGATGAGATTAGTTATTCGATGGAACTACAAATATATTTTCCATGAAATGTTTATTTAATTTAAAATTGAGTAGATCAAAGCTCATATAGCTTATATTTTATCCATTTATATAATTCTCAACAAAAGATAAATGGATTCGTTTTTGATGAGATTAGTTATTCGATGGAACTACAAATATATTTTCCATGAAATATTTATTTTAAATTGAGTAGATCAAAGCACATATTTTTATAATCCTCAACAGAAGACACGGCCGCGTAATTCAGCATTGAAGCTCTATGCTTAGTAGAAAATTGAAATAGAAGTATTGCCAATTTCTTTTAGAACCTTCAATAATCCCCAAATCCTTTGCAGCAACTTCCTCGGACTGGTGACGTACCTCGACTGGGTGATGATATTCGCCACGACGCTCTCGTGCATCTCGATGATGTTCGAGACACCCAACTACCGGGTGATGGATCATCCGACGCTGCAGATCGCCGAGTACGGGTTCGTTATTTTCATGAGCCTGGAGCTGGCGCTGAAGATATTGGCCGACGGCCTGTTCTTCACGCCGAAGGCTTACATCAAGGACGTGGCAGCCGCCCTGGATGTGTTCATCTATGTGGTGTCCACCTCGTTCTTGTGCTGGATGCCCCTGAATATACCAACCAACTCGGCGGCCCAGCTCCTGATGATCCTGCGCTGCGTTCGCCCGCTGCGAATCTTCACCCTCGTTCCGCACATGCGCAAAGTGGTCTACGAACTGTGTCGCGGCTTCAAGGAGATCCTGCTCGTATCCACGCTGCTCATCCTCCTGATGTTCATCTTCGCCAGCTACGGTGTCCAACTGTACGGTGGCCGTTTGGCCCGCTGCAACGATCCCACCATCTCGAGGCGGGAGGACTGCGTTGGTGTCTTCATGCGGCGGGTTTTCGTCACCAAAATGAAGCTCACCCCGGGTCCGGATGAGTCCTATCCGGCCATGTTGGTGCCACGGGTGTGGGCCAATCCGAGGCGATTCAATTTCGACAACATCGGCGATGCCATGCTGACTTTGTTCGAGGTTCTTTCCTTCAAGGGATGGCTGGATGTCCGCGATGTCCTGATCAAAGCCGTGGGTCCGGTGAGTCCTAAAATACTAAGGAACTTTTTTTATATGAGATATAAAAGCAAAAGTTCCAACACAATCAATTAGAAATTTACTAAAGTTATTTTTTATGTTTAAATTATATTTACATTAAATTTCATTAAGAATGTTATTTCTTTGAACTCAGTTTTTAAGCTGCTTATTCTTATCAGATTCGATTTCAAGGGTTTCTTTTACTTCTCGACTTAATTGTTTTCCTCCTTCCAGGTACATGCCGTCTATATCCACATCTATATCTTCTTGGGCTGCATGATCGGTCTGACGTTGTTCGTGGGCGTGGTCATTGCCAACTATTCGGAGAACAAGGGCACCGCCTTATTGACCGTCGACCAGAGGCGATGGTGTGATCTGAAGAAGCGACTGAAGATCGCCCAGCCCCTCCATCTACCCCCGAGGCCCGATGGCCGCAAGATCAGAGCCTTCACCTACGACATCACCCAGCACATCATCTTCAAGCGGGTCATCGCGGTGGTCGTGCTGATCAACAGTATGCTGCTCTCCATCACGGTTTGTACTGTATTTCAGTATTCCAGGGTTAGACGGAGCACGAAGTAACTGCATGTGTCTATAGCTTAATCACGGATAGATATAGATTGATCGTCAGACTAAAATGCTTAACGCAAAACAACAATGCCATGCCGAGCAGCAATTGCGTCTGACAGTAAATTAAAAAGCGATCTACTTTGCGCACCAAAAAATGCATGATTACTACAAATTGTGCATTGCTGATCAAAGGTCATAAAAATACAATTTTCGGATAAAAAATGATTTAAAAACAATTCTCAGTTATGTTTTCGTTTGTATTTAATATTATTTTTGTTGATTTCTTAAATATTATTTTAAATATTAGTCGATGTGTTTGTTTACCTTATAAGGTGTGTTTATTTATGTTTCTAGAAAAAAGTCGTTTTCAGAATTAGCAAAAATATTTGTGGATAACCCCAAGGAAGTCAAACTTCCTTTTTACCCATATCCATATCCATCAGCAATTTCCAAAGTAACCTTCCTGACCGAAAAATATTATAACATACAAAAGTTATATCATATAAACCAAAAATACTTTAAAATAGCTAAAGTACGTAATAATTTAAAAGGTACAAAACTAGGAAAACAATTAGATGCGCAAAACATTTGTATTTTAAGTAAACTGCCAAAAAATATGCCTTTGACTTTGTTAAACGATGTCTTAGACACAAAGTCATAAAAACTGCATGCCAGCACGTTTGTACAAATTGCAAAAGTATGTAGACAACGGTGGTTAACGACCCACTGTCGCTGAATTGGCGATATATGTACATATATGGTATATTGCGAACACAACCGCGAATATAGCAAGATAGTGAATGTATGCGGAGTTCGATATAGTGAACCCAGATGTACGATACAGTAGTGTGTGACTGCGTAGATTAGAGCTTAGCGATTTGAGCCCGGGGCTCTAGAAGATTTTGCGGAGCGGTGTTCTCTATCGTCTCTTGTCTCTGTCTCTGTCTCTGTCTCTGTCTCTCCAATTGTCTACTGCAGTGGATCAAGGGAGAGGTGCATACGGAACGCCTGGTGATCGTCAGTGCGGTATTGACCTTTGTCTTTGTGGTTGAGGTGGTGATGAAGAACATTGCCTTTACACCGCGCGGCTATTGGCAATCTAGGCGCAATCGCTATGACCTACTCGTCACCGTTGCCGGTGTGATTTGGATTATTTTGCAGACCATTCTGCGGGTAAGTTGTTGCTGTTGTCTGCTACCTAACCAACCAGCTTCCACAATAACCTACAACAAAACACTTCCTACATCCACTTACCCCCAATCCATAACCCCATAACCCCCTAACCCTTTGACCCCTTAATCCGCAAACGAAACGAAACTGACCTCTGACCTTTGATCTATGTGGCAGAACGATCTGTCGTACTTCTTTGGCTTCATGGTGGTCATCCTGCGCTTCTTCACCATCACCGGCAAGCACACCACACTGAAGATGCTCATGTTGACCGTGGGCGTGTCTGTATGCAAGTCCTTCTTCATTATCTTTGGCATGTTTCTGCTAGTCTTCTTCTATGCGCTGGCCGGGACGATACTCTTCGGTGAGCTGGGTGTCCAATGAGCCAGCCCCATGAGTCCCCAAGGACCCTCAACCCGACTGACCGCCGTTCGGCATCTCTCGTTCTCTCTCTTTGTTTCAGGCACCGTCAAATACGGCGAGGGCATCGGTCGCCGTGCCAATTTCGGGTCACCGGTCACCGGCGTGGCCATGCTCTTTCGGATCGTCACTGGCGAGGATTGGAACAAGATCATGCATGACTGCATGGTCCAACCGCCGTACTGCACCCTGGGCAACAACTACTGGGAGACGGACTGCGGCAACTTCACCGCGAGCCTCATCTACTTCTGCACCTTCTACGTGATCATCACGTACATCGTGCTCAACTTGCTAGTGGGTAGGTCGCAATCGCAGTGGGCGGGTCAACGGGCCTCTAGATATGGCCAAAAATGTAATTTGGAATTCGCACTTAAAGGCTATAATTGCATCATGCGAAACTAATTGTTTTCACTTTCAAACTGATATATATTTCCCTTTTCTTACTAGGAGATAACGTTCGCCTAATCCTTAAGTATTTATTGTTTTACAAGGCCGAATTAAAGTTAGAAGCAACTAATAATCTCTTTAATTGCAACATTTTAATTTCCAATTATTTTAATAATTTTTAAAACTGAAAGCTATTATCAACTTACATTATATAGTCGCAATACCTAATTGCGTTTTATAAAACGGTTTGCTTTTATTTTAAATACTTTTCTTGAACTGCACATATTTATTTGAAGTATTTTACTTTTAAAGACAATATGACTAACCTGTATACTATTTCAAGGTTATTGGTTTTTAAACAACGCAATTAAGTCTATAAAAATGTACCCATAATAACTAAAATTTATGTATTGTCAGACATTATCGTAGGTCAAATGTGACTCATAGGCCTGCAATAGCACAAGTTTGAATTTATTTTTCCCTTTTCGCAGCTATTATCATGGAGAACTTTTCCCTCTTCTACTCGAACGAAGAGGATGCCCTGCTCTCCTACGCGGATATCCGCAACTTCCAGAACACCTGGAACATTGTGGACATCCACCAACGAGGCGTTATTCCCGTGCGTCGGGTGAAGTTCATATTGCGCCTGCTGAAGGGACGACTCGAGTGCGATCCCCAAAAGGATCGATTGCTGTTCAAGTACATGTGCTACGAACTGGACAAGCTGCACAACGGCGAGGATGTGACCTTCCACGATGTCATCAAGTGGGTGATTGCAATCCCTCTATTTGAACAATTCCAAATGGTTTCCATTCGCAACTGATTTCAGCATGCTGAGCTACCGCTCGGTGGACATCAGGAAGGCTCTGCAGCTGGAGGAGCTTTTGGCGCGCGAGGAGTTCGAGTACCTGGTCGAGGAGGAGGTGGCCAAGATGACCATTCGCACCTGGCTGGAGGGGTGCCTCAAAAAGATTCGGGCACAAAATGCTAGTGTAGGTTTCCACACAATTAAGTGATTGAATATATGTGAATATATTATAAGTTGTATTTAGTTGAGTAGTTTTTTTAATTTCTGTAATTTAAACTGTAGTTCAAATGTATATTAAGGTTGGAAATTGAATTTAACGTTGAAAATAAGCTAACCATATAAATAAGTTTATTTAATATATTCTATTTTATTCTAAAAATCTATTTTATATCTTACACTCTACACTTATTTCTGTTTTCTGTTTTGCAGAAGCAGCAAAACTCGCTGATCGCCGGCCTGCGGGCGACGAACGAGCAGCCCGTGATGCGGCCAAATGTGCAGGAGGACAAGGCGCCTCTGGGGGCGGCGGACAAGTCGGCGATCAGCACGATCAGTGGGGCGGTGGCCGGCGCCTGCCCGCCCACCAGCGACGCCTTCTCCCCGACCTTCAGCTCCACGGAGAACGAGGAGAAGGACGGCAGCAGCAGCGCCGTCGTATTGCCCGCCCATCCAGAACCGCCGATCACGGGGGCAACTTCGGCGTTAGCGGGAGGGGGAAGCACGAGTGGACCAGTGGTCTCGACCGCTCGCCATGTGATGACGGTGGGCAAGCGGGGCTATGCCCTCAACCGGTCCGATTCGACGGGCAGTTCGGCGGGACGCAAGTTCCTGGCGCCCACGTCCAGTGATCCGCAGCAGCGATCAACGCTGAGCGACAAGGAGCGGCTGCACATCAGCAGCCAGCAGCGGAAGAAGAACTCGATGACCACGCTGCCGCATGCCGGCCAACTGGGTCAGTTGGCCAAGCAGCGAGGCGGCGGAGTGGGCGGCGGCGAGGCGAGCAAATCGGCCAGCTTCTTTGCCCAGCTGAACAGCGAGATTGGCCAGTTCCACTATCCGACAATAAATGCTGCCGCCGCCGCCGCCGCGCTGCACGGCTATGGACATGGCCACGGACATGGGCATGGTCATGGACATGGTCACGGACACGGCGATCATCAGCAGCACCATCATGGCGTCTTGGGCAGCCCGTCGGCGATGATGAGCCAAATGATCGGGGGCAGCGGCAAGCTGCTGCCGTTCAACAACCAGGCGAATGCCGTCTACGAGGTGCACGACTGGTGGCAGGAACAGGTCCTTTGTCCGCAGACCAGCGACGATGAGATCTAGCAATGGGCCTCCAGATGGCCGAAATGCAGCCGAAAATACCGCAGAGGAGCCTATTAAAACCAAAAAAACCAAAAACCATAAACCAAAAAAAAAAAAAAACAAAAAACAGAAACCAAAAATAACAGACATCAAATATCAACACAACTAGTGGCCTAGAACTTTTTTGTATATGCCTAATAATTGTAAATTTATCGGCCTCACAATTAACGGTTAACAATTCTAACGAGTATATACATACATACATACATAAATAGCTTTAGTTTTAGCACTGGTAAAACATAAAAAACAAAAAAACCAAAATAGATGAACATGAACAAAGGATAAGGGGCAACCATTAGTTTTACGTTTTGTTGTTGTTTGCGTGCTAGTTGGTAAATATGATCAGTCAGTCGGTAACTTTGTTATAGCTTAAATATATAAAGAAATATATATTATATATATGTATAACGAGTACATCGCATATGGATTGCATATGTCTTACGTATAGTGCAAATTTATAAGCGCGCTGCCTCACCAATGGAGCATTGATTTTCGTAAGCTGCCAAAAAAAAAAAAAAAAAAAATAAAATAAAATTATTAAAGACAAAAACGCAACACTAGCTAACGATTAAATAGGAATGCCAAATCGAAAACCGAAAAAGAACCCCTTAACACACTTCCAACTAGCCAAGTTTATACCAAATAGCAGATAATTGTAGACAAAGACGGAGAGGCGGAGCGAGCAACCTAAGCAGACACCAAATAGAAAGAGATACCTATTAAAGTATTTTGCGATTAGCCAACAAGAACTCAGCACAAATTACTGTTAAAGTTATTACTACGACTGTAGCGAATGCCCCCTCAATTCGATGCGACCTCTCCCCTTCCGAAGCTAAGCGTAATAAAAATCGTTGAAATTGCAAAACGTTTTAAAAAAAAACTGTCGTGGGTGGTGGCGGGTGGTCAATGAATGAACTTCGGGCTTGGGGGAAACGTGTGGGTGCTATGCTAACTGCGATTATACGGCTCTTATGCAAGCCCGTTACAGCCCTACGGAACTTGTGCGTGTCTCGGACGGAACCTTGCATCCGTTCCCGTTCCCTTTCCCGTTCCCGTTCCCGCAACAGAACCGAACCGATCGAGCTTTTGCCCCGCCGTCTACGGAATTCAAATTCTTGCACAGACGCGACACCTGACTCCGCCCCCGCGACTACGGCTTAAATATGCCCTTCAGAGGGCCGCAAAGCTCAGTACCGAGGGTGTCGCTCGGGTGTTCACAGCACTCTGAACCCGCCTCGCAACAGTACACCAGTCCAGGAGAGAGCAGCACCACGTTGACAAGATGCAACTGTTCGTTTTCTGCCTCCTGGTGGCCACCACGGCCGCCTTCACGATGCTCGGCCCGCACATCCGCATCGCGCCGGGCCAGAAGTCCAACGAGATCGTGCTCCACTTCCGCAATCCGTGCAACAACAAGACCAGCACCACGACCCTGAAGCCGCCGTCGCGACCGTGTCCCGATCATCCCACCACACCCTCCTGTGAGCACCGCACTTCCAGTGCCTCAACGAGCAGAGGCACCTCCCCGAAGCCCACGCTAGAAACAACTATCGGGACGACTTTCGGGACAACCCAAGTAACTTCCTCCACGACACTTAAGCCTACGGAAGGCACATCGGAGAAACCGACGACTCTGAAACCAACTGAGGCAACCAGTGTGAAGCCCACAACTTTGAAGCCCACAGAGGGAACCTCGGCCAAACCGACAACTCTGAAACCAACTGAGGCAACCACTTCAAAGCCCACAGAGGGAACCTCGGCCAAACCGACAACTCTGAAACCAACTGAGGCAACCAGTGTGAAGCCCACAGAGGGAACCTCGGCCAAACCGACAACTCTGAAACCAACTGAGGCAACCACTTCAAAGCCCACAGAGGGCACCTCGGCCAAACCGACAACTCTGAAACCAACTGAGGCAACCAGTGTGAAGCCCACAGAGGGAACCTCGGCCAAACCGACAACTCTGAAACCAACTGAGGCAACCACTTCAAAGCCCACAGAGGGAACCTCGGCCAAACCGACAACTCTGAATCCAACTGAGGCAACCAGTGTGAAGCCCACAACTTTGAAGCCCACAGAAGGAACCTCGGCCAAACCGACAACTCTGAAACCAATTGAGGCAACCAGTGTGAAGCCCACAGAGGGAACCACGGCCAAACCGACAACTCTGAAACCAACTGAGGCAACCAGTGTGAAGCCCACAACTTTGAAGCCCACAGAAGGAACCTCGGCCAAACCGACAACTCTGAAACCAACTGAGGCAACCAGTGTGAAGCCCACAGAGGGAACCTCGGCCAAACCGACAACTCTGAAACCAACTGAGGCAACCAGTGTGAAGCCCACAACTTTGAAGCCCACAGAGGGAACCACGGCCAAACCGACAACTCTGAAACCAACTGAGGCAACCAGTGTGAAGCCCACAGAGGGAACCTCGGCCAAACCGACAACTCTGAAACCAACTGAGGCAACCAGTGTGAAGCCCACAACTTTGAAGCCCACAGAGGGAACCACGGCCAAACCGACAACTCTGAAACCAACTGAGGCAACCAGTGTGAAGCCCACAACTTTGAAGCCCACAGAGGGAACCTCGGCCAAACCGACAACTCTGAAACCAACTGAGGCAACCAGTGTGAAGCCCACAACTTTGAAGCCCACAGAGGGAACCACGGCCAAACCGACAACTCTGAAACCAACTGAGGCAACCAGTGTGAAGCCCACAGAGGGAACCTCGGCCAAACCGACAACTCTGAAACCAACTGAGGCAACCAGTGTGAAGCCCACAACTTTGAAGCCCACAGAGGAAACCTCGGCCAAACCGACAACTCTGAAACCAACTGCGGCAACCAGTGTGAAGCCCACAACTTTGAAGCCCACAGAGGGAACCTCGGCCAAACCGACAACTCAGAAACCAACTGAGGCAACCACTTCAAAGCCCACAGAGGGAACCTCGGCCAAACCGACAACTCTGAAACCAACTGAGGCAACCAGTGTGAAGCCCACAACTTTGAAGCCCACAGAGGGAACCTCGGCCAAACCGACAACTCTGAAACCAACTGAGGCAACCAGTGTGAAGCCCACAACTTTGAAGCCCACAGAGGGAACCTCGGCCAAACCGACAACTCTGAAACCAACTGAGGCAACCAGTGTGAAGCCCACAGAGGGAACCTCGGCCAAACCGACAACTCTGAAACCAACTGAGGCAACCACTTCAAAGCCCACAGAGGGAACCTCGGCCAAACCGACAACTCTGAAACCAACTGAGGCAACCACTTCAAAGCCCACAGAGGGAACCTCGGCCAAACCGACAACTCTGAAACCAACTGAGGCAACCACTTCAAAGCCCACAGAGGGAACCTCGGCCAAACCGACAACTCTGAATCCAACTGAGGCAACCAGTGTGAAGCCCACAACTTTGAAGCCCACAGAAGGAACCTCGGCCAAACCGACAACTCTGAAACCAACTGAGGCAACCAGTGTGAAGCCCACAGAGGGAACCACGGCCAAACCGACAACTCTGAAACCAACTGAGGCAACCACTTCAAAGCCCACAGAGGGAACCTCGGCCAAACCGACAACTCTGAAACCAACTGAGGCAACCACTTCAAAGCCCACAGAGGGAACCTCGGCCAAACCGACAACTCTGAATCCAACTGAGGCAACCAGTGTGAAGCCCACAACTTTGAAGCCCACAGAGGAAACCTCGGCCAAACCGACAACTCTGAAACCAACTGCGGCAACCAGTGTGAAGCCCACAACTTTGAAGCCCACAGAGGGAACCTCGGCCAAACCGACAACTCAGAAACCAACTGAGGCAACCACTTCAAAGCCCACAGAGGGAACCTCGGCCAAACCGACAACTCTGAAACCAACTGAGGCAACCAGTGTGAAGCCCACAACTTTGAAGCCCACAGAGGGAACCTCGGCCAAACCGACAACTCTGAAACCAACTGAGGCAACCAGTGTGAAGCCCACAACTTTGAAGCCCACAGAGGGAACCTCGGCCAAACCGACAACTCTGAAACCAACTGAGGCAACCAGTGTGAAGCCCACAGAGGGAACCTCGGCCAAACCGACAACTCTGAAACCAACTGAGGCAACCACTTCAAAGCCCACAGAGGGAACCTCGGCCAAACCGACAACTCTGAAACCAACTGAGGCAACCACTTCAAAGCCCACAGAGGGAACCTCGGCCAAACCGACAACTCTGAAACCAACTGAGGCAACCACTTCAAAGCCCACAGAGGGAACCTCGGCCAAACCGACAACTCTGAAACCAACTGAGGCAACCACTTCAAAGCCCACAGAGGGAACCTCGGCCAAACCGACAACTCTGAAACCAACTGAGGCAACCACTTCAAAGCCCACAGAGGGAACCTCGGCCAAACCGACAACTCTGAATCCAACTGAGGCAACCAGTGTGAAGCCCACAACTTTGAAGCCCACAGAAGGAACCTCGGCCAAACCGACAACTCTGAAACCAACTGAGGCAACCAGTGTGAAGCCCACAGAGGGAACCACGGCCAAACCGACAACTCTGAAACCAACTGAGGCAACCAGTGTGAAGCCCACAACTTTGAAGCCCACAGAAGGAACCTCGGCCAAACCGACAACTCTGAAACCAACTGAGGCAACCAGTGTGAAGCCCACAGAGGGAACCTCGGCCAAACCGACAACTCTGAAACCAACTGAGGCAACCAGTGTGAAGCCCACAACTTTGAAGCCCACAGAGGGAACCACGGCCAAACCGACAACTCTGAAACCAACTGAGGCAACCAGTGTGAAGCCCACAGAGGGAACCTCGGCCAAACCGACAACTCTGAAACCAACTGAGGCAACCAGTGTGAAGCCCACAACTTTGAAGCCCACAGAGGGAACCACGGCCAAACCGACAACTCTGAAACCAACTGAGGCAACCAGTGTGAAGCCCACAACTTTGAAGCCCACAGAGGGAACCTCGGCCAAACCGACAACTCTGAAACCAACTGAGGCAACCAGTGTGAAGCCCACAACTTTGAAGCCCACAGAGGGAACCACGGCCAAACCGACAACTCTGAAACCAACTGAGGCAACCAGTGTGAAGCCCACAGAGGGAACCTCGGCCAAACCGACAACTCTGAAACCAACTGAGGCAACCAGTGTGAAGCCCACAACTTTGAAGCCCACAGAGGGAACCTCGGCCAAACCGACAACTCTGAAACCAACTGCGGCAACCAGTGTGAAGCCCACAACTTTGAAGCCCACAGAGGGAACCTCGGCCAAACCGACAACTCAGAAACCAACTGAGGCAACCACTTCAAAGCCCACAGAGGGAACCTCGGCCAAACCGACAACTCTGAAACCAACTGAGGCAACCAGTGTGAAGCCCACAACTTTGAAGCCCACAGAGGGAACCTCGGCCAAACCGACAACTCTGAAACCAACTGAGGCAACCAGTGTGAAGCCCACAACTTTGAAGCCCACAGAGGGAACCTCGGCCAAACCGACAACTCTGAAACCAACTGAGGCAACCAGTATGAAGCCCACAACTTTGAAGCCCACAGAGGGAACCTCGGCCAAACCGACAACTCTGAAACCAACTGAGGCAACCACTTCAAAGCCCACAGAGGGAACCTCGGCCAAACCGACAACTCTGAAACCAACTGAGGCAACCACTTCAAAGCCCACAGAGGGAACCTCGGCCAAACCGACAACTCTGAAACCAACTGAGGCAACCAGTGTGAAGCCCACAACTTTGAAGCCCACAGAGGGAACCTCGGCCAAACCGACAACTCTGAAACCAACTGAGGAAACCAGTGTGAAGCCCACAACTTTGAAGCCCACAGAGGGAACCTCGGCCAAACCGACAACTCTGAAACCAACTGAGGCAACCACTTCAAAGCCCACAGAGGGAACCTCGGCCAAACCGACAACTCTGAAACCAACTGAGGCAACCAGTATGAAGCCCACAACTTTGAAGCCCACAGAGGGAACCTCGGCCAAACCGACAACTCTGAAACCAACTGAGGCAACCACTTCAAAGCCCACAGAGGGAACCTCGGCCAAACCGACAACTCTGAAACCAACTGAGGCAACCAGTGTGAAGCCCACAACTTTGAAGCCCACAGAGGGAACCTCGGCCAAACCGACAACTCTGAAACCAACTGAGGCAACCACTTCAAAGCCCACAGAGGGAACCTCGGCCAAACCGACAACTCTGAAACCAACTGAGGCAACCAGTGTGAAGCCCACAGAGGGAACCGCGGCCAAACCGACAACTCTGAAACCAACTGAGGCAACCACTTCAAAGCCCACAGAGGGAACCTCGGCCAAACCGACAACTCTGAAACCAACTGAGGCAACCAGTGTGAAGCCCACAACTTTGAAGCCCACAGAAGGAACTTCGGCCAAACCGACAACTCTGAAACCAACTGAGGCAACCAGTGTGAAGCCCACAACTTTGAAGCCCACAGAGGGAACCTCGGCCAAACCGACAACTCTGAAACCAACTGAGGCAACCAGTGTGAAGCCCACAACTTTGAAGCCCACAGAAGGAACCTCGGCCAAACCGACAACTCAGAAACCAACTGAGGCAACCACTTCAAAGCCCACAGAGGGAACCTCGGCCAAACCGACAACTCTGAAACCAACTGAGGCAACCAGTGTGAAGCCCACAACTTTGAAGCCCACAGAGGGAACCACGGCCAAACCGACAACTCTGAAACCAACTGAGGCAACCAGTGTGAAGCCCACAGAGGGAACCTCGGCCAAACCGACAACTCTGAAACCAACTGAGGCAACCAGTGTGAAGCCCACAACTTTGAAGCCCACAGAGGGAACCTCGGCCAAACCGACAACTCTGAAACCAACTGAGGCAACCAGTGTGAAGCCCACAGAGGGAACCTCGGCCAAACCGACAACTCAGAAACCAACTGAGGCAACCACTTCAAAGCCCACAGAGGGAACCTCGGCCAAACCGACAACTCTGAAACCAACTGAGGCAACCAGTGTGAAGCCCACAACTTTGAAGCCCACAGAGGGAACCTCGGCCAAACCGACAACTCTGAAACCAACTGAGGAAACCAGTGTGAAGCCCACAACTTTGAAGCCCACAGAGGGAACCTCGGCCAAACCGACAACTCTGAAACCAACTGAGGCAACCAGTGTGAAGCCCACAACTTTGAAGGCCACAGAGGGAACCTCGGCCAAACCGACAACTCTGAAACCAACTGAGGCAACCAGTGTGAAGCCCACAGAGGGAACCTCGGCCAAACCGACAACTCTGAAACCAACTGAGGCAACCAGTGTGAAGCCCACAACTTTGAAGCCCACAGAGGGAACTTCGGCCAAACCGACAACTCTGAAACCAACTGAGGCAACCAGTGTGAAGCCCACAACTTTGAAGCCCACAGAGGGAACCTCGGCCAAACCGACAACTCAGAAACCAACTGAGGCAACCACTTCAAAGCCCACAGTGGGAACCTCGGCCAAACCGACAACTCTGAAACCAACTGAGGCAACCAGTGTGAAGCCCACAACTTTGAAGCCCACAGAGGGAACCTCGGCCAAACCGACAACTCTGAAACCAACTGAGGCAACCACTTCAAAGCCCACAGAGGGAACCTCGGCCAAACCGACAACTCTGAAACCAACTGAGGCAACCAGTGTGAAGCCCACAACTTTGAAGCCCACAGAGGGAACCTCGGCCAAACCGACAACTCTGAAACCAACTGAGGCAACCAGTGTGAAGCCCACAACTTTGAAGCCCACAGAGGGAACCTCGGCCAAACCGACAACTCTGAAACCAACTGAGGCAACCACTTCAAAGCCCACAGAGGGAACCTCGGCCAAACCGACAACTCTGAAACCAACTGAGGCAACCAGTGTGAAGCCCACAGAGGGAACCTCGGCCAAACCGACAACTCTGAAACCAACTGAGGCAACCAGTGTGAAGCCCACAACTTTGAAGCCCACAGAGGGAACCACGGCCAAACCGACAACTCTGAAACCAACTGAGGCAACCAGTGTGAAGCCCACAGAGGGAACCTCGGCCAAACCGACAACTCTGAAACCAACTGAGGCAACCAGTGTGAAGCCCACAACTTTGAAGCCCACAACTTTGAAGCCCACGGAGGGAACCTCGGCCAAACCGCCAACTCTGAAACCAACTGAGGCAACCACTTCAAAGCCCACAGAGGGAACCTCGGCCAAACCGACAACTCTGAAACCAACTGAGGCAACCAGTGTGAAGCCCACAACTTTGAAGCCCACAGAAGGAACCTCGGCCAAACCGACAACTCTGAAACCAACTGAGGCAACCAGTGTGAAGCCCACAACTTTGAAGCCCACAGAAGGAACCTCGGCCAAACCGACAACTCAGAAACCAACTAAGGCAACCACTTCAAAGCCCACAGAGGGAACCTCGGCCAAACCGACAACTCTGAAACCAACTGAGGCAACCAGTGTGAAGCCCACAACTTTGAAGCCCACAGAGGGAACCTCGGCCAAACCGACAACTCTGAAACCAACTGAGGCAACCAGTGTGAAGCCCACAACTTTGAAGCCCACAGAGGGAACCTCGGCCAAACCGACAACTCTGAAACCAACTGAGGCAACCACTTCAAAGCCCACAGAGGGAACCTCGGCCAAACCGACAACTCTGAAACCAACTGAGGCAACCAGTGTGAAGCCCACAGAGGGAACCTCGGCCAAACCGACAACTCTGAAACCAACTGAGGCAACCAGTGTGAAGCCCACAACTTTGAAGCCCACAGAGGGAACCACGGCCAAACCGACAACTCTGAAACCAACTGAGGCAACCAGTGTGAAGCCCACAGAGGGAACCTCGGCCAAACCGACAACTCTGAAACCAACTGAGGCAACCAGTGTGAAGCCCACAACTTTGAAGCCCACAACTTTGAAGCCCACGGAGGGAACCTCGGCCAAACCGACAACTCTGAAACCAACTGAGGCAACCACTTCAAAGCCCACAGAGGGAACCTCGGCCAAACCGACAACTCTGAAACCAACTGAGGCAACCAGTGTGAAGCCCACAACTTTGAAGCCCACAGAAGGAACCTCGGCCAAACCGACAACTCTGAAACCAACTGAGGCAACCAGTGTGAAGCCCACAACTTTGAAGCCCACAGAAGGAACCTCGGCCAAACCGACAACTCAGAAACCAACTAAGGCAACCACTTCAAAGCCCACAGAGGGAACCTCGGCCAAACCGACAACTCTGAAACCAACTGAGGCAACCAGTGTGAAGCCCACAACTTTGAAGCCCACAGAGGGAACCTCGGCCAAACCGACAACTCTGAAACCAACTGAGGCAACCAGTGGGAAGCCCACAACTTTGAAGCCCACAGAGGGAACCTCGGCCAAACCGACAACTCTGAAACCAACTGAGGCAACCAGTGTGAAGCCCACAACTTTGAAGCCCACAGAGGGAACCTCGGCCAAACCGACAACTCTGAAACCAACTGAGGCAACCACTTCAAAGCCCACAGAGGGAACCTCGGCCAAACCGACAACTCTGAAACCAACTGAGGCAACCAGTGTGAAGCCCACAACTTTGATGCCCACAGAAGGAACCTCGGCCAAACCGACAACTCTGAAACCAACTGAGGCAACCACTTCAAAGCCCACAGAGGGAACCTCGGCCAAACCGACAACTCTGAAACCAACTGAGGCAACCAGTGTGAAGCCCACAACTTTGAAGCCTACAGAAGGGACCTCGGCCAAACCGACAACTCTGAAACCAACTGAGGCAACCACTTCAAAGCCCACAGAGGGAACCTCGGCCAAACCGACAACTCTGAAACCAACTGAGGCAACCAGTGTGAAGCCCACAACTTTGAAGCCCACAGAGGGAACCTCGGCCAAACCGACAACTCTGAAACCAACTGAGGCAACCAGTGTGAAGCCCACAACTTTGAAGCCCACAGAAGGGACCTCGGCCAAACCGACAACTCTGAAACCAACTGAGGCAACCACTTCAAAGCCCACAGAGGGAACCTCGGCCAAACCGACAACTCTGAAACCAACTGAGGCAACCAGTGTGAAGCCCACAACTTTGAAGCCCACAGAGGGAACCTCGGCCAAACCGACAACTCTGAAACCAACTGAGGCAACCACTTCAAAGCCCACAGAGGGAACCTCGGCCAAACCGACAACTCTGAAACCAACTGAGGCAACCAGTGTGAAGCCCACAACTTTGAAGCCCACAGAAGGAACCTCGGCCAAACCGACAACTCAGAAACCAACTGAGGCAACCACTTCAAAGCCCACAGAGGGAACCTCGGCCAAACCGACAACTCTGAAACCAACTGAGGCAACCAGTGTGAAGCCCACAACTTTGAAGCCCACAGAGGGAACCTCGGCCAAACCGACAACTCTGAAACCAACTGAGGCAACCAGTGTGAAGCCCACAACTTTGAAGCCCACAGAGGGAACCTCGGCCAAACCGACAACTCTGAAACCAACTGAGGCAACCTCGGCCAAACCGACAACTCTGAAACCAACTGAGGCAACCAGTGTGAAGCCCACAACTTTGAAGCCCACAGAGGGAACCTCGGCCAAACCGACAACTCTGAAACCAACTGAGGCAACCACTTCAAAGCCCACAGAGGGAACCTCGGCCAAACCGACAACTCTGAAACCAACTGAGGCAACCACTTCAAAGCCCACAGAGGGAACCTCGGCCAAACCGACAACTTTGAAACCAACTGAGGCAACCAGTGTGAAGCCCACAACTCTGAAGCCCACAGAGGGAACCTCGGCCAAACCGACAACTCTGAAACCAACTGAGGCAACCAGTGTGAAGCCCACAACTTTGAAGCCCACAGAGGGAACCTCGGCCAAACCGACAACTCTGAAACCAACTGAGGCAACCACTTCAAAGCCCACAGAGGGAACCTCGGCCAAACCGACAACTCTGAAACCAACTGAGGCAACCAGTGTGAAGCCCACAGAGGGAACCTCGGCCAAACCGACAACTCTGAAACCAACTGAGGCAACCAGTGTGAAGCCCACAACTTTGAAGCCCACAGAGGGAACCTCGGCCAAACCGACAACTCTGAAACCAACTGAGGCAACCAGTGTGAAGCCCACAACTTTGAAGCCCACAGAGGGAACCTCGGCCAAACCGACAACTCTGAAACCAACTGCGGCAACCACTTCAAAGCCCACAGAGGGAACCTCGGCCAAACCGACAACTCTGAAACCAACTGAGGCAACCAGTGTGAAGCCCACAACTTTGAAGCCCACAGAGGGAACCTCGGCCAAACCGACAACTTTGAAACCAACTGAGGCAACCAGTGTGAAGCCCACAACTTTGAAGCCCACAGAGGGAACCTCGGCCAAACCGACAACTCTGAAACCAACTGAGGCAACCAGTGTGAAGCCCACAACTTTGAAGCCCACAGAGGGAACCTCGGCCAAACCGACCACTCTGAAACCAACTGAAGCAACCAGTGTGAAGCCCACAACTTTGAAGCCCACAGAGGGAACCTCGGCCAAACCGACAACTCTGAAACCAACTGAGGCAACCAGTGTGAAGCCCACAACTTTGAAGCCCACAGAGGGAACCTCGGCCAAACCGACAACTCTGAAACCAACTGAGGCAACCAGTGTGAAGCCCACAACTTTGAAGCCCACAGAGGGAACCTCGGCCAAACCGACAACTCTGAAACCAACTGAGGCAACCACTTCAAAGCCCACAGAGGGAACCTCGGCCAAACCGACAACTCTGAAACCAACTGAGGCAACCAGTGTGAAGCCCACAACTTTGAAGCCCACAGAAGGAACCTCGGCCAAACCGACAACTCAGAAACCAACTGAGGCAACCACTTCAAAGCCCACAGAGGGAACCTCGGCCAAACCGACAACTTTGAAACCAACTGAGGCAACCAGTGTGAAGCCCACAACTTTGAAGCCCACAGAGGGAACCTCGGCCAAACCGACAACTTTGAAACCAACTGAGGCAACCACTTCAAAGCCCACAGAGGGAACCTCGGCCAAACCGACAACTCTGAAACCAACTGAGGCAACCAGTGTGAAGCCCACAACTTTGAAGCCCACAGAGGGAACCTCGGCCAAACCGACAACTCTGAAACCAACTGAGGCAACCACTTCAAAGCCCACAGAGGGAACCTCGGCCAAACCGACAACTCTGAAACCAACTGAGGCAACCAGTGTGAAGCCCACAACTTTGAAGCCCACAGAGGGAACCTCGGCCAAACCGACAACTCTGAAACCAACTGAGGCAACCAGTGTGAAGCCCACAACTTTGAAGCCCACAGAGGGAACCTCGGCCAAACCGACAACTCTGAAACCAACTGAGGCAACCAGTGTGAAGCCCACAACTTTGAAGCCCACAGAGGGAACCTCGGCCAAACCGACCACTCTGAAACCAACTGAAGCAACCAGTGTGAAGCCCACAACTTTGAAGCCCACAGAGGGAACCTCGGCCAAACCGACAACTCTGAAACCAACTGAGGCAACCAGTGTGAAGCCCACAACTTTGAAGCCCACAGAGGGAACCTCGGCCAAACCGACAACTCTGAAACCAACTGAGGCAACCACTTCAAAGCCCACAGAGGGAACCTCGGCCAAACCGACAACTCTGAAACCAACTGAGGCAACCAGTGTGAAGCCCACAACTTTGAAGCCCACAGAAGGAACCTCGGCCAAACCGACAACTCAGAAACCAACTGAGGCAACCACTTCAAAGCCCACAGAGGGAACCTCGGCCAAACCGACAACTTTGAAACCAACTGAGGCAACCAGTGTGAAGCCCACAACTTTGAAGCCCACAGAGGGAACCTCGGCCAAACCGACAACTTTGAAACCAACTGAGGCAACCACTTCAAAGCCCACAGAGGGAACCTCGGCCAAACCGACAACTCTGAAACCAACTGAGGCAACCAGTGTGAAGCCCACAACTTTGAAGCCCACAGAGGGAACCTCGGCCAAACCGACAACTCTGAAACCAACTGAGGCAACCACTTCAAAGCCCACAGAGGGAACCTCGGCCAAACCGACAACTCTGAAACCAACTGCGGCAACCACTTCAAAGCCCACAGAGGGAACCTCGGCCAAACCGACAACTCTGAAACCAACTGAGGCAACCAGTGTGAAGCCCACAACTTTGAAGCCCACAGAGGGAACCTCGGCCAAACCGACAACTTTGAAACCAACTGAGGCAACCAGTGTGAAGCCCACAACTTTGAAGCCCACAGAGGGAACCTCGGCCAAACCGACAACTCTGAAACCAACTGAGGCAACCAGTGTGAAGCCCACAACTTTGAAGCCCACAGAGGAAACCTCGGCCAAACCGACAACTCTGAAACCAACTGAGGCAACCAGTGTGAAGCCCACAACTTTGAAGCCCACAACTTTGAAGCCCACAGAAGGAACCTCGGCCAAACCGACAACTCTGAAACCAACTGAGGCAACCACTTCAAAGCCCACAGAGGGAACCTCGGCCAAACCGACAAGTCTGAAACCAACTGAGGCAACCAGTGTGAAGCCCACAACTTTGAAGCCCACAGAGGGAACCTCGGCCAAACCGACAACTCTGAAACCAACTGAGGCAACCAGTGTGAAGCCCACAGAAGGAACCTCGGCCAAACCGACAACTCTGAAACCAACTGAGGCAACCACTTCAAAGCCCACAGAGGGAACCTCGGCCAAACCGACAAGTCTGAAACCAACTGAGGCAACCAGTGTGAAGCCCACAACTTTGAAGCCCACAGAAGGAACCTCGGCCAAACCGACAACTCTGAAACCAACTGAGGCAACCAGTGTGAAGCCCACAACTTTAAAGCCCACGGAGGGAACCTCGGCCAAACCGACAACTCTGAAACCAACTGAGGCAACCAGTGTGAAGCCCACAACTTTGAAACCCACAGAGGGAACCTCGGCCAAACCGACAACTCTGAAACCAACTGAGGCAACCAGTGTGAAGCCCACAACTTTGAAGCCCACAGAGGGAACCTCGGCCAAACCGACAACTCTGAAACCAACTGAGGCAACCAGTGTGAAGCCCACAACTTTGAAGCCCACAGAGGGAACCTCGGCCAAACCGACAACTCTGAAACCAACTGAGGCAACCAGTGTGAAGCCCACAACTTTGAAGCCCACAGAGGGAACCTCGGCCAAACCGACAACTCTGAAACCAACTGAGGCAACCACTTCAAAGCCCACAGAGGGAACCTCGGCCAAACCGACAACTCTGAAACCAACTGAGGCAACCAGTGTGAAGCCCACAGAGGGAACCTCGGCCAAACCGACAACTCTGAAACCAACTGAGGCAACCAGTGTGAAGCCCACAACTTTGAAGCCCACAGAGGGAACCTCGGCCAAACCGACAACTCTGAAACCAACTGAGGCAACCAGTGTGAAGCCCACAACTTTGAAGCCCACAGAGGGAACCTCGGCCAAACCGACCACTCTGAAACCAACTGAAGCAACCAGTGTGAAGCCCACAACTTTGAAGCCCACAGAGGGAACCTCGGCCAAACCGACAACTCTGAAACCAACTGAGGCAACCAGTGTGAAGCCCACAACTTTGAAGCCCACAGAGGGAACCTCGGCCAAACCGACAACTCTGAAACCAACTGAGGCAACCAGTGTGAAGCCCACAACTTTGAAGCCCACAGAGGGAACCTCGGCCAAACCGACAACTCTGAAACCAACTGAGGCAACCACTTCAAAGCCCACAGAGGGAACCTCGGCCAAACCGACAACTTTGAAACCAACTGAGGCAACCAGTGTGAAGCCCACAACTTTGAAGCCCACAGAGGGAACCTCGGCCAAACCGACAACTTTGAAACCAACTGAGGCAACCACTTCAAAGCCCACAGAGGGAACCTCGGCCAAACCGACAACTCTGAAACCAACTGAGGCAACCAGTGTGAAGCCCACAGAAGGAACCTCGGCCAAACCGACAACTCAAAAACCAACTGAGGCAACCAGTGTGAAGCCCACAACTTTAAAGCCCACGGAGGGAACCTCGGCCAAACCGACAACTCTGAAACCAACTGAGGCAACCAGTGTGAAGCCCACAACTTTGAAGCCCACAGAGGGAACCTCGGCCAAACCGACAACTCTAAAACCAACTGAGGCAACCAGTGTGAAGCCTACAACTTTGAAGCCCACAGAGGGAACCTCGGCCAAACCGACAACTCTGAAACCAACTGAGGCAACCAGTGTGAAGCCCACAACTTTGAAGCCCACAGAGGGAACCTCGGCCAAACCGACAACTCTGAAACCAACTGAGGCAACCACTTCAAAGCCCACAGAGGGAACCTCGGCCAAGCCGACAACTCTGAAACCAACTGAGGCAACCAGTGTGAAGCCCACAACTTTGAAGCCCACAGAGGGAACCTCGGCCAAACCGACAACTCTGAAACCAACTGAGGCAACCACTTCAAAGCCCACAACTTCAAAGCCCACAGAGGGAACCTCGGCCAAGCCGACAACTCTGAAACCAACTGAGGCAACCAGTGTGAAGCCCACAACTTTGAAGCCCACAGAGGGAACCTCGGCCAAACCGACAACTCTGAAACCAACTGAGGCAACCAGTGTGAAGCCCACAACTTTGAAGCCCACAGAGGGAACCTCGGCCAAACCGACCACTCTGAAACCAACTGAGGCAACCAGTGTGAAGCCCACAACGTTGAAGCCCACAGAGGGAACCTCAGCCAAACCGACAACTCTGAAACCAACTGAGGCAACCAGTGTGAAGCCCACAACTTTGAAGCCCACAGAGGGAACCTCGGCCAAACCGACAACTCTGAAACCAACTGAGGCAACCAGTGTGAAGCCCACAACTTTAAAGCCCACAGAGGAAACCTCGGCCAAACCGACAACTCTGAAACCAACTGAGGCAACCAGTGTGAAGCCCACAACTTTGAAGCCCACAGAAGGAACCTCGGCCAAACCGACAACTCTGAAACCAACTGAGGCAACCACTTCAAAGCCCACAGAGGGAACCTCGGCCAAACCGACAACTCTGAAACCAACTGAGGCAACCAGTGTGAAGCCCACAACTTTGAAGCCCACGGAGGGAACCTCGGCCAAACCGACAACTCTAAAACCAACTGAGGCAACCAGTGTGAAGCCCACAGAGGGAACCTCGGCCAAACCGACAACTCTGAAACCAACTGAGGCAACCAGTGTGAAGCCCACAACTTTGAAGCCCACAGAGGGAACCTCGGCCAAACCGACAACTCTGAAACCAACTGAGGCAACCAGTGTGAAGCCCACAACTTTGAAGCCCACAGAGGGAACCTCGGCCAAACCGACAACTCTGAAACCAACTGAGGCAACCAGTGTGAAGCCCACAACTTTGAAGCCCACAGAAGGAACCTCGGCCAAACCGACAACTCTGAAACCAACCAGTGTGAAGCCCACAACTTTAAAGCCCACGGAGGGAACCTCGGCCAAACCGACAACTCTGAAACCAACTGAGGCAACCAGTGTGAAGCCCACAACTTTGAAGCCCACAGAGGGAACCTCGGCCAAACCGACAACTCTGAAACCAACTGCGGCAACCAGTGTGAAGCCCACAACTTTGAAGCCCACAGAGGGAACCTCGGCCAAACCGACAACTCTGAAACCAACTGAGGCAACCAGTGTGAAGCCCACAACTTTGAAGCCCACAGAGGGAACCTCGGCCAAACCGACAACTCTGAAACCAACTGAGGCAACCACTTCAAAGCCCACAGAGGGAACCTCGGCCAAACCGACAACTCTGAAACCAACTGAGGCAACCAGTGTGAAGCCCACAACTTTGAAGCCCACAGAGGGAACCTCGGCCAAACCGACAACTCTGAAACCAACTGAGGAAACCAGTGTGAAGCCCACAACTTTGAAGCCCACAGAGGGAACCTCGGCCAAACCGACAACTCTGAAACCAACTGAGGCAACCAGTGTGAAGCCCACAACTTTGAAGCCCACAGAGGGAACCTCGGCCAAACCGACAACTCTGAAACCAACTGCGGCAACCAGTGTGAAGCCCACAACTTTGAAGCCCACAGAGGGAACCTCGGCCAAACCGACAACTCTGAAACCAACTGAGGCAACCAGTGTGAAGCCCACAACTTTGAAGCCCACAGAGGGAACCTCGGCCAAACCGACAACTCTCAAACCAACTGAGGCAACCACTTCAAAGCCCACAGAGGGAACCTCGGCCAAACCGACAACTCTGAAACCAACTGAGGCAACCAGTGTGAAGCCCACAACTTTGAAGCCCACAGAGGGAACCTCGGCCAAACCGACAACTCTGAAACCAACTGAGGCAACCAGTGTGAAGCCCACAACTTTGAAGCCCACAGAGGGAACCTCGGCCAAACCGACAACTCTGAAACCAACTGAGGCAACCACTTCAAAGCCCACAGAGGGAACCTCGGCCAAACCGACAACTCTGAAACCAACTGAGGCAACCAGTGTGAAGCCCACAACTTTGAAGCCCACAGAGGGAACCTCGGCCAAACCGACAACTCTGAAACCAACTGAGGCAACCAGTGTGAAGCCCACAACTTTGAAGCCCACAGAAGGGACCTCGGCCAAACCGACAACTCTGAAACCAACTGAGGCAACCACTTCAAAGCCCACAGAGGGAACCTCGGCCAAACCGACAACTCTGAAACCAACTGAGGCAACCAGTGTGAAGCCCACAACTTTGAAGCCCACAGAGGGAACCTCGGCCAAACCGACAACTCTGAAACCAACTGAGGCAACCAGTGTGAAGCCCACAACTTTGAAGCCCACAGAGGGAACCTCGGCCAAACCGACAACTCTGAAACCAACTGAGGCAACCAGTGTGAAGCCCACAACTTTGAAGCCCACAGAGGAAACCTCGGCCAAACCGACAACTCTGAAACCAACTGAGGCAACCACTTCAAAGCCCACAGAGGGAACCTCGGCCAAACCGACAACTCTGAAACCAACTGAGGCAACCAGTGTGAAGCCCACAACTTTGAAGCCCACAGAAGGAACCTCGGCCAAACCGACAACTCTGAAACCAACTGAGGCAACCACTTCAAAGCCCACAGAGGGAACCTCGGCCAAACCGACAACTCTGAAACCAACTGAGGCAACCAGTGTGAAGCCCACAACTTTGAAGCCCACGGAGGGAACCTCGGCCAAACCGACAACTCTGAAACCAACTGAGGCAACCAGTGTGAAGCCCACAACTTTGAAGCCCACAACTTTGAAGCCCACAGAGGGAACCTCGGCCAAACCGACAACTCTGAAACCAACTGAGGCAACCAGTGTGAAGCCCACAGAGGGAACCTCGGCCAAACCGACAACTCTGAAACCAACTGAGGCAACCAGTGTGAAGCCCACAACTTCGAAGCCCACAGAGGGAACCTCGGCCAAACCGACAACTCTGAAACCAACTGAGGCAACCAGTGTGAAGCCCACAACTTTGAAGCCCACAGAGGGAACCTCGGCCAAACCGACAACTCTGAAACCAACTGAGGCAACCAGTGTGAAGCCCACAACTTTGAAGCCCACAGAGGGAACCTCGGCCAAACCGACAACTCTGAAACCAACTGAGGCAACCAGTGTGAAGCCCACAACTTCGAAGCCCACAGAGGGAACCTCGGCCAAACCGACAACTCTGAAACCAACTGCGGCAACCAGTGTGAAGCCCACAACTTTGAAGCCCACAGAGGGAACCTCGGCCAAACCGACAACTCAGAAACCAACTGAGGCAACCACTTCAAAGCCCACAGAGGGAACCTCGGCCAAACCGACAACTCTGAAACCAACTGAGGCAACCAGTGTGAAGCCCACAACTTTGAAGCCCACAGAAGGAACCTCGGCCAAACCGACAACTCTGAAACCAACTGAGGCAACCAGTGTGAAGCCCACAACTTTAAAGCCCACAGAGGGAACCTCGGCCAAACCGACAACTCTGAGACCAACTGAGGCAACCACTTCAAAGCCCACAGAGGGAACCTCGGCCAAACCGACAACTCTGAAACCAACTGAGGCAACCAGTGTGAAGCCCACAACTTTGAAGCCCACAGAGGGAACCTCGGCCAAACCGACAACTCTGAAACCAACTGAGGCAACCACTTCAAAGCCCACAGAGGGAACCTCGGCCAAACCGACAACTCTGAAACCAACTGAGGCAACCAGTGTGAAGCCCACAACTTTGAAGCCCACAGAGGGAACCTCGGCCAAACCGACAACTCTGAAACCAACTGAGGCAACCAGTGTGAAGCCCACAACTTTGAAGCCCACAGAGGGAACCTCGGCCAAACCGACAACTCTCAAACCAACTGAGGCTACCACTTCAAAGCCCACAGAGGGAACCTCTGCCAAACCGACAACTCTCAAACCAACTGAGGCAACCAGTGTGAAGCCCACAACTTTGAAGCCCACAGAGGGAACCTCGGCCAAACCGACAACTCTGAAACCAACTGAGGCAACCAGTGTGAAGCCCACAACTTTGAAGCCCACAGAGGGAACCTCGGCCAAACCGACAACCCTGAGACCAACTGAGGCAACCAGTGTGAAGCCCACAACTTTGAAGCCCACAGAAGGAACCTCGGCCAAACCGACAACTCTGAAACCAACTGAGGCAACCAGTGTGAAGCCCACAACTTTGAAGCCCACAGAGGGAACCTCGGCCAAACCGACAACTCTGAAACCAACTGAGGCAACCAGTGTGAAGCCCACAACTTTGAAGCCCACAGAGGGAACCTCGGCCAAACCGACAACTCTGAAACCAACTGAGGCAACCAGTGTGAAGCCCACAACTTTGAAGCCCACAGAGGGAACCTCGGCCAAACCGACAACTCTGAAACCAACTGAGGCAACCAGTGTGAAGCCCACAACTTTGAAGCCCACAGAGGGAACCTCGGCCAAACCGACAACTCTGAAACCAACTGAGGCAACCAGTGTGAAGCCCACAACTTTGAAGCCCACAGAGGGAACCTCGGCCAAACCGACAACTCTGAAACCAACGGAGGCTACCACTTCAAAGCCCACAGAGGGAACCTCGGCCAAACCGACAACTCTGAAACCAACTGAGGCAACCAGTGTGAAGCCCACAACTTTGAAGCCCACAGAGGGAACCTCGGCCAAACCGACAACTCTGAAACCAACTGAGGCAACCAGTGTGAAGCCCACAACTTTGAAGCCCACAGAGGGAACCTCGGCCAAACCGACAACTCTGAAACCAACTGAGGCAACCAGTGTGAAGCCCACAACTTTGAAGCCCACAGAGGGAACCTCGGCCAAACCGACAACTCTGAAACCAACTGAGGCAACCAGTGTGAAGCCCACAACTTTGAAGCCCACAGGGGGAACCTCGGCCAAACCGACAACTCTGAAACCAACTGAGGCAACCAGTGTGAAGCCCACAACTTTGAAGCCCACAGAAGGAACCTCGGCCAAACCGACAACTCTGAAACCAACTGAGGCAACCAGTGTGAAGCCCACAACTTTAAAGCCCACAGAGGGAACCTCGGCCAAACCGACAACTCTGAGACCAACTGAGGCAACCACTTCAAAGCCCACAGAGGGAACCTCGGCCAAACCGACAACTCTGAAACCAACTGAGGCAACCAGTGTGAAGCCCACAACTTTGAAGCCCACAGAGGGAACCTCGGCCAAACCGACAACTCTGAAACCAACTGAGGCAACCAGTGTGAAGCCCACAACTTTGAAGCCCACAGACGGAACCTCGGCCAAACCGACAACTCTGAAACCAACTGAGGCAACCACTTCAAAGCCCACAGAGGGAACCTCGGCCAAACCGACAACTCTGAAACCAACTGAGGCAACCAGTGTGAAGCCCACAACTTTGAAGCCCACAGAGGGAACCTCGGCCAAACCGACAACTCTGAAACCAACTGAGGCTACCACTTCAAAGCCCACAGAGGGAACCTCGGCCAAACCGACAACTCTGAAACCAACTGAGGCAACCAGTGTGAAGCCCACAACTTTGAAGCCCACAGAGGGAACCTCGGCCAAACCGACAACTCTCAAACCAACTGAGGCAACCAGTGTGAAGCCCACAACTTTGAAGCCCACAGAGGGAACCTCGGCCAAACCGACAACTCTGAAACCAACTGAGGCAACCAGTGTGAAGCCCACAGAGGGAACCACGGCCAAACCGACAACTCTGAAACCAACTGAGGCAACCAGTGTGAAGCCCACAACTTTGAAGCCCACAGAGGGAACCTCGGCCAAACCGACAACTCTCAAACCAACTGAGGCTACCACTTCAAAGCCCACAGAGGGAACCTCTGCCAAACCGACAACTCTCAAACCAACTGAGGCAACCAGTGTGAAGCCCACAACTTTGAAGCCCACAGAGGGAACCTCGGCCAAACCGACAACTCTGAAACCAACTGAGGCAACCAGTGTGAAGCCCACAACTTTGAAGCCCACAGAGGGAACCTCGGCCAAACCGACAACCCTGAGACCAACTGAGGCAACCAGTGTGAAGCCCACAACTTTGAAGCCCACAGAAGGAACCTCGGCCAAACCGACAACTCTGAAACCAACTGAGGCAACCAGTGTGAAGCCCACAACTTTGAAGCCCACAGAGGGAACCTCGGCCAAACCGACAACTCTGAAACCAACTGAGGCAACCAGTGTGAAGCCCACAACTTTGAAGCCCACAGAGGGAACCTCGGCCAAACCGACAACTCTGAAACCAACTGAGGCAACCAGTGTGAAGCCCACAACTTTGAAGCCCACAGAGGGAACCTCGGCCAAACCGACAACTCTGAAACCAACTGAGGCAACCAGTGTGAAGCCCACAACTTTGAAGCCCACAGAGGGAACCTCGGCCAAACCGACAACTCTGAAACCAACTGAGGCAACCAGTGTGAAGCCCACAACTTTGAAGCCCACAGAGGGAACCTCGGCCAAACCGACAACTCTGAAACCAACTGAGGCAACCAGTGTGAAGCCCACAACTTTGAAGCCCACAGAGGGAACCTCGGCCAAACCGACAACTCTGAAACCAACTGAGGCAACCAGTGTGAAGCCCACAACTTTGAAGCCCACAGAGGGAACCTCGGCCAAACCGACAACTCTGAAACCAACTGAGGCAACCAGTGTGAAGCCCACAACTTTGAAGCCCACAGAGGGAACCTCGGCCAAACCGACAACTCTGAAACCAACTGAGGCTACCACTTCAAAGCCCACAGAGGGAACCTCGGCCAAACCGACAACTCTGAAACCAACTGAGGCAACCAGTGTGAAGCCCACAACTTTGAAGCCCACAGAGGGAACCTCGGCCAAACCGACAACTCTGAAACCAACTGAGGCAACCAGTGTGAAGCCCACAACTTTGAAGCCCACAGAGGGAACCTCGGCCAAACCGACAACTCTGAAACCAACTGAGGCAACCAGTGTGAAGCCCACAACTTTGAAGCCCACAGAGGGAACCTCGGCCAAACCGACAACTCAGAAACCAACTGAGGCAACCACTTCAAAGCCCACAGAGGGAACCTCGGCCAAACCGACAACTCTGAAACCAACTGAGGCAACCAGTGTGAAGCCCACAACTTTGAAGCCCACAGAGGGAACCTCGGCCAAACCGACAACTCTGAAACCAACTGAGGCAACCAGTGTGAAGCCCACAACTTTGAAGCCCACAGAGGGAACCTCGGCCAAACCGACAACTCTGAAACCAACTGAGGCTACCACTTCAAAGCCCACAGAGGGAACCTCGGCCAAACCGACAACTCTGAAACCAACTGAGGCAACCAGTGAGAAGCCCACAACTTTGAAGCCCACAGAGGGAACCTCGGCCAAACCGACAACTCTGAAACCAACTGAGGCAACCAGTGTGAAGCCCACAACTTTGAAGCCCACAGAGGGAACCTCGGCCAAACCGACAACTCTGAAACCAACTGAGGCAACCAGTGTGAAGCCCACAACTTTGAAGCCCACAGAGGGAACCTCGGCCAAACCGACAACTCTGAAACCAACTGAGGCAACCAGTGTGAAGCCCACAACTTTGAAGCCCACAGAGGGAACCTCGGCCAAACCGACAACTCTGAAACCAACTGAGGCAACCAGTGTGAAGCCCACAACTTTGAAGCCCACAGAGGGAACCTCGGCCAAACCGACAACTCTGAAACCAACTGAGGCTACCACTTCAAAGCCCACAGAGGGAACCTCGGCCAAACCGACAACTCTGAAACCAACTGAGGCAACCAGTGTGAAGCCCACAACTTTGAAGCCCACAGAGGGAACCTCGGCCAAACCGACAACTCTGAAACCAACTGAGGCAACCAGTGTGAAGCCCACAACTTTGAAGCCCACAGAGGGAACCTCGGCCAAACCGACAACTCTGAAACCAACTGAGGCAACCAGTGTGAAGCCCACAACTTTGAAGCCCACAGAGGGAACCTCGGCCAAACCGACAACTCTGAAACCAACTGAGGCAACCAGTGTGAAGCCCACAACTTTGAAGCCCACAGAGGGAACCTCGGCCAAACCGACAACTCTGAAACCAACTGAGGCAACCAGTGTGAAGCCCACAACTTTGAAGCCCACAGAAGGAACCTCGGCCAAACCGACAACTCTGAAACCAACTGAGGCAACCACTTCAAAGCCCACAGAGGGAACCTCGGCCAAACCGACAACTTTGAAACCAACTGAGGCAACCAGTGTGAAGCCCACAACTTTGAAGCCCACAGAAGGAACCTCGGCCAAACCGACAACTCTGAAACCAACTGAGGCAACCAGTGTGAAGCCCACAACTTTGAAGCCCACAGAGGGAACCTCGGCCAAACCGACAACTCTGAAACCAACTGAGGAAACCAGTGTGAAGCCCACAACTTTGAAGCCCACAGAGGGAACCTCGGCCAAACCGACAACTCTGAAACCAACTGAGGCAACCAGTGTGAAGCCCACAACTTTGAAGCCCACAGAGGGAACCTCGGCCAAACCGACAACTCTGAAACCAACTGAGGCAACCAGTGTGAAGCCCACAACTTTGAAGCCCACAGAGGGAACCTCGGCCAAACCGACAACTCTGAAACCAACTGAGGCAACCAGTGTGAAGCCCACAACTTTGAAGCCCACAGAGGGAACCTCGGCCAAACCGACAACTCAGAAACCAACTAAGGCAACCACTTCAAAGCCCACAGAGGGAACCTCGGCCAAACCGACAACTCTGAAACCAACTGAGGCAACCAGTGTGAAGCCCACAACTTTGAAGCCCACAGAGGGAACCTCGGCCAAACCGACAACTCAGAAACCAACTGAGGCAACCAGTGTGAAGCCCACAACTTTGAAGCCCACAGAAGGAACCTCGGCCAAACCGACAACTCTGAAACCAACTGAGGCAACCAGTGTGAAGCCCACAACTTTGAAGCCCACAGAGGGAACCTCGGCCAAACCGACAACTCAGAAACCAACTGAGGCAACCAGTGTGAAGCCCACAACTTTGAAGCCCACAGAAGGAACCTCGGCCAAACCGACAACTCTGAAACCAACTGAGGCAACCAGTGTGAAGCCCACAACTTTGAAGCCCACAGAGGGAACCTCGGCCAAACCGACAACTCTGAAACCAACTGAGGCTACCACTTCAAAGCCCACAAAGGGAACCTCGGCCAAACCGACAACTCTCAAACCAACTGAGGCAACCAGTGTGAAGCCCACAACTTTGAAGCCTACAGAGGGAACCTCGGCCAAACCGACAACTCTGAAACCAACTGAGGCAACCAGTGTGAAGCCCACAACTTTGAAGCCCACAGAGGGAACCTCGGCCAAACCGACAACTCAGAAACCAACTGAGGCAACCAGTGTGAAGCCCACAGACGGAACCTCGGCCAAACCGACAACTCTGAAACCAACTGAGGCAACCACTTCAAAGCCCACAGAGGGAACCTCAGCCAAACCGACAACTCTGAAACCAACTGAGCGAACCTCTGTGAAGCCCACAACCTTGAAGCCCACAGAGCGAACTTCAGCCAGACCGACAACTCTGAAATCAACTACGAGGAGAACTTCACAAAGGACAACAACCATTAGGCCCACAACCAAGAGGACGTCTACTGAGTCTGGTAGCACGACCGAAACTCTTCCACCGTTCAATATATTTGATGTGGTATCTGGTTCGCCATTACCATCAACCACGACCGATGTTTAGTACGAGACTCGGATCTCAAAATATTCCTATAGTATTGATAAGCTTTTTGAAATTAGTTCATGTACATTTGTATTCTAATAAACACTCAACAACCGTAGATCCTACAGCTTGCATAACAAAAATGCATAATTTCTTTAAAGATTCTTAAATGGCCTAAGCACTACGAAAAAAAAATTTATGGTTTGTAACTTTTTCCAGGTGGCTGTGCTGTTCAGAGTACGAGTACGAGTATTGTTTCCTATTCCTAGAAATCAGGGAACTTCACAGGGGTATGTTGTTGTCCAGGGCGTTGTCGTCTTCGGCGCTCTCCTCACTTTCATTGTCGCTGTTGGCATCACGCCAGTCGCAGAGTCCAGGGAACTTTTCGCTGATCCGATGCTGGAGGCATTTGGAGCCCGCCGGACCGGGTTGGTAAATTGGTTCGTTGAATATGTTGTTGTAGTCGTAGTTGCAAGTCAGCATGAACTGGAACCGATTCGATTTGGGCTCCAGAAAGCGAACACCGGCGCATCCAACGCGATGCACTCGATCCGAAACCAAGAGGGTAAAGTGACCAATTTTCTTGCTGTCAAAAAAAAAAATATGTAATTAAAAATCTATTTTTCAAAGTTTCTGCTTACAGTTAAAGTTACAAAAATCTTAAAAGAGATATTTTTAACCCTTCAGTATTTAAGTAAATAATATGAGTACTAAAAAGGCAATTCTTTGGTAAGGAATTGATTAATTTAGAAAATATAATATGTATGTATAATCATATTGTATATGCAATCAAGTATCATCGGTTTGATTTCCTTTTTCGCCTATTTTTGTTATGAAAAGTTTTTAAAGTGAAATGTACTTGATCGTCTTACCCCTGCGGATGTGGTCGATATCTGTCGATGAAGGTCTGATTGGCATCCTGGTACTCCCGGAACCAGTTGATCACAAAGGACTTCATGCGCCGCGAGTGCGACTTGAACTCCCGTCCGATCCAGAAGTATCCGATATTCTGGCCGCTGAACTTGAAGCGCGGCGTATTGCGGCACTTGTCGTGGGCGAACTGGCACCGCTTCGCATGAAGGGCGGCCATCTGCTCCAGTTCGTTGTCCCATCGCAGGAGTGGCATGTGGGCGGCACTCTGATAGCCAGCCAGATCCCCGCTGGCGATCTTCGATCTGGCCAAGTTGTGCATGTCGAGCAGAAGTTGTCGTCGCCGTTCGCTCATTTCCAGGAGCTTGGGTTCCGGTCCACAGGCGGCGGAGAAGCTGCCATCATTGCCACAGGCGGTGTGCGGTACGTGCACCACATGCGTTCCGTTGTACAACTCGCACAGTGAAGCCTTGCAATAGCCACCCAATTGCGTGGTGGTGCTGGTGGTGGTGGCTCCGTTTGAACTTCCCAATTCACTTAGCACAAAAAGGAGCACTGCAGGCGCCCAAAAAGCGGCAACGCTGCACTTGCTCAACAATCTCGGCATCTCGACGATCAAAACGCTACTGAGCTGCTATCCGCGAGCACTTTGGGTTTATGAATGGGCTTGAATGCGAATAAAAAAGCCACTGGACGATCGGGCCAGCTTCGCTGCTTTTCCCACATCTCTAGGGTTGGGCAGCGCTGCGGGGTCCATAACTGGTTCTCATTAGAAAGAAATTAGCCATGGGAATTAGCCGCTGCGGCAAGTGGAGCTTCAAGATGAGGACATCCCCACAGTCGCCCATTCTTAAAATAATATCTTAATCACCCAGAGCCGATAATCTGGGTATAATCTTGGTTATGATTAGGTGGAAATTGCCTGGCTTGGTAGAAACTAGTTATTAATAGCTGACTATGCTCAATCTTAAAATTTTTTTAATATATTTGTATGGTTCAAATAATAGGGGTAAGCAATTTAGAGTTTGTTCCAAAATTATATATATTTCAAAAAATGTCAACGCAATTAATTGAAGACCGTTTAGGAATTAAACTATTAGAAATAAAAATTTTTTTTTATGAGTTAAAGTAAAGTTTAAATTGAATGGACTAACTAAAAGTTAAAGATTGATTTGGTTTTATAAATACCTTTATTACAATTTTTATTATTATGTGATTAAATAAAAAACAATTAATTCCTACGAGTGTACTTTGTTGTCCAGTGCACAAACGAATAAGTTTGCCCGGGAATGACCACCCACCAATCATCCGAGGCTTCCGGCTTTGCAACGCACACTTTGCACCACCATACCGATACTATATATCCGCCGATCCAGTCTGATTTCAGCCGATCCGTGGTAGACCGGTTTGGCTGCGGCTCATCTAGTAAAACTGTGGGCCTGGCCCCGTGTAAATAAGTAGTATAATCAGTAACCGCCGGCCAGTGTGGGAAAAATGCTCGCTTCAAGGCAATTGCCGATAAGTAGCTGACTCGGGGAATTACTGCCTTTGCGCCAGGTTTTACAAAACTAAGCTGGCTAAAAGCCGTTAACATAACACATCGGCAAAAAAAAGCCGTCGTAAACCCAAATCAGCAAAAAAGAGCAAAACAATATAAAACATGGTGTAAAGATGGCAGAACATACAGAAATTTAAGAAACGTCGACAGAAACGTGCCTCACACCTAATCGGCATTAATTAAAATAACAAAGCTTCGACAGCTGAAGTTCTTCGCACTAAAAACACTAACAAAACCAATATGCGAAATATGCAAAAAACCGAAAACGCCGATAATACGAAAAGGCAAAAAAAAAAAAAAATCAATTATGACTTTGGTCATTGTGACGTCGAATGGCCATCCCCGAAAAAGCAAAAAAGAATGGTTCGCGACTTTTATTGATTCTGGATTCGAGTCTGGGTCAATTCTATTTTTGATTCTAACGGTTTTATCGTACCGTGACCAACAGGTTTCAAATACTTGGGTTCTTGATACTTGTTTTCATTTCAACTGTAAGTGCTGTTGCATATTGTGCTTACAACAGGTTTGGTTTAAATGGGGCTTATCAATTAGTAATTTTAAGTAAAACTTCTCAGTGAGTACACTAAATAAAAATAAATTCCAAATATTTAAAGAGCAACGATAACAAAAATGAAAATTCCTGAAAAATGATTTATCTGTCTGAAAAAATTCAAAGGGGAATGATTTACGTGAGCTACAATAATATTACAACCTTTTCTACTTTATTTCGTACGTGCCATTTGATAGGATCGTAAAAAAAAAGCAACGTTTGTCAGACTTTTAGTTTTGAAATATTTTTCTAATGAATCTACCAGGGTATTTGACTCTTCGGAGCATTGGATTTAGAGTCTAGATTTCGCTGCTTCTTTTATTGGCCAATTACGATGCGGCTGGTTGTTTCGCTTTATTGACTCCATCACATCACTGAGTTTCTTTAAGAAGTTCGGCTCATCCGATGCGATCATTCACTTTTGTTCTAAAAAGCGTTGAAGAATTAATTTATGCATTTGGGAAAGTTTTATGAGTTACATAAGTGTATTTACGTTCTTTCTATTGCAAAAGTCTTTAGAAATGTCGGGTTAATTTCCAAGATTCGTTTTGCTATAGTTTTCCCATTATTCATTGAATCTATAAATTTGTGCGTCACTTTAACAACGAAATCCTAATTCAATTGCAGTCCCAATAACAATTTCGAATCGAATTGCTGGAAAATATTCAATTGGTCTTGGGATTTATTGGCTGACTCAGCTGAAGTTGTCTTGCATATATGATTAGCAAAATATGATTATGAATGATTTGTGAGCGGCAATCGAGCCGCAACCGCAATAGCTATAATCGCTATTATATGGCCACGATTTCAACTGGCTAGACTCTCGTACTCGTATTTCGTCGACATCGACATCGACATCGACATCGGCTCTTAACTGCTGTTGTAATTAAAGATCTCTGGGCAGTCATCGTATAGATCAAGTCGAAGTTGAAGTTGAAGAAGATCGCGTGTGGATATTCATACGTTTGTACAAATATAATTTGCATAGAAAATGATTAATCACGCAGCGATTAATTGCCGTCGACATCAACGTTGCAGTTGTTAAATAAAAACAATAAATTTAGCAGCGACTAAACATAAATTACTGTGAAAATGTGTACGAAAATACATTTTGGCCCGGGTAACCCCGCCAGGCGTTATGATTGGCAGCATAATTAGACTTTGTCTGGCTGGATTGCTGGATTGCTGGATGGCTGGCTGCCCGGCTGGCCATCTCCCGCTGCACTTCCTCATTCTGTAATTACACCAATTGCGGCAGTACATCACGTTAAGCGTGACGCCATTTGACCTCCAGTTGGGCGATAATCATATATTGGCACGCCAGAACTATGGAAATGTCGCCAAGCAAGAAGTGACAAAAGTGCACAGAAAATTGTATACTAAAATATCTAACAAGCTGCAAAAAATGGATTTGCAGAAAAGTGACCAGATCCCAGCACTTCTAAGCCTATATCTTTTATAATTTTTATCCGATTTACAAGTGGCATACTTCTTTAAGTTTGTCAATAACATATCTAACAAGCTGCATCATTAGTTTATTTTGCATATAATGTTTTGTCATTTTTTATGACCCCTCCTTTGAAAAGTTGCAAAAAGAATCATTATTTTATTAATTATTAATTAATATTAATTATTATTATTATTATTATTATTATTATTATTATTATTATTATTATTATTATTATTATTATTATTATTATTATTATTATTATTATTATTATTATTATTATTATTATTATTATTATTATTATTATTCTTGTTTAAAAAACCCAACCAGTAAGCCATTTCAGAGTAAATAAATGAGTGACCCTTGATTCATCTGTTCATATGGAGATTACAGAATATTTCGTTTTCCAAATAATTCTGTAACATCAGTGAAATGGAGGATTTAAATGGGAAAAAGTCTGAGAATGGCAGGGTTTGGGAGTGCGAAGATAGCAACGAATGGCTTGAAGAGTCTCCTCATAAGAGGACTCGTCTCGAAGACTCAAAAGAAGTAAGGGTTTGGATATGTAGGCAATTAGAACCTATCGAGTCGAACACCGTTGGTGACCTAACTCTACAAATTTCTGAAGAGACGCCCGATACAATTGATTCAGTAATTTAAAATATTGGTAAGGCTCAAGATTGTTTATTACTGCTTTTCTCATGCTAAAATCTTATTTCAGACTGTGTACTTTTATTAAATGCGAGACTTGCAGGGCCGCCTAATTAGCCGGATGAATACAAAGAAGATGTGTGCTATTTGCTACTTAGTTGGACAATATAAAAACCATTTTCTCCTTTTATTGAGAACAATTTGGGTATTTGGGTTTCCGTTGGACTCTGCTGAATTTTTCGTATTTGGTATTTCGTTACTCCTATTATATTTGAAAGTCAGAAAAAAAAGTTCTGGCAATCCGTTGGATGCATGATAAAGAAATGTAATTGGTAATTATTTAATGGATCCTACAATCTGAAACTGAAGTGGTTGAACACAAAATAAAGTTTTTCAAATAAAAGGAATAATTTCCACCCAAATTTCGATAAGTTTGGGACGTAATTTTCCCTGGAGTGTCTTGTGTGATTATGTTGCAATCCTCTCTGAACTTGGCCATAACCAGTGCACATATTGGCCACACAACGATTGCGTCACAGCATTTGGCTGGCTCTCTAATGTCCGGCGATGAAGGCTTCCATCACAATTAGCATATTTCGTCCAGTGTCTTTCGACCCGGCTCTCTTGTGATCTCTTTGTGTGCGAGTGTGTTTGTGTGTGTGTGTGTGTCCGTGTGAGCCACATAATTGCTGGCAACAGAACGTGACGTTTGCAATGGCGACTTTGTGTCGTGGGTTGTTACCTTGGCAATTAGTTGGTCGAATCTGCCAAGGCATAATTACATACACGATGCAGCTCTCTCCTAAATTTATCAAACTTTGCTCCCTCTGCACTGTGCGCTTTGTTTATATATTTTGGCATTTACAGTCTTAATTAAGCTACCTTATACGCAACCGTTCATTCATTAACGAATAGTTAAAACACATCCTTTTATGCGGTATTTAGAAATAGTTTCCCAAAAAATGCATGCTAGTGAAAATATACCCTTAGTTTTTGTTTCCTTTTAATAAAAAAAAAAAAACAAAAATGATGACTGCAAATTTAGAGGATCCATTGCTTCCATTTTGGCCAAGCTAGAAATAGAAGCCCTTTATATTTTTTGGATCTTGCTCAGTCGTGGTATTTTTGCATTTTGGCTTTAGCTTTTTCCGAAAATATTGCGTGTTTTGCAGCGCGGTTTTCTGGCTTTTCCCCCGCTTGTTGGTGTTTGGGTTTTTGCTTGTTGTTTTTGCACGATGCCATTACGATTGTCAGCCAGTTGTCAGGTGTTGGCTAGCTGCATTTCATTTTCATTTCGCTTTATTAAATTTAATTCTCGGCTTTGTCTCTCCGCTCATATGTGTGTGTGTGTGTGTGTGTGTGTGCACTAATTAAATTCATGCTGAAATTTTTCTAATTAAAAGTTTACTAATGAAATTTATGCAGCTGCTGCTGCCAATGCTGCTGTCTGTGTGGGTTAGTGTATGTGTGTGTGGGTGTGTGTGTGTATGGGTGTGTTGGTGTATTCGGTTGAAAGCCCAAAAGTCGCGCTTTCAATTAAAAATCGCCATGAACGGTCGGGATTTAGCTTGGAATGGGCACTTTACACACGGACAGCTGGCGAGTTTGATGTGCTCGAATTAGATTTGTATTAAATTGCATTTTTGTGGTTATTATTTATTTCATTGCCTTTCGCAGCACTTTCATGTCTCACATCTGCCACAGCGTTTTTTTTTTTTTTTTTTTTTTTTTTGGTTGTTTTTAACGTGTTTGCGTAAACAACTGCGTGGGCAAGTTAATGCAATCAAATGTGGCATAATTAAAAACTAATATCGGCGTCGGAGGCTGAAAGGCCGAGAGGGTCCGTGTTGCGGTTTCATTATCAACTTAGTGTAAATAAATGAGCAGGCCGTGATTTAGTTGATTATATCGATATTTGCACATCGTCATTAGCCCGAGGAGTTTGACTACTTTGATTTACATTGTTTCGCTCCTTTGAAAAACCAAAACTCAAAGGGGGGCACCCAAACGAAAAGTGTAAATAAACCAGCAGGCCTTGATTTATCTATTTGCACATTTTAATTTCAATCGTCGCAAACCAGACGAAACACTATTTTGAAACTAGAACATAGAATATTATTCCGATGGAGTCTCCAAGTGAGGGTTTGTCTCGCAAATGCAAGATATTTGACCGCCAATACACTATTAAATGGTGTGATGAGCCTCCTTATAAAAGACGTCGCCTCGACGAAGCTAATGAAGTGTATATCTACCGTCGGGAACAGATCCAATCGGATTTATGCAACGGCCTCACTTGGGAAACTAAAGTACAAGTGCTTGATCCACCAGGTGATTGATTAATTGTTCTTAAACTTCGCTAACGCACTTGTAGATTATTAGTATTAATAATTAGTATTAACAGATCCCAAATGGGATAGGTTTTCTAAATTTACTTTACTACATATTACATTTTCTCGGGAGTAAAATTATAAATTGAACCCTCTTAGACAAACGTTTTTGGTTTCAGATTAGATTTCTCAAACATTTTACTAATTATATTAAATACTTTTTTTTAAACAGCTCAAAAAAAAGGATTACTTTCGAATTTAGTTAAAGGAGTTAAACACTTGTATTCTATGTTATTCAAACGTTAAATTATTTAAACACAGAAGTTCTAGAAACTTCATGATTTTGGATAAATGTTTAAATTTTCTATTTTATAAAATTCGTAAGATGAAAAATTTATGTTGGTAAGTATTACAGAGAATCAGTTACGAATTATAGAAAATATTTATGTTTTATTTAGAGTGATAAAATAGGATAATTAAAGGCGGATATTAAAAATTAGATTTAGCATTGCTTTATAGATTTTGGTAAGTCTATTGGATTTTTTTAACTAACATATCAGTAAGATTATATATTATATATTATTGTTATAGCTCAAAAAAAGGATTTATTTTTGACTTGCTTTTCTAATTTTAATGATCAAGTGAGGATTGTTTTTCCTGAAGACGGGACTATTAAGTAATTACATGCACACACTAACACACACGCGCACACACACACAGAGAGAGGCGCACGTGTATGCGATGGCAACTAAATTACGGAAGCGTTTTGCGCTATGTGGCGCCTCCCAAGGATTTCATTTGGCTGGCAAGTCACGTGATGTGCAACAGCAGCAGTGCGCTGTTAACTTGTGGGTTGTGTTACGGTAAACGCTCTCCTCCGGGTTCCCTTTGGCTCGCGCGGAGGTCAGGGGTCAGGGGTGAGGGGTCAAACGCCGACCCGACACAATGATAAACTGCGTGCCGCAATATGAGCCAGCTAGCCGCAAAACTTTTGGCCAAGAACAACGACGACGAGTGCTTAGCGGCCAACAGAGAAAGTCCAGCCTGCCGCTAATTTATGTCCTCTTGGCCCTCTCGCAAGATGGATCCACATCCAGACTGTTGGCCCATGGCCCCTTGGCCAGTGCAGTTGGCCGGCTTTCGCTCTCTCTTTCCTTTCTCCCGAGTGTTTAACATGCGCCGACTGGCGCTCTTTCTGGCTTTTATACCTCCTCCATTCCCACTTGCCACTTGGAGTTCCCTTTTCGGTTCGGTTGCGACATGGTCAACTGGCACATGGCATTCCCAGCGGCACGCTCCGGGGGCATCAATATTCCCGACGCTGGACGCGCATGGCCACCTCCGGAGGGGAAGGCGGTCGCAGGACCACCGGAGATCCCAAGACACGCTGCTGCACTGCGCGAAAAAAAGTATTGTAAAGTTATATGTCCAAGGAAGCAAGCCATCGCATTAAAGTATATACGAAACATGTGGAAACTATAAAGATACATTAATGACTTAATTTATTTTTCAACTTAAATGAAAGCATTAGAAAATAAATCTATGAATTTTTGATATTATTAATATTAGTATTTAATTATATTAGTTATAAGGTATTTTTTTTATGTATAATTATGAAATAGGTTTTTGGGGAAAATAGTATTTGAGTATTTCTTTTTATTTGAAAGATTTATGGCTATATTCTATCTATTTACTTATTTATTTTTTTTTATGGTTTAAATGGAAAGTAGTCTATATTAAAATTTCTAAAACTAAAAAAATTCTCTACCGTGCAATTAAGATGCTTGAGTAGAAAACTAGCAAGGTAAATAGTTACTGCACTTCTTGTGCCATAAACTTTCTGACAGTGCACCGATTCCGATTGCGATAGAAATACTTGCACAGAGACACGGGAGCCAAGGCTAAAGCACAGTCAAAATATTGACACGACTTGCTCTTGGCCGAGCTCTTTGTTGCGCTTTATTGACACTGGCCAAGGACGTGCACCGCATCCTGCCCTCGAATCTTGGAGTCCTCGAATCTTCGAGTCCCCGAAACCACGAATCCTTGAATCCTCGAATCCTGGCATCCACTACTTGCTGCTTGCCACTTTGTGCCTTCCGTCTGCCGACTTCCTTTTAATCTCGATTCCAAATTGGTCGATTTTAAAGACATTTGCTTTGTTTCGAATGGCTTGCATTTTGAAATTCGTTTACTTCAATAATGCCAAATAATGGCTGAGATTTCGTTGGGCGATTTATATATTTTCCACCGGCTGGTTTTCCCTTCTTTCCTTTTTTTTTGCCCAGAAGAAGATTCGCTCGTGTTCTCACGTATGTGGTTTGGTTTTCTTTTCTTTTCTTTTTTTTTTTTTTTTGAAATATTGCTTGTATTTTGCCCTTTATTTATGCTCGTTTCGCCTCGTTTTGTTTGGTTGTTTTCTCGTTTTTTATTCTGGGGGGCTTTTGTCTTTGCCGCATTCGAAAGAGGAGAGCGTGTTTGGCTTAGCCGATTTGCACGGCTTCGAACTAACGCAGGGGTCTTACGATTGTGGGTGAAAATTCAAAGATGGAATCTGTGCAATCATGGCAGAAGGTAATGCAAGCTAAACTAAAGGTAAAGACCCCGAGATCTGTTAAGTGTTTTACTGCTAACTTATGGTTTAAAAGCATTAGTGGTTTTAATATTTCTTATGAGTAACAATTTAATGCGGAAGAAGTGTTAATAAATAATACAATTTAAATAATTTGTAAGAAATATTGAAATAAAATAAATATAACTATTTGAAAGATACAATTGTAAAAACAGTGGCACCACTGCGTATGAGCAATGCACCTTGGCCAGTATGTAATATAACTTATTAAAAACTCTTAAATAATTGCGAAATTGCGCACATAAAATTAAGTGTTTTGCTATGAAATTATGGCTTAGAAGCATTAGTGGTCTTAATATTTTAAATGAGTAGCAATTTAATGCGGAATAAGTATTAAAAAATAGATTCACCTTTTAAAAATAATACAATACAAATAAATAATAAAAAATAAATGTAAAACTAGAAATAAAATAAATATAACTATTTGAAAGATACAATTGTAAATAACAGTGGCACCACTGCGTATGAGCAATGCACCTTGGCCAGTATGTAATATAACTTATTAAAAACTCTTGAATAATTGCGAAATTGCGCACATAAAATAATAAGGGTTTACCATAGCATCCTCCCATTTTCATACCAATTTAACTGCCCATTTTTTTTGCCTCATGACTTTCATTTCGCCGCAAATGGCCGGCATTGTTAACGTAAGTCAGTTGGCCATCGACTTGAGCTCATCCTGATTGCATGGCGTAAATAGTTCGCCGGGGAGCAAATGTCCTTTTGGCTGATGGCTGTTGGGTGTTGGGTGTTGGCTGTTGGCTGTTGGCTGTTGACGCTTAAGCCACTCACATCATAACGTAATCACTTTACGTTGCCGCGTAATGCAGACCGCAAACACGCATACATTCACATTCTTCCGGCGAAGGCGAAAACGGCGGTCTTACGGCATTTCCATATGCAATTGGGCGCATTAATTCAATTGAGCCGATTTCAATGCTCCCACAGAATGCTAACGATAATGACAACGGCCAACCGACCGACCGACCGACCGACCGACCGACCGACCGACCGACCGACCGACCGACCGACCGAACGGTTCGTCGGCCAATGAACAAATGACATTAAATAAATAAGCATAATTAATGCAGTCCTTCGACAAGTCCTTCGCTCCTTCGCTCTCTCCATCGTCCTTGATCCTTGACTGTCGGCGATGCCTATCTATCCCGTGCTATTCGGGGCCATCCCTTTCTGCCTTGTGCCTAATTTAGCCCGATGGCAGACTTTATGCCTCGACAGGAGCCAGGAGACGGGAGACGGGAGAGACGACTTCGAGTTCGGGACACTAAGTGGCAGCAGATTCCCAGAGACTCTATAAATATGACTGTGAGTCATAAAAATGTATGAGGCGCAGTTGTCGAAGGGCATGAATTTTATGCGGGCCTTGTTGTGCTCCTTCGCTCCACTGGGGACAAAGTGCCATCAAAACTGCAAGTAACATTTTAAATACAATATACTCGTATACTCCTAATAAGAAACGTGACCATTCAGAATGCGTCTTGGGTAATTTTTTACTGGCCTTCTGGAATTAAATACAATGGCATATTGCTAAGGAAAATTCTTGAACAATTAAAAACATTGTGTGAATAGAAATCACAAATACATAAATTTTTTGGAAAATCTTCATTTAGACCTTTCGATTTTTTAGCTTGCTTGAATTTTATGCACAAAGTACAACGTATTCCTGAAAGTAGACTACTTATATTAAGTAGGGAACTTCTTATATGTACTTTTATTGTATCTTTTTCTCCCTGTGTATGTGACAAGGACAATCATTACGTGTTGGTGTTGTCGCACAGCTGGGACCACACCCCATCCCCATCCTCCTCCATCCGCATCTCCATCTCCATCTTCATCGGCTGCTCCGTCTTCGTTTCCGTCCATCTCCTCCTGTCCACATCCCTCATCCTGGATTCCACCCATCCCGCTCTCCCCATTCCGGATTCCCCGTGCCTTATCCAACGATTCCGGATTGGCAAGTAGCCCCATCGCCACGTGGCCACGTGTTTACATGCGCTCCGGCCATAAAGTAACGCCAACAAACGCACTTTACAGCCTCCAAAAGTCCCGGCTAGATGGAAGCTCTGTGGGCGGGATGACAGTCCTCCAAGTGCGCACTCCTGCCGAAGGTGGCTCATGCTAAATTTTTAATGAAACGTCGCATAGAAAACGGCAAAACTTGAATTTATGACTAGCACATGAACACACGGACAAGCCGAAGCAAGGACAAGGGCTTTTCTTTTTTGAGAAGAAAGGTATGTTTGATTGTTTTAAATTTAAAAAAATTAACAAGAAATTATATAAATTTATAAAGATTTTGTGAAACCAATTTAAGCACTTTTAATACTTTTTCTGCTTATTTTAAAATTATTTATAATATATATACTTATAAAACCAGGTATCCCAAAGTCTGGTGTTTTTATCTAAGTGTTTCTTTGGCCGTGAAACCTTTTTTCCAGCCGGAGGCTCGGGTCACGACCCGATTTTGATTAGCTGCGATTGGTCGCAGTTGTTGACGGCTGCTTGATGCCAAAATAAAAAGTAAGATGGGATTTCCCCTCGAAAAGAAAAAAGGATTGCTAACCTTATGAACCAGGAAATTTGGATTTAAAATAAGCTCTACACTAAAAAATCAAAGCTCTAAAAAATCTGAAAAAAAAAACAAATTTGCAATATGTGTCAAATAAAATATAGAATCCATTACTGTTAACCAATAAATTGTAATGAAGTGAAATAAAAACCAGACTTAACTTAATGAATCTTTAATTGATCCACTTTTCTCAGAAATCAATTCCATTTAATAGCTTTCAAGGACGATTCGTATTCCGGGTGAAAAGTCTTGACTTTCCACTGGTAAAAATCTGTTCGATGACGGGCCTGATCAACTTAAACCATCAGCCTGTCATCAGTTTTTCTCAAACTGCCCGCTTTTATTTTCCAAAGGAGTCTGATGGATGTTGATGTGTTGAGACTTTCGATATGCAAACTCAGCTGCAGGTTGTAATAAGCCTTTAAAAACTTTTAATTGCCTCCACTCAATGCACACTCATAATTGTCATTCTTGTCGTTGATTGCTTTTAAAATTTCTTTATACCATTCGTTGAAGGATATTTACAGTCTATTAAAAATATTACTTATAGTTCTTAAAGAGCAGGAATTATTTTGAATTGTTTTTAAAATAACCTTTTAAGTAACATTGAATTTGGCTTCTGGTATGCCTATTAAATTAGGTTATCCCTTTAAAGACAGAGCTTAAAATCAAATTGATTTGCTACATTTAATTACAATCGAAGCGAGGAAAACCACAAGCGACTTGAAACAAACTTAACGAATGGCCACTGCGATGGGTTTATTCAAATGCGCTCGAGAATCCTCGGATGTCCTTAAAGAGGCTAAATCAGATTTTGTAATTCGACCATATAATTCACTTATCTGTCGCTTCCACAGCTTAAATCCCCTCCTTTCCCTTTCTTGCCTCCCCCCTCACATACATTTTATCCACCGCCACTGGAATGCTTCATTGTGCAGTAGATTAAGGCTTTCCACACACACACACACACACACACACACACACATGCGTTCGATTGGATGTATGTATGAGTATAGTGTGTTTGTGTGTGTTTCAACAATCCCCGAACGATTCAATAATAAATGCCTTTTGCATTGTTTTCCCAAATGTGCCGCAAATTGCGAACATTTTATGCACTTCGAGCTACTCATTAATACGCACACACGCACGTACACACACACACACACACACACACACAGAGATCCAAGATCGGGGGCATATAGACCGGGTTTTCACATATGGCCAGCTTGATTGAATTTGACAGTAAAATATTTTATCCTAAATCA